TATCTTTCGTTCTCTTAGAAATAACCTGCAGTCTCAGCAAAAACTCTTCGCTGAATACAATGAGCTAACGCACATTAGCCAGAAAGTAATCGCCATTTGCACTCAGTACATTCATGATCGTCACGACCATGAGAATAGACTTCTTTTCATCAAAGATAAAATTTCGCAAACGATTGGACGTATTGGTTATGGTCAATATTGTTTAGAACAATATTGGATGATGATTCATAGTTTAGAGCACGAAATCGAACGTTTACAATTGCTGCTCAGCAATCCTCAATTATTACAAGACAACCGAGAACGAGTGCGAACTTTTCAAGAAAATCAGAAAATTAAACTGGATCGACTTGTCAAAGAAAATGAACATCTGAAAAATCTAATCCATCAACGAAAAGATTCGATACGATCGATGCAACTACAAATTGAAGTTGACATTCAAGAATTACGAACATTGCAATCAGTTTTACACAAGAAGAAATTCGAGCAAAAACATGTTCAAAAACATTTACTACAACTAGGTTAGTTTTATCAGAACCTGGTTGCATTGAATGACTCCTTCTAGACAACCAAAGTTCTCATCTAAAGAACGTTATGGAACAAACGAATAACATGGAAAATGAGTATCACGACCGCATGAAACTGACGACGTGCCAGTACGATCTTATGCAAAAACAACTGGATTCTTTAAGTGACACGTATGAACACACGAATCAAAAACTATCTACGGTCGAAACTAATGAAACTGATGTAAACTCATTTGGTCTATATCTATTTAAGCAAATTTCTTTTGAATTAGATCAAACAAGAAATTGAGAATGTGAAAAAGAAGATAAACACAGGTTTGTCAAAGGAATTTCTTTGATTTTACACTCGATGATAACTAGAGCAAGTAAATTTGATGATCTATCGTGAACAAATCACCAATCTGCGACAGCAATCATTGAAACTTACTAGCCATTACCTTCATCTTCGTCATCTTGTCAAATCGAAAAAGCACACAAACTCTGTTTTGGATCGCAAGTGTCTATCGCTCGAGCATAATCAACGTAAATTAGCAGATCGTATAAGAAACTTAGCGAATCGACTGACGCAAACAGTTGAACACAATCAGCAATACGAACATCTCATTCAAATAAATCTTTCGCACATGGAAGATCAACAATATAGAACAACGAAAATGCAAATGAGTTTGAAGAAAATCATACATGTCAATAATAATCTCGAAAAAATTCTGCGTGAAAACCGATTGATTCGTTCGAGTGAACAAAATAAACTACATTCAATGAAGCAACTTTCGTATCAAAAACACAAGCAACTGATTCAACATACCAAACATCTTCATATTTTATTCATTGATCAGCACCGATTGACAAATAATATTATTCGGAATTCTCTCGACATCGTTCGGTTCAATTCAATTTGCCATGAGTTTATTAATACTGAAAAGGTTTTTTTTTAATTTTAACAAAGACGAAAACGTAACTTGTTGATTTAGTACTTCGAACAAAGCATACGAACGAAGAAAACTGAACTGATGAAGTAAATATTACATGAGTAAAACTTTGTTAATATTCAAGAAGATTTGTTCGTGTAGCCATGAGAAACACCGTGCATCACTAAGTCGTGATCTTCATGATAATGTCAATAAAATTCATTTTCTAACGAAAAAGAATCAATTAATTGAAAATGAACTTCAGAGTAAAATTGATCAGTTTAAATCACTACAACATTATGATCTTCAACAGAAACATCATCGACTGGTACTTTTCAATAAAAAACAACTAGCAATGTACTCTTCTCAACAGAAAGCAATGTCAGTCAATGAATTGCACAAAAAGTATCATCAATTAGAAAAATTATCTGATAATGAAATAAATCGGATAAGAAAGAAAGAGGAAGAGAATGAGCGGTTAAAATGTGACATTCAACGACTTCAGCAACAGGTAGCCAATATGATCAGTAGAAATAAACGTCAGATCGATGAATCGTCGTTGTTGCATGAAAAAATTCGTTTGTACACTCAAATTAATGATGGCATAAGCCAACAAGAGCAGCAATATTCATGTCATATTCATCGATTGACAAGACGCATTATAGATTTACAACAGGAAAACAATCGATCATCAGATACAATTGGGAATCTGCAGAGAAAATCGTTGGATATAGTGAGCTCTCGCTATAATCAAGTTCAACAAAAAGTGAACATCCATCGTATGAATCAAATTATATCGGATCGATCTATAAGCGTTCGAAATCGATCAGTTCAGGTGGATGCTGAGAAGATTGTCAATGCTTATTCAACGTCTGTAAATCAATTAGTCAAGATTATTTATCAAGTTGCTCGATGGCGAGAAAAATTAGTTTGGATAACTCAACTATATTCTGTAACACATTATTCAGCGGGCGCCAAAACTAATCTCTATTGTTTCCTTTTATTTTTAGACAAAAATGGCAAAAGTACAGCAGCAGATGAAATTATTAGCAGGAAACAATGAAATGATCTTACGAAATAGAATCAATTCCGAAATCCGACAATACAAAGCAATAAAAGCTGAATGCTATATGCAGACATTGCCATTGTCTGCTCAAACCGATGGGACCTATTTATAATGCTTCGTTTAATTTGATTCAATCTTGTATGTTACAGTGCACTTTCTTTCTAATCGGCACCGAGTTTTTTTCGACAATCAGTGTACAGTCAGAGAAGCTCGATAGTGACATTCGCTTACGGCCATACCACGTTGAATACACCAGTTCTCGTCCGATCACTGAAGTTAAGCAACGTCGGGCTCGGTTAGTACTTGGATGGGTGACCGCCTGGGAATACCGAGTGTCGTAAGCTTTTTGTCTCTTTTTTTACTTTTGACTCCTTCAAAGCAATTTTTTCTTATGAATAAGATACCGCTCGGTTCGTGCAGTTAATGGATCATAACATGTACTAAGAGACTACTCTTGTATCAAATACATCTTATCTTTGCTATATTCATTTAATAATTATCATGATCTTTCATCTATTTACAATATCCATATCATAAAATGAAGCCACTGAAAGAAAAATCTAAGCTCTTCTTATTACGTTTTGGTATTTCTAATTATTTTAAATTTCTTCCTTTCCAATGACGTCACTTTTTCCAGATGTACGCGTGTTATTGGATTTCTTCCATTCTATTCATCATTCTTTCAAGTTTAGAGCAATCACAGCTCGACGTTTCTAATAATATGACAAAAATATATATATATTAGTGTTTATGTCGCCTAGACATGATTTTCAATGGCATATGATTAAAAAGATAAGTAGGTGAACGGCAACATTGCGATTTAACATATCTTCATTTCATGTGCGTATATTTCCTCATTACTCATATGACTAGATGATTACTAAAGATACTCGATACTTTTTCCGTCCAATTGCATAAAGCAACGAAAATATCAATTATATTGTCATTTGATTTTGCATCAATATGTGTATATACGCCTTCATACATATGAGCAATCTTACATAGCTTGGATAGTCAGCAGAATGCGTGTCATGGCATCGTTTTTATAGATTAGACGTTTAGATCTTTTGAAATGTCATACGGTGCCGCCTACATGGGAAATTAAATTCTGAGGATTCTGTCTAGAACCTGAAAGGGAAATATGTTAAAAGCAGAGGCTGTGGGAGAAATTTTCATGTTTCCCGGTCTTCAATGTGCTTTGTACGTGCACATGTACATACAGGATGGTTGACCTTTCTTTCGATTCGTTTTCTTGTTTTTTACTTGTTCTTATCACTTATTTTTGTTTTGAAATATGCTCTATAGTTGCACTTGCTATGGTACGATACTTCATACTCAATAGATAGATGATTCTATTATATTACAAGGTATAGCAGTGCATGTCTTTTATATATTTCGTCTCTTCTAGATTTTCACTCTAAGTATGGGTTGCACAAGCTCAAAAAGCTCACAAAGCTCAAAAGTTTATACAGAGCTGACCATCGAAGGTCTCGTATTTAACTTCATATATCTTGTACATCAATGGAATGCTTTATCCGTACTGTAGATATCGTTTTGCTTAAAGAGAAAACAAAATTTTCCGAAAAAGGTAAGATAATATTGTTTCGAAAGCTGTTCTTTATTGTTCTTGTTTTTCATGTGTTTCTTCAGAAATTCGACAGTGGCATGCCGTAAGTAGTGACTTCAACGAATGTATTCAATTAGATCTGGGTATCTATAGGGATTTTTGCATGATTGTCCAACTGGTAAACTGAACAAAAAACAACTTATTAACGTTTACAGACGCTTCTATCCACAAGGAAACGTAGAACCATTTTGCAAGTAAGCGGATATTGAAATAAATTGTCACTTTCTGATTGACATATACGTAGATATTTATTCGCTGCTGTTGATACCAATCGCGATGGCAAGATCGATTTTGTCGAATACCTTTCACAGATTGCCGCAATTAGTCACAGCGATTTAAACAAACGACTGTCAGCTGCGTTTGATTTGTAAGATTCAAGATATCTAAAGTGACGTGTATTTATTTCGCATGTTCTGTAGATACGATATATCTGGCGATGGACAGATCGATCGAAAAGAACTCACCATGCTAATTTCTGCGTTGGTAAGTGAGACGCGTATTACTCTATTTTAATACCTGAAACGATTTTCTTGTAGTATGAACTTCTTGGGGAAAATGATCGAAAAGGTAATCGTGATCCGAAGAGTCGTGCTAATGAAATTATTGCTCGACTCGATAAGAACGGCGACAAGAAGTTGAATAAAGAAGAATTTATTGCCGGGTAAATGATATCTACATCATTATATTGTTATTCTTTCTGTTTCACTTAGATGCCAAAATGATTCCGTATTACGACGCGTACTTGCACCAACTGTTTAATTACACTTCTTTAAAATAACATTCTTTGCCGATATGTTAAAAATAGTATTACCATTCTTTTTTATAGACTCATTTGTTTTTTATTCGCACTACTCCTTTTCTTCAACATAAAATTTTCAAATAATATTCGAATTAAAACTCTGCCAATCTGAACTGAAAGATCTTCGCACCGTTTTAAAATCGTTTATTCGTGCTTTGTTGAATATTGCGCTTGTTATTACTGTGGAAATTTAGCGTACAATATGACAAGCATAATAGTAACGAATGCTTACGGCCATACCACGTTGAATACACCAGTTCTCGTCCGATCACTGAAGTTAAGCAACGTCGGGCTCGGTTAGTACTTGGATGGGTGACCGCCTGGGAATACCGAGTGTCGTAAGCTTTTTGTCTCTTTTTTTTCAACATACTTTTATCAACGGCATCAAATACATGCAGATTGTATTTCGTTTTCTTTTATTTTAACATATCCGAACCTCAAATTTTAAAATTTTTATAGTTTATTTATTTACTCATAAGACTGATTCATCGATTAATCATACATAGATTGTCATCTGTGTTTCTGGATAGTACATGTCTATATGCTTATATTAGGTTTACGATGAACGAGAATAATATCAATCCATTTCTATCTAACTTTTATGTGTGAATGGTTCTTTTGTGGACTTTCAGTGTCCTACTTTCTTAAGGTTCGCTGCGGTCATTTAGCGCCATCTATGCAGAAGCTTCTGACGCTTCTCGCACATCAGTTATTATACAGATTGAATCGATTTCAACGGATAAGTTTTAATTTGTGCTAAATATAGTTAAGGTACCATATGAACAATTCTCGTTTGTGATTGGTGAAATGAGTTGGTAGCAGTGTTGTAGATGGATGCGAACATCGATCTATTTTTAGATATCCCTTTTAAGCAGGAATTCTTTCGAATATTCAAAATATTTATCCTTCTCCTCTTGAAGTCTATTATGTCTAGTACTATTCCATGCTTTCCCCCTTTTTCACATCACTTAGTCATGTGTATTTATCTCCCTTGCACTTACACAACGTTTATTTTTCATGTTATTAGCGAACGAAATCTATTTAATGAAATCAGTTTTTTTAAATTAAATAGAAATTTTCGTATTCTATATTCTCTCTGTCGTGTCTTTTCTGTTATTCTCTTTCGTAATCGTCTATACGCATGAAATAGAAACGATATGATGACATTTCCTATCGATTGCATCATCCATGTTGTCATCCGAAATATCTTAAAGGCCGGCCGGCATTTATAAATATGCTCGATGGCAAATTTAGTTTATTTTCAGACAGAATCAAATGACGGATAGTGCAACAGCTAGTAGTAGCGTCTCGCAAAAAACAGCAATGAAAGACGAAGGTAAATTTGTCGATTTACCAAATGCAAGAGAAGGCGAAGTCGTTGTACGATTTCCACCGGAAGCTAGCGGGTGTGTACAAAAATAAATGCTTGCTTTTCTGTATAACCGAACTCAATTTCTTTTCATATCTTAGCTATTTACATATTGGTCATGCTAAAGCTGCCCTTCTCAATCAATATTATCAAAAAACATTCAAAGGTACACTAATTATGCGTTTTGATGATACAAATCCAGCAAAAGAAAATGCGGAATTTGAACAGGTAACGTGAATGAATCGATTTTCGCAAAAATTATCTGATGAACCCATATATTCAGGTTATCCTCGAAGATTTGAAAATGTTGGGTGTCACATATGATCGCTTCTCGCATAGTTCCGATCATTTTGACACGTTAATGGATTATTGCAAGAAACTAATTGAAAAAGGTATTGCTTATTGCGATGACACAGAACCTGAAGAAATGAAAGCTCAACGCGAACTNGCAATCTCATCCTTTTCTAGATTCTTCCAAGTGTCTCTTCATCCATTCAGACACTAAGCATGAAAGAAGTATTATTTATTTGAGATACTATATGATTATTCTACATCAACATGTAGAAAAAGATTGAAACAGAAGATTTATCATTAGATATAATCTTCTACTTCCCCGATTTTTCTTCGAGACGAATACGATCTTGTTTCATTCCCTTATTTATAGTCCATTCTTTGTCTTGTAAAGCAAGTCAAACTTGTAATTTTAGTCTGGTGCAGACGAGAGGATGAACATGTTTTGATGATCAACGGCAATTTTTCAAAGATGAATGAAGAAGAAAAAAACAAGAAGGAATAAATAATAGAATGGTTATGTGTTGGTCTTCTTCCAGTATCTCTTCCTTTTGTTTCTTTTCTCTTCGGCGTTCAAACATAATAAAGACGAGGTTCGGAAAAATGAGTGAGACTTTTTATATGAAAAGAAACAGAAATCTTCCGATAAATGCACTGATTTGAAAATGATTTCGAAAGAAAAGAGAAATGGAGACGAGCAAGATCGATAATTAGATAAGGCAAATTTCAGCTTGTTGTCAAACGATTAGAGGTCTTCATCTTCGACGTCTTCTTCTTGCTTTTGTTTTAACTTTGACAAGTATGATGATAGTATTTAGAAAAGACAAGATATAAATAACAGGTATAGATTCGTTTCGCTGGTTATATATGGTACCAAAAAAAAAAAGAGAATTTCATTGACATTGTTGTAATGCAAAATGAGGACATACATGGAAATGTCGACAAAATTGTCTTTTTTTGATGAAAGACAAAAAAAACAAGAGGATGAGAAGAGGAAAGACTGCGCGACAGGGGGAGAGAAACATGTTCTTATAAATGACATAAGTTTGTATTAAGTGTCATTTCTTTTTTTTCTTCTCTAATTCATATTTTGATCTCAGATTGTTTCGAAGACGAAGCATTGCTGTCAGTTGATTCATTCATGTAATTATTTCTTCCTGGTTTCGGCAGTTCTTTTCCCCCTAACGCAGAAGCTTTGACCTCTTCTTCGTTCTTTTTTCCCTCATAAACGCTCGGCACTTTGTTTTCTACGTTTCGCAGCTACAATTTAGCAAGTGTTTTTGTTTTGATGTTTTCTAGTTTATGCATGAGTTATATTATGTTCGATGAGCAGTTCCCAGGAATCTTTTCATGGCTCGAATATGAATCTGACAATTGGATTACATGAAATTACAGATTCATTACCATCGGCTACGTTACCTGGACAGATTTTCTTTGTTATTTTTCCTTGTATGGTCATAACAGGTATCATATGTAATTCATTAATTTTCGTCATCATGCAACGTCGTCGCATGTCTCATCTTTCCACATGTTATTACATGGGCATTTTAGCTGTTGCTGATACGAGTGTTCTACTTCTCGGTTTATCTGTTATGTGGTTATACTTGCTTAATCGTAAATGGTCATTACTATTACAATCGACTTATGTGTGTAAATTTATTTCACTTCTGTTCTATACTGTCTCAGATGTCAGTGTGTGGCTTGTCTGTATGATGTCAGCGGACCGTTGCATAGCTGTAACACGTCCGTTACACGCCAGTTCGATCTGTACGGTACAGCGAGCACGCAAGTGTGTAACTATTCTTGTTGTATGCTGTATATGGATTAATATTCATTTTCTTTTCTCACATCATTTATCACCAGAAAATGATTGTACGTATCATGAACGTTATGAATTTTTTAGTCGTCATATTTGGCCATGGATCGATGCAGCTGTCTATTCTATTTTGCCTTTTATATTATTATTAACGATGAATTTAATTATTGTTCATAGTTTATTTCAAGCACGACGTTCAACAACAACTCTACAAATCTGTCAATCTCAACTAACACGCCAAAAAAATAAATTATCTATCTCGAGGAAATTGACAACAATGCTCTTAGCTGTAACTGTCTTCTTTCTATTAAGTTCATGTCCTATGGTTTGTTTACAAATCTATATCAACATACATAAAAATAATCAGTATAAACAAATGTTTGCACAAGCTTACCTGAAGCCCTTGTGTGAGACATTACAATATTCAAATCATTGTGTAAGTTAGGTTCTTCTTCTTCTTGAATCATGACGTTGACTATGTTTGGATTTCAGGTGAATTTCTTTCTCTATGCGATGACTGGCAAAGCATTTCGTCATGAGTTGCATAGTTTATTTGTGACTATTGGTGTCAAATTGCATTTATCAAATGAACCGATACCAAACTCGAAGGAACGTCGATCGACAGCTCCAAATATTCAATATCATGTCGTCGAAAAGAATATCGATCGAAATTACAAATCAAATCAAGCAGCGCCTAGTACACTTCCACTCCTGCAGCGTCGGCAATCAAACGAGTCTACGGGGAGTAGTTCAGGTACAATTCCTCAATATTTTCGTCAACAAATTCCTCGTTCGAATCTCACTGATGTATCGTGTTATTTACAGAAGATATCTAATGTTTGAGAATTTCATTTTTCTTCGTCGGATTGTAATTTCTTTTCAAGTGTGTTTTTTGTTTTTGAATGAGAAGTATCAAAATATTTCGTTAGGATAAAGTGACATCATTTAGTTTAGATCGCAATCTCTTTTACTTTACCTTTCGATTTTGAAACATGTGAACTTTGATAACAAAACAAAGATAGAGAGTAAAAAAAAAGAATGAAGATGCAGATAACAATATCAAGAACTCGACTATAGACGCTTTTGTTTTATTTTAATGAAAGAATTTGCTCTGTTTTATAACACTTTTCGGGTGCGTTTTGTTTCGAAATTTGTAGACAGAATAAAACCAGAGGTACCATCTAAACAAACTCATGATGGCAAACGGAGATTCAAAGACAAATGAACGCTCAGCATTGTTGCCTAACCACAGCAGTGAATCATTCAATGCATCTCGATCAGAATCGTATGGACTTTTCCTAGACGTTTCTTAGCATGTCTTCGTTTGAATATATGATTATAATCTAGTATGCGTCGTCGTTCATCAACATCCGCCAATGAAGCCACGAAGAAAGAACGTTTTCGTGCTATTCGTATATGTTATTTTGGTATGTTCGTCAGTTCAATTGTGTTTAGCATTACTGTTTCATCACTATGGCCTTTTCTACAAATTGTACGGGATTAAGAAAAAGATTTCTTTATTCAAACATTTCTCTCTAAATTGATCCATTACTTAGATTGATACTTCTGCCGAGGCTACTTTTCTCGGATGGCTTGTTGCATCCTTTTCTATTGGACAATTAATCGCATCACCGATCATTGGTTATGTTGCAAATCGAACGGATAATAATAAAATGCCTTTAGTTGTTAGCACAGCATTGATTGTTGTCGCGAATGTGCTCTACGGATATGTTCAAAGTATAAATAACTTTGGAATCTCGAATAAATGGTGGCTGATGATTTCTCGTTTTATTATGGGAGTCGGTGCAGGTTGTTATTGATATTTTTGAAGTTCAGAGAATAGCTTTCTCCTGTTTGTTACCAATTGTAGCAAATTCAACGATTATGAGATCGTACTCTTCAGCAGCAACCACACTGAAAGAACGAACAGCAGTTATGGCCAATCTATCTGCATATCAAGGTGTTGGTTTCATTCTTGGGCCTCGTAAGTCTTTCGATATTGTAATTGAATCATCACACATATAAACCAATTACTACTCTAGTTATTCAAGCTCTTTTTGCTTTTCTGGGCTATCCCGGTCCTATTCACAAACCTTGGGTAAGATATCTTGGTTTGCACTTTGGATCAATCTATATTTATTCTCTTTATTTGTTTCATCTTCAAAGCTCTATTTTAATATCTATACGGCTCCCGCGTTTTTTAGCGTGCTAACCGCGGGTATTAACCTTGTGTTATTCTTAGTAGCATTCGACGATGCACGAATTATCGTACCATCGAGAAAGAGTATTAGCAACAGCACATCAAATAAACGTAATTGTATTGAAATCATTTTTCAGGAGACAAATTTGAACTGTATCTCTTTGTTCAGCGCTGTCAAAAGTAGATAAAAATGAACACCGTGATGAAACCAAGGCTATTGTATGTTGTCTCTACATGTTTTTTATCGCGTATTTGACATTTACAAATTATGAAACGTATGAGTTTTATTTCCAGTCGAAAATAAACGATTGTGTTTTCTTTGTTTAGAATTGCTTCGCCCCTCTCAATCGATATGTACGCTTGGACTAAAGAGCAGAGTACAAGGGATAATGGTTACCTACTTGGTGCACTTGGTTGCATGTCAGTAGTCGTTTTAATCGTGACAAAATTACTAGCAAAACGGTAACATCGTTTGAACACTATTCAACTTGACATTTTCTCCTTCGAAATAGACTTCAAGATCGTATGTTAACGCTAATAGGTTTAGTGATCTGTTTTCTTGGATATTTCGTCTTCTTACCATGGGGTTCTGATTATCCAAGTATTCAAATAGCTAGTAAATAACTCTCATTCTGCTGTTTTCACTCCCATGCAAATCTTTCTCGATTTTCAGCACTTCCATTTCCAACGATGACTATCGGCACACCGTCGAATTCATCCACACCGCTTTCACCCACAACTACAGCTGATCCCGGTGATAAAGGTTGTCCCCTTGATTATCAATGGTGTTATTACACTCCACGTGTACAACTATGGCAATATATCATGGCATCCGTCATCATTACCATCGGCTTTTCAATTTGTAATGTAATATGCTATTCAATCTTTTCGAAGAAACTGGGCGATCGTCCTCAAGGTACTATGATGGGTATATTCACAAGTGCTGGCTCGTTAGCACGTGCTTTCGGCCCCATTACCGTCGGCTTTCTCTACAAGCATTGGGGTCCGCGTGTAATGATGATTTTTATGCTCGTGTTCGTTTTCACCGGTATCTTGTCATTACTATTTAACTATCCGCGATTGTATATTGAAAATGAAGACGTCAACGAACTTGACGATGATGTTAACGAGGAAGACGAAGAGAGAAATATTAATGCAGTTAATTAATATATAGCAATAATGAAAATATTACTGCATAAGAAAACTATTTTGGAAGAAAAAAAGTGTTGAAAAACAAAGCGTACATGATAGAAATCGGGGATTTTGTATAATTGATAATAATAAAAAAAGAAAAAATTCACTAGAAACTATCGTTTTGCATGTTTATTGTTGTTGTTTTGCTGTTCTCGTGCATATGGAAAGTGTGTGTGTGTGTGTAAAAGTGATTAGAAGATTATTTTAGAAGAAAAAGAAAAAAGTTCGTATTCGTGTAATATTACATTAAAAAGTTAGAAGAATAGATACAGAAAAACAACCAAAGGAAAACAATAAGAATCAGGTTCGCATATCAGGAGAATAATGTTTTCCTTGTTAACGAAGCGCGATCCTAAAAGAAAAGAAANGTTTTGCTGTTCTCGTGCATATGGAAAGTGTGTGTGTAAAGGTGATTAGAAGATTATTTTAGAAGAAAAAGAAAAAAGTTCGTATTCGTGTAATATTACATTAAAAAGTTAGAAGAATAGATACAGAAAAACAACCAAAGGAAAACAATAAGAATCAGGTTCGCATATCAGGAGAATAATGTTTTCCTTGTTAACGAAGCGCGATCCTAAAAGAAAAGAAACAAAATCAGTCTGATTTGCATTCTGTGTAGCAGCTGGAGAGAATCTAATCTATTAATAGAGTAAAGTAATCAAAAACCGCAAGGTAAATTCCTATATGCAGCTCTCTCGAGACGTTTTCTTCGTGTTAGGCAAGGCGAGTTCTTTTAAGACTCTTGTCGGTGTTGTATACACATACATATGTATATGTATACACCTAACATTGATTAAATGTGGAGTGTTTATGTTTTACCTTGCCATCGGCATTGATTAATTTTGTAACTACATTTGAACTCGTATGCCATGAAGACAATAATGAAGCAATAAGATCGCCATTTCTTCGTTCTGTTTCATTTGATTTTGAAAGAATCTAATCGAACAGAAAATATACAATGAATGATTACGACATAGAAATAGTTGACAATACTTTTATTGATTGGTTCGATCTTAAGAGACAATTTTCAGGAAATGAGTATGTGAGAAGCTCGCCATTATCATTTTCTTGTTGTAGAGTCCAACCCGACAGTGCGATGCTTTTCGAACGACTCGTATTTTCAACGATAATGTATTTTCCTTGCGGTTCACATTCGGCGACTGAAATTGGTCCTTTGGCTGATTTATGAATCGTTGTGCGCGCTTCAAGTGCTGTTCAAACGAAAGAAAAGTATTACATAAGTGAAAATAGAATTAAGATCATCAAAGTTATAAAAAAAGAAGAAAACGAGATGCGCTCACTAATATAGTACTGAGAGAAGTCGTTTTTCTCCAATTTGTTAGTAGTTGTGGTTGTTGAGTTATTCGTTGACGGAAGATTATATGTAATCGGATGTTCAAAAACAGTCGGACGAGCGTGAAACATAAATGTTCCAGCCGAGGAAGTATACGATGTTGTTGCCATTCGCACTCGTTTCTTTTCTGATTTCTAATCTGTCGGATTGTTGCTTTTCGCTTTTCTTTCCTCAATATTCCACGTCTTTACGTCTTTTTTATTATTATAATATATGTAAGAGTAGAATGATCTCAAATAGTGGACAATGCTGAAGTTGCCTTCTTTTTTTCTCTCTCTGTCTCTGTTTTCTCTCTTCTTTCGTTTTTTCTCCCTCTTTCTCCTTCGTCTTGTCGCTTTCGAGGTTTGTTAGGCGATGGCGGAGGAAAACAATCAAGTCAGTACGCGTATACATGTGTGTGTGTGTGTGTGCGATTGCATGTCGGTGATAGATAAACACACCATACAGACACAGCAGTAAGCGAGACGAATATACTTTTTTTTGTGTAATGATAAAATGCAACAAATTTTTTCCTTGTGTGTCGCTTGTTAAAATGAGTAGGGAGAGACTGACTTTTCGGTTTTTTCCTTTCTTTCATACAATGCCAACGTAACTATATATGCATATATATATAGATGAATATACGTATAGTCATTCGAAGGTTGTGTCATAGGCTTCCATCAACTGCTATTAGTCCTTGTTGTGTTTTTTTCTAATGTTTCAATCGAATCGAAAGGAAAAAAAGAGAAGAGAAAGAAATCAAAAGACATTTGATGCAACCGTTTTACAGTTGCTTGTAATTTAAAATCGAAGACACTGATAAAGTGAACGAGCGACATAAATATATGTGTACATATATTTTATAAATAGCGCGATCACATCGTATCGCATCAAGTTTGTATGCACAAGTAATCGCAACTACTTGAAGAGAAAAACGAATAACGAACAGACGAAAATCGTAGGAGAAAGAAGAAAAAGAGCACGCTTGTTAAAACAAACGTGTTCAGCACATTGATATGGTTCAAGTATCTACACATNCTGATAAAGTGAACGATCGACATAAATATATGTGTACATATATTTTATAAATAGCGCGATCACATCGTATCGCATCAAGTTTGTATGCACAAGTAATCGCAACTACTTGAAGAGAAAAACGAATAACGAACAGACGAAAATCGTAGGAGAAAGAAGAAAAAGAGCACGCTTGTTAAAACAAACGCGTTCAGAACATTGATATGGTTCAAGTATCTACACATACAGCAATGGTAACTATACCACTTCAGATCGAATGTTACATACATTAACAGGCAAACAGCATCGAGCAGAGTAGGGAGGCTTGATTAGAGTAACAAAAAAAATCCCAACGACATCTGATCTTTGTCTATTTATAAGTGCAAACACATTAACATTTCATTGACGACGTTGATTGTCGTTTTATTTTTCACGCCTATTGACAACAATTTTTTTATTACTTACGTCCATCGGGTCCTTGGATAGTTGTTGTAATTGTGTTAATGGTATTTAACCAAGATGTTGATGTCGACGACGGAAGTTTTTGTTGCTCACTTTCATTGCTACTCAACGACGGAGTACTTGCACGGCTGCTCGATGTTATTTTCAGCATTGGTTCACCCAGTGCCGATGATGATAATGGGAGATCGGCTTGCGTTGGCGGTGGGTAAAGGGGAGCATCGATTGGTGTAGACGTAGATAAACGTAGGGCCATATCATCGTAATCGATTTTCATAGTAACTGGCAATGAAACACCGCGTTCACGTTCGCGAATAAGAAGAATTTTTTCGTCAGGACTCGTTTGGTGTTCTCGCTGTTCAGATATCGGTACTTGGTAGAGGTCAGACGTTTTCGTTTGTTTCGATACTGACGATGAGTTTATTGTGGATGCACAAGTTTTAAAACTATCTGATTCGGACACATCGAAGGAGAATTCGTTCAACGGTCGATTGAAGACATCGACTGCTCCCGAGTGAGACGAGGGATCAGGACTTGTAGTTTTTAGACGTTGTTGTACAGGTGCTTGAAGCTGTGTTGGGTTTGTTGTGCGAACAGTAGTCTAGATAAAGAAAAAGCAAATGATTTAGTCTTCGTTTTTCTTTTTCACTTTTTAACATTTCAGTGACATATACACGAACGATAAGAAAATGCTATTAGCATATGTAACAGATTTGTCTTCAGTGACGATCAATCTATGTAGAGAATAATTGAACGGTACCAAACGATTATCGTTATTGTTTTTACATATGATTTCTGTAGACATTTTCGTTATAGGCCTATAGAAATTATTTAAAAGAAATATTTGGCGAACTCCGTTAAACACATATTTTGATAAGAAAAAGGTCATAAATGCCTTCTTAATCTCAGGTGTTTTCTTTCAAAACTAATAGAACAACAAAATTTTAGTCTAAACATCAACTTCGAAGAAAACACGTCAATCAAACGTGTAATTTGACATGTTTTCTTCGTGCATTTACTTTTGTTTGAATAGCACTTGCAGATTGATGTTTTTCATCTTCATCATCAGCATCATTAGTAAATCCTGAATGAATACTTTCATCATCGTCAGCTGATGGCTTCCATAAACCTGGATAACCTGGTATAATATAAATATCATCTGTTTGCGGTTTAGTTGACACCGAACTACTATTCGAAAGATCGTAACGTCGATAAGTTGACTCATGTTTCCCAGGTCGTGTTATTTCATCGATGATACGATATAGATTCGAGATATCTGATTGCTCTAATTCGCTGAAATTTTCGTCATCCACATCTTCATCGGTGCTACTAGCATCAGATTTTTGCTGTTGATTTGAAGAATGTCGAGTATGATGTTTGTGTTTATGAACATCGTCTGAATAAGATGTCAGATTTTCGGTTGCATCTAATTCAGTTAAATCATCGTCTTTTGCTAGTCCTTGATTGTTATTACCGATTTGTTCGGATAAAATATGCTGATCTTTACTTTCATCCAAGATTTTCTTATCCGCTTGATAAACAGGAATGTCAGCTGCAACTGGAAATGATGGCAAACGTTCTTGAGATGAATCACCCATCTCATGTATAGCATAGGACACATATCGATCTGAACTGGTTATTTGGGATGACGTCGTTCCTGAACTTGATGACTTCTCTTGCGCCGTTGGTAATTGTTCTTCGTGTTGTTCATTCATAGAAGTTGTACTAGGAATGATAATACTATGTCCTTGTAATGCACTGATTAAGTCTGCTGGATCATCTTCAGTGTTGGCTGGAGATGTTTCACGAACGTCAGATGATGGCTCTTTGTTAATTTCAGTGCAAGTTGTTTCTACTGGATCGAATTGCTGCGTAATATGCTCATCATTCTACAAGAATACAAAAAAAAAGAATGATGTTCGATCGAAAGAATTGAATATCAATATTTGTTTTTACTGGGGGTGTAATAATCGTTTGTTCGGTCAGATTTTCGACAGTTGGCGGTGGTTGGTTCGACTCAGTGGGTGTTTCACTTTCCGTTGTACGATCGCTTGATTGAACAACTTCATCGGGTGACTGTGGAATTGGTTCAAATGATTGATGAAGAATATCTTCCACTGAATTTTCATCAACGAGATCAGACCAAGTCATATTCGATACTGACGTCGCCTGATCTAGATCGTTAATAACTGACTCGATTGTTTCATTTACCAAATCTTGAATAGTATCAAGAAGAATTTGATTTGTATCAGCATCAATCTGATCAGTTATATGATCTTCTGTTGATGTTGATAGATCGGTAATAGTATCTTGTTTTGTTTGCAATATTGATTCTTCTTCTTGTGCTTCTGCTGTTATTGTGATATCTTGATCCTTGTTGTCACTCGTAGAAATCTGAATAACAAAATAGTTTTCTAGAAAAGCATTTTCAATATAACGAACCTGTTGTTCAAAGTCTGAAACTTCTTTATTCGTGGAAGAAGAAGTGACACTTTGAACTCTTTCTGTAATAGTAGCTATTGGATGAGTAATGGCGTCTCGAAGAGTTTCGAGAGCCGATTTGGAATCTGATGTCCCAATATGTTGTTCATCAACAGCGACATCTTTGGCGAAGTTTTCATTCTGTTCACTGGTGGACGTTGATACGATACTTTGAATTGTTTCTGTCAATGTACTTATTGGATGAGTGACAGCATCCCGAATAGTTTCGAGAGTAGTGTTCGTGTCAGTTGATTGAAGCTCATTCGTGTCGGTATTCACTTCTGCAGAAGACACTTGTTCTTTTAAATCGTCTGTTTCAGGCATAATTTCATGGAGTTTTTCAGATAGGGTTGCTAATGGATGAGTAATCACATCACGAATAACTTCTAAGGTCGTTTTCGTTTCGACAGATGTGTCCGTATATGCATTCTCAATTGTAGTTGATGTTGTTTCAGCTTGAACTACTTCTTGTTTATCAGAATCATATGTTTGTTCAGACAGGTCATCGTGGGATGCCGCAGTAGGTTCTGTAACTGAGGTCAAGGAACTTTCTTCATCATCTCTATCTTCTGATAATGGAAGATGCCCTGTTGTTTGATCACTCGATAATATTTCCTAAATATCACGATAAATGTAAAGATTATGCGTTGTTTTAGATGGTTACTCACGGATAGTGGAGGTGCTGTTGGAGTTGGTTCAAAAGCAGAAGCATCTTTCAATGACGTGATAGGCTAAAAATAGTGGTGAAGAATCTTCAAAATAAAATTTCATACTATAAAACTTACTGTCGCATCTGCAGTGGAAGATGCTGCGTCATCGACATGTACTTGAATAGTAGATGCATTATCCTAAATGTTCAACATTGTTAGTTGTTGGAAATGTCGCTAGTATTATGGACGTACTACTATTGGTGATGATGAAAGTTCCGTTGTTATTGGTACTGCTTCTTGGTCTTCTTTTCGTTCGCTGACTTCTTCAACCAAAACACTCGAAACATCCAATTGTGTCTGACGGATATCTGTTTCATTAGATGCAGACTCGGCAGTAATATCAAGCTCGTCGCTTTTATTAGCATCGTTGGATGTTACATTCGGTATTTCGACATCTTCAACAGAATTCGGACCTTTTTCTAATGGATTTTCAATTGATTGTGACGAAGACAATTCTGCAGTGGTATCTTGAATACTTTCCAGTACTGTACTTGGATTGTTTTCTGTAGATTTTTCCTAAAAAATCATTTCTTATGTGCAGATTGTTACAAATAATGATCAGTTTGTCTACCTCTTCTATTGGAGTGGTGTTTTCAAGAATCGTGTCTTTTGTTTCACTTTCGAGTTTGAGCGGCTGTACTGCAGTGGTGGTGTGCATACTGGAAACAACACTTTGAATAGTTTCAATTAATGGTGTAATCGGTATTGAGATTGAATCTCGAAGAGAAGTAAAGAGAGATTCGGCTGTGCTATCAGATTCTATCCCTGAATTTTTGTCCTTGATTTAAAAAATAGAAGATTTTTCTGTACGGATATGTCCCATTGAAAAAAGACCACTTACGGATGAGTACTGTTGATGATCGCCCTGGCAACCATGATAGACATCGCTACTGATAAAGCGATTTGCTACTGCATCTGCAAGTGTATCGATTGAACTTCGAGTTACTGATTGTGATATCGAAGTTGGTTCCTCGGTGATTAATTCATCAGATTGGGATGAAACGTTTTCTGAAATCTGTTCGAACGTTTTCATTTGACGTTTATCACTTGAGTCCGTTGATTCGGATTGCGACACTTCGTTGATAGTAAACGTGTCTTCTTTTGACGAGTCGTCGGTTGATGGCGATTGCGTATTAGTTGGACTAGGTGAATAAACTTGCTCAGAAGTATTAAGCGGCAAGTCGGTAGGTGATTCAATAGATGGTTGGTCAGTAGGTGTACTTTGATCATCTACTACTGTAATCATCGTCTGTTCAGAAGTACTAGTCTCTTCTGTTAAACTTTGAGTAAGTGAGTTTTCTTCGTCGCCGTTGTCAACAACTGCTTCATCCCACGTTACGCGTTTCGCGAACTTTCTACCTGATGTACCATCATCAAGTGTTTGTTCTGCTGCATCTATCATAGATATACCTTCTGGTGTACTTGATAGTAAATCTGTTTGCTGATCTTCGCTTGTTGAAATGTCTGACTGAACTACTTGTGATAGCCGTTCAGGCAATGCAGCTGGTGCACTTTCTATTTCGTCTATTTTCGCTTCTGTCGGTGGTACTTCAGTCTGAGTTTGTTCACCAGCTAGTATTTCTTTTTCACCGGATACGGTTGTTGTTCCTTCGTGTTGCTCTTCTTGTGTTGACGTTGTTTGTAGATCTTGACTATCTTCCTGATCTTGTGGTACGGTTGACGAAAGTGGTTGGTCAGATGTTGATTGAACTTCAGACTGATCAGTCAACGAATCGTTTGTTTCTTCTACTTTTTCTTCTGTCTGAATCAATAAAGTTTGCTTCGTACTTGGTGCAGATTGTTGTTCTTCTTTTTCAGACTCTTTTGTAGTGGGCATAGTTTGAGAAACTTCTGAAACAGTTTGCTCTTCTTCTTCTTCTTCTGGTTCCTCAGCTGAACTTGGAAGTTGTTTAACGTCTGAATGAGTGTGTGTTTCTTCCTCGATCGAAGTCGATAATTTATGTGCATCTACTTGTGAAGATATATCCGTATCGAGATCAGACATAGCGGTGACAATTTTATCATATGACTCTTCACGAATCATATGACTTGATTTTTCTGTTTGAGAAGTAACATCCGTTCTGGCAGACTGCGATAGTTGAGTTTCAAGACGTTGATTCGGCACTGTTGGTGAATCGTCTGACGATAGTTGGTAGTCGAGCACACTTTTACCTGGACTCATACTGCTAATAGTCGAACTTAATGGTGAAACACTAGCGAGAACTTCCGAGATCTGATTGATGAGCGAATCGTATTTATTCAAAGTATTTTCAAGAATTTGAATTGGTGCGGAAGCAGCGCTGATTAACTCATTGGTTGCAGCAGACTCCCGTTCAACTTTAGAGATTACACCAGAAACAGGAGTTTCAGGCGATGGATTGGCGATTGGCGATGGTTGAGTAATCAGTGATGATTGAAGCTCTTCATCAGGTTGAAATAGAAGTGTCTCAGGTCGACTAATTGATTTTTCAACTTTTGGGGTGGGTGAAATTATTCGTTCGGTCATAGTAACAGATTGATCAACAGTCGATGGGGTCGATTGAAATGGTACATAGGGAGTAGATGGCAATGTTTTGCTGGATGCTGCAAAGAGTGTAGTATGGATGTTCGAGGGTGGATACGATTGAACCGAATAAGGAGCCATAGGTTTATAGACACTTTCATATACTGTTTCAAATCGATTGAAATTTGGGGATGCTGTCGTCGACGGTTCTGAACGAGAAGGCAATGTTCGATAAGACGGCTGACTATCAACAGTTGAACTTGAAAGATTAGTATAAGTTGTGGCTGATGGTAGCGTTGATGAATGCAGCGACGTCGAATTGCTCGACGTATATGTTTGTGATTTGGGCGAAGAGTATTGTGTGCTCGAGAATGGTTCACATGTCGTTGATCTCTCAGGAATGAAGCTTGACGAATATGTAAAGCTTCCTGTAGACGGGAATAATGTCGGCTTATCGGATGCAGTCGATACTTGACTGCTAGTCATCGTATCAAAACGAGTTTCGCTCGTTTTCGGTAAACTACTTGTAAATATTGGTGTGATTGTTGGTTTGAGTGGAACTGGTGCAGAATTAGTGAACACAGATGTACTTAAATGTTGGGTATGCCGGGCTGGAATCGGTTTTGAAGCAAATGTAGACAAATATGCATCAGTATAGTCGGAACTCGGTGGTGTGATTGCTTTCGATGGCAATTGTCGACCTCTCATTTCGCCCGTACCAAAGAAGGTGACGGTCTTCACTTTTCGAGCGTAGTGACTACCACTACCATTGTACTCACTCCACTGATAGGCGCCCGAACGATCGTTGGCAGGAATCCATTGAACATTTAAACTAATCATCGCTGGACGGCGTCGATAACCACCATAGACCTGATCGAAAATGGTCGTTTCTATTGGCGCCGATGGCACAGAGAGAGTGGGTGCACAGGATGCTGTCGAGAAACTACCCCTGGTAACACCCTCACTATCATTACCTGTAAAGAAAACTGAGACATAAAACATATTCTTGAATTTACGATCGCCTAGCATCAAATCATGCATTTTTGTGGTGGATGAAGCACTCTTCAATCAATCAATCAATCCATCATTCATTCGTATCATCATGCTTTGTGTGAATATGAGCTATTTCAGCTGAAACTACGTGTATTAAAAGACGAAGAGAAAAAAGAAAGAACATAAAAGAGAATGAAAAACTACTGCTAGTATAAGAATGGATTAGATGAGCAAACTGAACTAGAAAGCAAGGTAAGAAAAATGAGTATAGATAAGACTATAGTAATAGTAGTAAAAGAATATATCACTGGCGACAACATATAAACTGTGTTCGATTAAAGTCCAGTTCTTGTCAAGCATCAAGTGCTTTCAGCCGCAAGGCCAATGCACCTTCAGGTTCAAGAGTGAACCAATCATCGATTAAGTTTCCATCGTCTAAGTTATAGTTACCCAATGTAACCAATGCTTGACCCATGAAAACTTTGTCTGTTGAAAACAGCGAACGATCGTTTTTGACCGTAAGATCAAGAGTTTTTAACTTGGCTTCTTCATATGTCATATCATATTCGAATGTTTCATCAAAAACAGGTGCTAATGTATCTTTCATAATTCGAGTGCGTCGTTTGGTCTTCTTACGCTTGTCCGGTAACAATAACAAACGTACATACGGATCCGATAGACTATTCTTATCCGTATTAATCAAATCACGTGCTTCGTATACACGTACGATAAGTTTACCGCGTGTTCGATCATATCGGATACCGCAGCGAATTTGACCATAACCATCGTCTTTACGTGTAACCGGTAAACGATCACGTCGTTCGTTTGGATCCTCCAACGATGAGTCGTCACCTTCACCACCACGTTGACCAGATGAACTTCGATCAATGGATCCACTCTGTTCTCGAACTCGATTAAGTGCACTACCACTTCGATTGATTTCTTCTCGAATTGTCGGCGGATGACGAACATTGTCACCAGATGTTGATGGCGGAAGATTTGCGCTACGTTCGTATGATGAACTTGTTCCTGGACCAGAACGATAGAAGTCGTCTCGATTGCGATTTCCACCAACATAATCACTACCACCTACACCACGTTGGTTACCACTGGAATCGCGTTCAATGGAGGATCGCTCATCTGATTCTATAAGGATGATAACATATTTTGCATATTTTATTTAATTAAATTCTACGACGATCAACGATCACGAAAAACATTGACTTGACGATGACGACAATAATAATGAAGATAACGACGAAAAAATATCGACGAGATGCCGGTTTAACTAATCACATTTTCCGTTCGGATCGCTTATCCAATTGTGAATTCTTTTGTGCCTAATTATCTCAATGTCTCATTCTAGATGTGAACATTTCCGAACGGAAAAGATCTTTCTCGAGTAGACGTACAAAATGTCGAATCATCTGATACGTTTTCAAACACCAATTATTTATTTGTTAACTAACTAAATACAATATTGAATAAGCAGACAATCACAACAATGAACAAGCAAACAAAGGAAAGAGGAGAAGCGGTGCAAACATGCAAATCTCTGCTCCTTCAAAAGAAAAATATTTCGAAAAGAATTTCCTTCATTCTTCTTCGATTTTATGAGGAAAACAGAAGAAGACGATGATATCTTTTCAGTGGACATTTCTTGATGTTTTCAAATCTGAAGAAATATAGTTCATGTTCTTGTCATGTCTTGTTTCTACTCGTTTGGTTTTGGAATGAAAAGAGACGACTCTAATGAAGGGAAAAAGAGAGAGAGAGAGAGAGAGAAAGCAAACAAATGTTCAGTGTTCACATTGCTAACAGAAATCAAACGAAACGAAACGAAACGAATACACTTGACTAGCGATTAAGACTAAGTTAATCATATTTATATATGTATGTGTGTTGTAGTTCAAGAGAGAAGAATGTCTTGTATTCATTATGATAATTATGTTTTGCCAATCGTACCTAGAAAAAGAAATCATAGGAAGGTTCGATAAGTGATTTCATTTTACAATTATCCGTTTTGCTCGATTGAAATTCTCGAATGACGCTCGGCTTATCTTTTAGGCAAAAGATTGACATTTAATCGTATTTACATGTAATCATTACTCTTTCCTATTGTCAAGGTTGACCTTCTGTAATTATTGATAAGAGTTTGTTTTACTTTCAACATCAGTTGTGTTTCTCAAATTAAAATATTTCGTCTATTTGAAGGATAGTGCAAAGAGGAGACAAAGCAAGGATAAGAACGTATCCGGCATGCAATAGGTGTATTAAATCACAACGAGCAACATGACATAGTGTACAATAGGTTTTCTTCTTACCTTGACCACCGCTGGTTGTTCGATAGGAACGTGAATATGAATATGATGACGTGCCTCCGCTGCCAGCTGCACCACCGGTAGTGGTGCTGCTACCACCAGCACCTCCACTACTTGCTCCGCCACTACCACCAGCTCCACCGGCAGCAGCGAAATCTGCTCGTGCTTGTTCTTCAACGTTGGAAACTATTTGTTTTAGACCCGCTCTGAAGAGATACAAAAATGTTGTCTTTTAATCTACATTTCCTTTTGGATTATTTACCTGTTTTCTTCTCCTTCTAATAGTTTTCTATAAATGGCAATTTCTGCATCCAGCGATGATTTTGTTGTTACCAATTCATCATAATCACGTCCTAATTCTTCTAGTCGAGCTCGTAGTTCTTGAATTTCCCGATCTCGTTCGTTAGATGCTTGAATACCTTCACGTCGTTCAATCTGTACAAGTTCTTCTAATTCTTGAATACGATTTTCTAACTCGCCATTCTAAATCAAACGTTCTCTTCGAGTTATTCTTTTCTTATCCGATGAAATCTATTTACTCTTTGACGCATAGCCGAAATATCTTTTCGTGAATCTGTAACCAACGTACGTAGTTTTTTAATTTCCTCTCGCTCACGAACACTTTCCGGTCCTTCAATTGCACGACGAGCTTGTACTTCTTGGACCTATTTTTCCATCAAATAATTATGAAATATCGATCAAGTCAAAACACCTTACCGCTTGTGTCACTTTTATACGGTACCACGATTCCAATTCATTACGTTGTTGATTATTGAGCTGTTCATATTCTTCTCTGATGTCTCGAATTGCATTGGATAATTCATGTTTAAAGAAATTCGATGGATCTAAAGCTGTTCCAATAAGATTCGCATGTTTTAATTCTTCAATTTCTTGAGCGTGAATTTGTTTTAGAAAATTAATTTCTTCTTCCAGACTCTGTTTTTCATTTTCTAATTGCACACGTGCAATCGTTTCCTGATCCAGATCTTGCGTGACACGTTGAATGTCTAAGATGAGTTTCTGAGACTCAGCACGAAAACGTTTTTGTTCATCCTCCAAATCGGCTAAAATAGCATCAAAGCATGATCTTTCGATATTCAATGTTCAATTGATTTACCTATGCGACGACGGAATAGATTAAGATCTGCTTCATTGTCGGCGAGTTGTTTTTGTAATGCTTCTATTTTTTGTCGATCGGTATCTCTTCCGGCTAATAATGTTTCGTATCTAAATCGGTTCCAGCGAATAGTTTCTTAAGAGAAAAGTCGTGTTTCTATCATACTTGTCCTTATATTTTAATGTTTCTTCTTCGGCACGTTTAGCACGAAGTTCAGCTGTTGCTCGATCTTTGGAAGTTTCATCAATAATACGACGCGCTTCGCGTATTTCCACTTCATACATTTCCTTAACTTTACCCGTTTCCGAACCCCATTTTCCTCTGATGAAAGTGTTGACATATGAGAACAAAGATGAGTACTCGAAATGAAATTTACCGTAAATGTTCCAATTCAAGTTGAAGTTTCTTATTGAGTGCTTCCAAATATCGTACACGTTCAATGTAGGATGCAAAACGATCATTAAGATGACTTAATTCTCGTTTTTCACGTTCACGGTTTTCTCTTCAAAGGAACAAAAACACATATTTTAATTTCTTTTGTTTCATTCATTTACTCATGAGGATAACTCAGCTCAATGTTTCTTGATAATTAGAAAAGAATAAACACCTAGACGATCTCGAGAGATGAAAACACGCTCAGATGGAGACTTCAGTTGATCCCCTGTGTAAGTCTTCCATTAGAACTTTAAATACAACCTTCGTGTAATATTTAGATTATGACGAAGAGCAAACAATCCATAAATCACCATCCATCAAATTAATCTGACTAAAACGAGATTTTCTTTTAGAAACAACATGTTTATATCATAGTTTATCTGACTATCATCCTCACGACAGTCGCTTTGTTTTTGTTTATGATACTAGTTGTTAAATAACATTCTGGACATTTACACCGAGTGATGCTCGTAGTGATGTCGGCAGCATCTAACGTCAGTCTAACATGTGGTGTCACGCACAGTTGGACTTTCTCGCTCATACTATCATCGATCGAATTACATTCTTGTGAGAAGAAGGCGGGTATCATTCTTTCTAGTCACTAATCAAAGTAGCTAATCAGAGAACAAACACACGTACATATCTGTGATTAATCGATTCACTTGATGTAATATGGTACGAGAGAATTCGAACAGAACAAGAAGCAGAGATTTTGATTGTTCAACTTACTGAATAGCGACGACAGCCGCCGATTTGCCACCTGGCTTAAGTGGAACACCAGGACCTGTACCGTAGGAATAGAATCGTTCCATGATAATGTTGTTTGATGATGGTACAACTCGATTTGTTGTAATATTCGTAGGACGCGGAGCTATTTGTGAACGATAATGAGTCGTTTCTTCTTCTTCTATGCGATGTTGTTGAGACGAAGATGAAGAAGGATCACGACGTTGATCTCGTTCATCACGATCTCCTCCACTACGTCGATTATTCGATCCATCACGATCTGAATCTCGATAATTCCCGCGATTATCCATTGGTCGAAGAAATTTTGGCGAAACTAGAATAATTAGATAGAAAATAAGAGAGATCTCCACCTGTGTACAATGATATTTATTTTATAATAGAATTTCCCTCATAAATAATTCTACTTGCCTTCTTTCCCTCGGAAAGTATGTAACGGAGAACAAATATATAAATAATAAGCGTTCGAAGGAAGAAATGTGTGTGCAGACTTCGATCTTTAGAAAAAAAATAATAAATGCTGACGTCGAAACGGACCTTTCTTTAGGGAACAAAAATATAAGTTTTTTTTCTTCTTTTTTTTTTTTTGTTTCAAAGCCACAATAACTAGCACTAGACACCGGAGAAGATCAGAGACACAAATCGAGAAGAAAATAGCAAGCTGTTTTTCCTGACTCTCATTTTCCTTTCTCTCTTGCTGCGCTACAGAGACGAGTAATAATAACTCTTTTCTGCGTTTACGTCTTTTCCTTTTCTCGGTTTCTGCTACTTGTTCCTGTGAACAAAATATGCGAAGCCCATCCTCTGCGGCAGTAACTGCGGTAAAAGTGGCATTTCCATCTTCTTCCCATTTTCTCGGCTTCTCTGCTTTTCACTAACAAAAAAAGAAAGAAACTGGTTCAAACTTCCTCTTATTCACTTCGATAGTAAAAAAATAAAAAGAAAAAAAATTGTGTTTTTTCTTGCTTTCATTACTCTTTTCTCTTACTCTCTCTCTCTCTCTCTGCCGTATCCTCTTCCCTTAATAACAAAGAGAATCGAAGAGATGTGGTAATTTCATCTGTGATGCATCCTTTCCCTTTCTCTCTATCTTTCGATTGCGTGATGATGTACCACAGTGCGTAAAGATCAGTGGTATGTCTATTTGTATGATGTGCACTAGCCATCATCATTCAATAACAAATAGAAGCAAATTTTATGCAACGATCTGTAATAATAAAATTATTCCTAAATGAATTCGTAGGCGTACAGAGATATGTACATAGACGGAAAGTAATGAACGGATTATTTGAATATTCGATCTGCAGAAGAGGAAAAATAGAAAAGAGAGAAAAAGGAAAATTTGTAATAGAAAAGACCCAGGGAATGAATAACTCTATTCGGTTAGTTAGAGCAAAACCAATTGAATCTCGAATGCTAAATAGGACAACAGCAAAAAGAAACGGGGAAAAGAAACTTTACAGTGACATATATCTATGAATAAATGATGAGAATGCGTATTTCATTTGAGCAAGAAAGCAATCACATTGCACAGGCATTGAATGATTTCTGTCTATGGATAGAAAATCGCTTGGTGATTGAAAGCTTTTCTTCACTCAACATACAGAGAGAGAGAGAGAGAGAGAGAGAGAGAAGAATTTGGCATATCAACTATTTTCCTAACAGTTCCCTATTGACTTTCGATTGATGACAGAAGATCATGATGACAGATACATATAAACTTGTTGTACCTATATGTATGCACTAACTATGATATACAAGTTGTCTTGTCTCATATAGTAAACTCCAGAGAAAAAACAAACACCTGCTATTCAATCTTCTCACTATCCAATTACTTATTTGAATTAAATTCTAGAAGACATCATTCAGATGTATTCGAACATGCCATAAGATCATTAAGACAACGAAAGAGCTTCATTTGTAAATATATTATTTGAGATAATAAACGATTTCCCGAGTGTGAAGACACTGAAATGAATAGACGACCTTCTACTAAAAACATATCCATGACATAAGTCTCCTGATAAGCAAGTCATTGATGGAATATTTTAATATTTGTTTATTTATCATTCCTCCAATGATAGACGCATTAAAAGAACAACTCGCTCAATAGTATTCAACAAGAACTAATTATCAATTTGCATGTATGCATATATTAATTCTCAGGAACAAAATCAGTATTCTCATTATATTTAGATTATAGACATATATCGATAGACGAATTCATAAATATTTCCTCTGCAAGTTTCTGTCTGGATATAAATATATCCTTGCCTATAATAATCTTTATTATAGAGACTGTTCGTATGACATACCGTAAGGCAATACGTGCTATCAGTAGAGACGTACACCGATCGATCTTTGTTAATGGGGGGAAGGCTAGCTGTTTTTTTCTGCTGCTAGACACAACTTTTTTTAATACACTGACGATTACACTAGTGGGAGATACGAGTTCGTAGCACAAAGAGAGAGGGAAAGGATGTAGAGAGGTTATTCCTCTTTTTTTCCTCAAATACGGGCTATTAACATGTCGAAAGAAAAATCTTTTCTCTCCCCTTAGCACCCATTATCATCATTTTCGCCTTCTACCATTCTTTCCTCAGCTATCGATCGTATATTTTTGTTTGTTCTATCTCCAACGGCAAGTAAATAGAGTTGCGTGTCTTCAACTCGACAACGTCAGATACTCAAAATGGTGTCACTCACAATTATCCTCATGAAAGGTTGACAGAATAACAAGAATATGTGTCAAATGAGAAAACACATTACACCAAGACAGGAAGATTAAGACAAAGATATCCTTTTTAGCGATAGTTCACTTTTGACTTAAAACGCCTAGTTTATGCTCGAGACAAGAAATGATATTTCGATCTTGAGGTTTTTCTCTTTGTTCTTCTAGTCTGCCTATTCCAAAGGCGCACGAAGTATTTGACAACAATTGTCTCATTAACATCAGCATTTTTTTCTTGGACGATGTCATTTCCTGATTGATAGAAAAAAACCGAAGAAGTGTGTCTATATACTTGACGCAACGTCGTCAGCATTCAAGTATGTAAGAATAATGGCGAAAACTACCAATCGGAAGATACGAATCGAAGCACGTACTTGCTGCTAATGAAATTTTCCACTATGAAATGATCATTACAAACCACAGCTAGCAAACATCTACTTGACTAGTGAATTTAATCAAATGAACATCGTTTCTCCTCACTAGCAAAGTGTTCCTGCGAAAAGGGCGCCTAAGTGAACTCCGATATTTCTAATAGAAACTATGGAGGAATTATTTATATCCATTTCTAGTCTGTTTTATTTCAGGAAATTACAACCATATCCTGAGTAGTCAGATTAACATGTATGGATGTATTTCAACATTCGTAACTAACTAAACAAATTGCTGTTTGTATTTCTATTCAATAAAAAGAATTAGTAACTGTTATGATTTCACGTCATTTAGTTAATACAATGCAAATCAATGTGAGAAAAGTCGAGTTCTTTATGTTGAAATGAAAATACGGTAGTTTCAATGAATGTCAATTATTGCAGTAATATCTCTCTCATAACTCAGACGCCGCAGGCCTTTTTCTTCTAACTAAAGATTTAATCGAAAGAATGAAAGGAGAAGCAACGGCATTGACCTATACAATAATCAATAATGCAAGCATTAGAAGTGTTTGATAACTTTAGCTTGTCAATGTCATAAAAACAGTTAAGAAGGAGCATGCGGCGAGTAGAGAAATTCTAATTATCAATCGTTCTCTCATTTCCACGCAGACAAAAACCATACTTTTCTTGGCTCTTACATTAATCATGTCGAATAACTGAGGTTTACCGTATGAATTGCTTTACTTTTCTCCGGCCAATAATATCGCCGCCATCGTTCCGTAAAACCAACATCTTATGTCATTGTTACTGCAGGCTTCGACAATGAAACCTATTAGCACGAGTAACAATCTACTCGCTTCGTTGATCTATCGTTCAGCAAATCAGAAAACTAACAAACCTATCCTTCTTATCTCTATTCAATGGCAAAATTTCAGTTGCATCTAGTTGATCATATAAATATCCTTCACCATTGATTTAGAATTTGTGTTAATCATTGCAATCAATAGTCCGTAACCCAAGCAAAAATCATATCTATCTTTCTCCTCTTTCAACATATACATGTATATTGCTAAAAGATAAACCTGAACACCAAAAACATATGTTCTTTCTGAAATGACATAAAACTTATCTAACTCTCCTTAATAAACACGTACAAACACAGAGAGAAACATAAACTTGATTAAAAATGATGATTATGGGAAAAGTCTTTTTTTTGTCGAATTTTTGTGATTTTTTGTATTTTGATTTAAAATTTCGCTCTTCAGCTATCTAACTTGATGATGTGTATTCGCGACGGGATGTTGTTTGCGAATATGAAGCACCTCCGCTACCACCTTGTGTGCTACCATAGCTGCTGCTAACACGGCCAGGGCCCGTAACTAAACTGCTAATTCCAGCATTGCTTGTTCCTGATCCGCTGCTGCTGATGAATGTTCGTTGGATTGTGGTTGATCGACCACCACCGCCTGAATAGGAGATGGAACCAGCAACACCCGAACCGCCTGTAGCTCGTTCAGCTTCCATACGGCGTGCTTCTTCGACGACATGGTCAACAATTTGTTTCAAACCTTCGCGATTATTTGTTCCTTCTAATAATTCTCGGTAGGTGTTGATTTCTTTTTCTAATGATGTCTTCATGTTTGTCACTTCTTCGTATTCCTTTTGTAATTGTTCTAATTTACGACGTAATTCTTCGATTTCAGCAGCACGTTTTTGGACAACGCGACCACCNAAACTATATGATTCGAGGAAAAAGAAGAGGCGAACAAACCGCTACCATGCAAATAAGTTCTATCGCATCGTGTTTGCGCGCGCGTTCTTATTTAGTCGACAGTGCTTGCTGTCGAGTATATGCGGGCATGAATGTAATTATATTTTTCCTTATTCGTTAGTTTGACTGCAGAAGAAGAAGAAGAAGAGGAAAAAGTAAGATCAATGTTTTACTCTCGTTCTCTCCTTGTTAGTTTACCGTCTATTAGCCTATGATTCATCGCTAGCCCAGAAACATACCACGAATAACTTTTAAAATTGTTAGAGTAGCAACGAAGCGAGACGCGTCGGACAGAATAATTTTGCAAAAGAAAGAGAGAGACAGAGAGACATAGACAGAATTGTTACTTCTCTTTCTCGCTACACAATTGTTCGATGTGTCCGATTCGTACAAATAAATCCGCCCATGCATAGTTTAACTTCAAGCTGAAGACACATACATCGAATAGGCGAAGAACATACAATCTACTAATAGCATACAGCCATTTTCGCTTTACTTTCTCATATATTTAAAAGATTTGATCTCCATATCACATTTACATATGCACACATACGTGTATGTGAACGTGATATTGTCAATAGATTCAGCTCAAATGACAGCGTATCATTATTGATGAAAAGAATAAAATTCCCCTAAGGTAACGTTTTTTGATATTGTATTCAAATGGCGACTACATGCACATAGAGATATTTGTATATATCGAGCAAGAACAAAAGAAGATTAGTCGAAGAGAAAAGCTTTTAATCTACAAAATATTGTTTTGTTTGTGATCGATGATATTTTCTTGTTATTTTTTTTCTTAACGATGTGGTGAAACGTTACGTGAAGTTGAAGGAGATCGACCACTAAGACCACCCACAGATGAATATGATGTTGAATAAGTAACTTCACGAACGTTATGAGAACTACTTGGACCTGAAGTATTTCTCATCAGACGTAAATTAAGAGAATCGAGCAATGATCGACCACGATTCATGATTTTTTCGGCTTCTTCGGCAAAATGTCGTAGGCCGACTTGATTATTACCACCTTCCAATAACAATCGATATCGGCGGATTTCTTCTTCTAACGTTGTACGATATTTTTCTAAATCATTTATATAACCTTTTATACGGTCGATTTCTTCACGATAACGTCGTTGTTCATCAACAAGACGTTGATCTTCGTGATAGCTAGTAGATTGTATCTGTTGACGTATATCAGATATTTGTCGATCGAGATCTTGGTTTTCCATTTGCAATGCACTAACACGGCCACGTATATCGGATATGCTCCGGGTAATTTCTCGAATCTTTTCAGTTTGCCATTGTGATTCAGCAGGTTCTTTTGGTTGATGGTATTCAATCAGTGCACTGACTTTTGCCTGGTAATAATTCTGTAGTTGTTGTTGCTGCTGATCAGTAATATTTTCGAATTGCTTACGGATTTCACGTATAGCTGATGTTAATTCACTTTCAAAGAATGGTGCTGGATCAACGTTCGCAATCGCGACTTTTGAACGGAGTTGTTCGACATCGAATTTATGTGCAGTATCTAAGGCTTTCAATTCCTGTTCAAGAACGGTCTTTTCGGCCATGAGTAATTGTTTCTGTGTTGCTTCGTTGGCAATCTCAGAAATGAGGTTGGCAACATCAGTGCGAATGCGTTGTAACTCAGCATTGTATAAGGCGATTTCGTCATCATTGTCAGCAATCGTCTTTCGAATCAAGTCGATTTTTTTTTCGAGATCAATAATTTTTTCACGCAGTTGTTTTAATTGACCTTTAGCAGCGTTGATTTGATCTGGCCGTTGAGCAGTCAGTAAACGTTGCTCGGCTTGTTTCAGACGCGCTTCTGCTTCTTGTCGTTTACCTTGTCCTGAACGAACATCGTCATCCATTCGTTTCAGAGTTTCTTCAGCTTCCTTTTTTTCACGTGTGATGATTTCACGTATGCGTTGCAAACCAATACCTTTCTTATTTCGGATGTTATCCAAATCACGGCTAAGCTTTCGATTGACTGCTTCCAGGTAACGGATTTTACCAATGTATTCAGCAAATCGATCATTCAACTCAGCTAGTTGGCGTTTTTCTTCGGCACGTTGACTAGTAAATGGAATGAGTGCCCATGCGCCCGCACCACCACTACCACCACCAGCAGTGCTACTTCGTAACGGTAAGGCACTGCTTGACATTGAATGAGATACGCTCATTTTCGATGTGACATGGCGACTACCACCGCCCAGATTCTTAACTGGCCGAGTGATGATCACTTGTCGTGGAGTGATGGCCGACATGTAACCAACAGCTGTACCAACAGATCCATAAGTATCAAAAGTCGTACTTGTGCGTGGATCTGCGGTGTACAATTCTTCGCGCTGTACATCATAGATAGTTGGCATTGTGGATAACGCAAGAGAAGAAAAAGTGAAGCAACTCTCACTCGATTGGAATGTATATGACACAGAAAATGAGCGTCAAAGGACTTCTTATATACGCGAAAGAGCAAGAGGTGACAAAGAGTACATGTGTGTGTATATGTAACAGACTGATCGATTCAATTTCTCATCAGTACAAATATATTCCACGTTAATCGCCTATTACATATTCTTGCGGTTTCTTTCACATGTTCATTCATTCTCGAAAAGAAGTAACTTTCTATAGCTCTATTTAAAGCAACAATACAAACACCCAAGCTCCCACTACCGCCCCCGGATAACCTCATGCAATACAGTCAAGGCCCGCAAATCAATAAAGCTTGAATAGAGTACGCATACACGCAAGCGCAAAACCGTATTTCATTAGCCTACCTGATTCAGCTATTGAAAGTGGCCAAGACAGAGAACTCGATTGTAATGACACCGGCTCGGAATCTATGAAAAGAATAGTATTAACATCAGTTTCGGTAATCACTAAACCATTCTGTTCTTCGAGTTTTCTTCTCAACAGAATAGACGGACAAAATGAAAATAAAGTTCTATTTACTTGGCTGCACTGGAATGTCTGCTTTGGTGACGGTTATTTGTACATTGTTGCGAGCACTTATCCATAATGAATCGAATGATGATTTGTATTCTTCGTAGGTTTGATATGGTTTACTATCATCGATCGCGATAATTTCATCACCAATGGACAGATTTGGACAATAGTTTTCATCAAGAATCGATGAAATTTTGATTTTACCATCGTCTACTTCTTCGAAATCGAAACCGTATTTTCCTACGTGATCAGCTTGTCGCGTCACGAGAACTGTCGTGTAAACTTCTTCTACATCATCCGCTTTTGCTCCTTTGTGATTACCATTATCGGTAACACGTTCAATGGTTGTGATTAATTCCTCGCTCATTGTATCGCTCACAGGTGATAAATTTTGTTCCCTTTGTTCGTACAATTGCTTTTCAAATTGATTAATGTCGTCATCAAAATGCTTAGCTGTTGTGCGATATTGCTCGAAGTTTGTTGTATAATGATGGCACAATTCTTCGAATTTTTCGACAATATCATCTGTTCCTGGTTCAGTCGTTGTTCGACGATAGCCGTATTCTTCGTAGATTTCTTCATCGTAGGTAGGAGCATGTAGAACATGAAATTCTATTTGATTTTCATTTGGACGAAACTGATGGTAATTCGAACTTGTTAGGAGAGAATCACTAACGATTTGAGAAAGATTATTAATAGTTGGGGGAGGTGGAAGTGGACTGGGTTGATTTACAGGAAACTGGTATAGGGGCATGGAGGATTGAATTTCGTAAGTGAGTGTTTCAGATGTGTGTGTATCGTCCGGTACTTGGTCGATTTGTTTTTCGATAGCTGAAGGAGGAGATTCTTTCAAAATTTCATATTCGATTGTATCGTCATTGGTTTCTTCTTCCATGGGATAATCAAAATGATATGGTTCAGGCGGCAGACTTTCTATCGGTTTCTTGTATTCGATATTGGACTCGTCTTGTTCAGGAACATCTTCAGATGGTGCTTTAGAAATTGGTTCATCTGCAACAGATTGTGGAACTTCATTTGGAATTGCTTCGGAATTGAATAATTCGATTGGACTTTCAGTTTCATTAGATTTCTCCATGAGAATTGGCGAAGCTTCATGTATAACTGTTTCTACATTGTCGCTATCAGAAATCATCTCATCGATAGTTTGAGACTCTGCTTTGGGAACAACTTCAAAGTAGTTAAAAACCGTTGGTTGCGCTTCACTCGATGGACTTGGATTTACCGAGCTTTCAACTTGATTATCGTCTGTAGGAACTTCTTCCGGTTGAGTTTTAGGAATATCTTGATCAGCAGTCTTAATTTGTATGGGTTGCTGCGATCGAGCAGCTAACGATTCATGAATAATAGTTCCCAGATTATCTGTATCAACTATTGAGTCATTATCACTGGATTCAGATAGTTGCGCTGAATAAACTTCCGCCTCGAACGGATCAGTTGGTATCATGGTATTGGACTTCTGATATGGGCCTTCCAACGCTTCAGCGACAATGGCGTCTAAGCTATCTCTATCGGCAGCAAACTGATCGAATGATTTGGGTAATTCTTCAGTGAAAACTTCAAAATTGAATGGGCGAGGCGTTTTCATTTTGATTGGCTTTTGAAATCTTGCTGCTAAAGCTTCGTGTATTATCGTTCCCAAATTGTCTGTCTCAATCGTTGGTTCGCTCGTATCCTCATCGATGTCAGGGACAGTCAATGCTTCGCTAACAACTTGGACTAAATTATCGATATTGACGGTTGTTTCTTGTGTTTCATTGAATTGAATAGATTCTTGATATCTGGCAGTTAGACTTTCATGCACTATCGTACCTAAATTATCGGTGTTCACGTGTTCATCGGAGTCACCTATTAAATTATCATAAGACCATTCATCTGAATCGTTGGTAATTTGTCTTGGCTCATATTCAGTCGGTGTAAGTGTCTCATCGTAAATAAATAATAAATTATTCACACGAGACGATGTTTCATCGATTGACTGGGCAATTTCGACAAGATTATCAGTTGACGGCTTCGTTGTTTGTTGATCAAGATTATCATAGATGAAAGCAAGATTATCCATCGTATTCGATATTCCGGTTTGATTACATCGATGAACATCTTCCACAATAGTAACTAACTGATCAATATTAAGCAATGATTCTTCGTCTTCCGACATCACACTTGCTCTATGTTCATCCAGTTCGTTGACAATCTGATGATTTGTTCGACTGTATGTTTCAATTTGTTCCAATAAATCCGTTAGATTTTCAATCATAATATTGGAGTTTTCACTCGTTGTTGATACTTGTCGATTCGTGTGTGAAGGCGATGGTAGTGCATCATAATAGAAACTGTCTTCTGGTGTTGTTACACTGTTCACTAAATCGTCGCGAACATGATATTGTTGAAAATTACTACCAGTGGTGTCATCACTTCCGAGCGACAACGATGATTGATGACCATTATCAACACGGGATTCTTTCGCTGTATGATAAGATACTGTTGTTCCGTCATCTAAATCAATTAAACTATCAGCTTCGATAATTTGCGATGTTGAGGGTGGTGATGGAAACATATCCATATCCACTTTCGCCGTTATTGTCGGACTATCCGTTGGAGTTATCTAATAAAAGCGATAATGAGATATTTAATAATAATCGAAGTGTATACACGACAGATTGAGATCAATGTAAATGAATTCTATTCGAAACGGGTGCAGACGAAGCAGTAGACGTTTTTTTACTTCTGGCTCTCTGAACAATGAGTACATGTTTCGTCGTTCATATATAGAAGACGAAAAGAACGATATATCATGCATATGGCATTATGATAAATAAGAAAGCAAATGAATTGATCAAGCATATTTAACAAAAGAAAAACATCAGTAATGTGAAATAGAATTTCGTTTCGTAATTGGAAAGTGTCAATTAACAAAAGCTTAGAAATAGTTTTGTTTTTCTTTAATCACATTAATCAAACAAACGGCTTCATAGAAATGGTTTACATTTATGCTCTATGATATAACATTTGCAACTTCCGTAAGAAAAAGGTGATACTGAATTTATCCTCCGATTAAAAAATGAAATGAGAAATAGAAAAGCTCACATACGTTTTGCATTGTGGAAGCTGATTCTTCCAGATCATCATTATCAGTATGTTGCCATGATGAATCTCGGATATAATGATCAGCTGATGGTAATCTATAACCATGCCGCATGTAAGGTTCTAAGTACATTCCACATGAACCTGGTGTCGACGGCGTTGTTTCGAATGCTATTTCAATAGAATCGGGTGATGAAGATATTGTGTCAGCCAAATGCGCCTGTCGGCGGATAGATCGGCGACTATTTCGACTTGAAAACGTATTGCTTGATGGATGAGAACGAGCTTGTTCAGTAGTTGTCAAGACTGTTGGCCGAGGCTGGCTATTCGTTGGCGTAATAGCTAGTTGTTTGAGATTCAACTGTGTATCTAATAACAATGTTGACGAATCCACCGCTGGCTGAAAATCTTTTTCCGTGGGTGATAAATAGATTTCGTTATTATGTGCCCATTCATTGACTTTAGCACTTGCATTAATCATGACTTGATATAAATTATCTACAGGCGCAGCTGCTTTGGTTTGTGGAGAATTCATTCCTGAAGATAAATACGCAGCCATTAGTAATGCTTCATCATTGTCCGATGGTTTCTCCAGACGAAACTTTGGTAATGGACATTCCTCGATTTTTTTCGCCTTTGTCGGTGATGCTAATTTCCATTGAGGCTTTTCATTCCAAGAATGAATGATATATTCATCTTCTTGTAAACGACGTGTTTTCTTGTCCAATTCACCGTAAAGCTCACGAACTTGATCACGCGAATACATTGGCATTGACGATGGAATAGCCGGTGTATTTGCCGCTTCATAGGCAATTTCACGGCCACGAAGGATCATCGCTGCTTTGTCATCATCGTTGACATCTGATTTAACCGCTTGACGGCGATAGATAAAACAGGCATCGGTCACAGTTTGAGTCGGCTGTTGACGTTTGGCAGGACGATGTCTATTCACTATTTCAGTTGTATAACTTAACAAACAAAATAGTTTTTCAATGAAACGAATCTCATGATACAAACTTACCCTGTACCAGTTGACTTGACTTTTTTCTCTTCCGACAAGATTGTTTTCGAAATTGATTGTTGAAGTGAATCGAGCGACTTATGGGTATCCATTGATTCATCTTCGCTCTTTTCTAATGAAAGTTTACTTCGATGTTTGTGATGATTTGACAAAACACTTCGATCAGTAAGTACCGATGTATTCGTACCTAAACACTCATAATCATAGAGTTTATCTCCAACAAATCGTGCCCTACCATCGGTTTCAACGAATCCACTGTCTCGAGCGGGACTGGTGCTACGTTTGTAGACCAATGGTTTACTATGCCGTTCTTCAATATGTTTTGTTCGATTAACGATACTTTGCTTCGAATCGGAATTGGATAGAATATCATCGATAATGATCAATGATTTCCGACTTTCATTAAATGAGGATGTTGACCGTCGATCATCAATAGATAATTTCCGAAATGCATTGAATGTCAATGAACCCAAATGTCGAACGGTTGTATTATTCAATAAAGATCGATCCGTACAACGGCATAATCCAATACGTATGGATTTATTCTGTCGTCGTAACGATGCAAATTCTACTTTAATTTGATCATACGTAATCGTTATGGGCAGTTTCAGAAGATTCTTTTCATTGAGAAATACGAGAATATCTCCTAGAAAAAAACAATTTCGCTCTTTAGTGAATCTAGTTGTTTGTGAAGTGTTTAGCTTATTCTTGAACTTCACCTTTGTAATCGATTCAAAATGTCAAGCACTATCGAGTTTTATATGATCAATATTTTAACAGATGTTGTCAATATGAGAAGCTGAAGAGTTTAGATCGTAATCATGACAATGTGTCAATGACCCATTGAGCGAGCAAGAAAAATAATGTTCGCTGCGTGATACGGAAATATATCTTTCGCGTTCAGTTTTCTTTTCGTAGTAGGAGACAATCTTAACTTTGCCTTGATTGACGCGAATCTAATTGAATTAATATCTGATGCATCTGGTTCCTTTTCTAGAATCTGACTCGATTATAGATGCAAATCAAATGATCAATGCATGCATTTGATCAATAACAATACTAAATGTTGATCTGTTTGACCTTAATTTCAAGGCGCGTAGTTCTCAGAAGAGATCTGTGAAGAAAAGAAAGAAGAAGGAAGAGGAGAAGAGAACTTATCGTAATGATATGCAAGTCTTTTCAATTGAGTAATCAACAACAAGTAGAAGTAAATAAACAAAATGATCAGCGAAGAAATCAAAATGTTCTTATGAAAAACAACAACAGCCAGAAGAATATCACGAATCAATAAGAGGCGTATCGACGAGTTGAACGTATTGGCCAGATGTATACAATTCAAATAATTGAATATGATTAAATCCTTTGAATAATAATTCTTTGGGTATGTATAATGTACGTTGCGGTCCTATACTCCAATACCTTCCCAAATTGAATCCATTGATAAACGCGACACCTTTTGTCCATTGAGAATCTAATGATAAGTACGTGTCAGCAATCGAATGTTCATTTTCAATATGAAATGGTGCATAAAATAGTTGTGGACCATAATTAAGATCATGAATGTTCGTTGCATTTTTCTCGTCGATCGTCAATCGATTCCAATCAGTAATACTTGACATGCCTTTATGAAACTCTAGTGTATGGATTGTCCATGCTTGTAATTCAATTGTGCCATTTAACAATACTTTACTAAGAATACCCTTTCGACTATGGTCAAGTGTAGGACCAAAATTAATACGACCCATATTTTCAACAATGATCGTTAAATTCTTCGTATCCGGTGGGATATTAAATTGAATAGAATTATCTGAGCATAGAGATTTATAAATCACTTTTCCGTTAACTAAAACTAAGGCATTGTCAGCAATTGATTTAATTGTAACTCGTTGTTCGACATGCTTTTCTTCGAAGAATTTCTCCATGTTATTATTTGTGTAGACAATAAAGCCTTGCGATGCGCCGGCATTCGAGCGTGCAGGAATCTTAACTTGTTCCATGTTTAACGGTCCATCTTTAACTTCGCATTTGTTTGTTAGAATGTCATCGTGGAGTATTTGCTCAAATGTTTTGTAGCCATAGATTTTGATTCGATTAAATGCGGCTTTTTTCGAACTTTTTCGCTCTGTAATTTTGAATTTGTCTTCTTTTATACGTTGATGGTTGTAAACGATTAAATGTGGATGAAGGTCATAGAACTTTTTGATGACACGTTGAATAACAAAATATTTGTCTGTCCGATCGCCAGATTCACTCAATGGTGCATCGTAATCGTAGGAAGTCACTAATGGAGAATATTTTTTGGAAGGAAAATGATGTCCACCTGATGTAAAACCAAAATTTGTTCCACCGAAGAACATATAAAAATTAATCGATATTTCGTATTTCGAATTCAATAAAATATCTTCGAGATCTTTTTCGAATTCATCCGCAGAATAAACACCTGATGAACCTGTCTGATGTCGTCCACCCCAATAATCAAACCATCCCGTCCAATATTCACTAATCATCAAATGATTGTGTGAACGAAAGGCAATTAATTGTTCGATGCTTTCTTTGACATGACGTTGAAAATTGATCGTTGCCCAAACGTTATCTAAAGTGCCACGTGTAAGGTCTCTGGCACCGTCGGACGTGAAGAACAATTCATCCAAGCCGTATTCTATATACATGGAGCGAATGGCTTGAAGATACTCCTTATCTTCGCCGTAACTTCCATATTCATTTTCGATTTGAAATGCAACTATTGAACCTTGACCGTGTCGATTGTATTGATGTTCGGATAGAATTGGTAATAAAACTGAATAATATTTTTTCAAGGCATCAAGAAAACCGGAATATGTTGAGCGAACACGCATTTGATTGTCCTGGAGTAACCAACTAGGCAGACCGCCCCATTCATATTCAGCACAGATATAACCTAGAAGAACATGTGTGTTATCATTCTAGATGCTCTTGATGTTTGTTTATCTTACCTGATGGACGAACGATCGTAAACATTTCATGTTGATGAACAAGCTTTAAAAAGCTTGACAGATCAGTCAGACCTTCATTAAATTTGAAAACACCTCTTTCGGGCTCGTGTAAGTTCCATGGAATGTATGTTTCAATCGTATTGAGACCAGCTCGTTTCATTTCTTCAATACGATCCGACCAGACTTGTGGTAAAACACGGAAATAGTGTAATGACCCACTTAAAATTCGAAATGGTCGAAGCTTTTCCCGACGTTGATCATTGTCTTTGAACAAGCGAATAGATAAATGTCTTTCGTCATCGAGTACTAGTGTTGGTTGATATTGTTCGGGTAGAACGTGTTTGAGTAACATTAAGAGTAAGATAATCGAGCCGACAAATAATAAAACGTGCAAACACCTTCGATAGTAACGTATATGATAAATGCGCATTACTAACAGTCGTATTGCTAAGGTAAATGTTTTCTTTCTTCGATGTTTATCGTCGAAATTTTCTATGTCATACATTAACTCTGTTCTTTGTTAATATGTAAACCATTGGAAGTAAACCACGTGATAATGCATTACCATAACAATTGAATAAAGATGGTAAGATCTATCTCTATTCGGTTGTTGTGTTGATTACTCATAAAAAGCATACGATAGAATACGCAAAGTTTATATTCGCATTTCATCTACATGGACCAGCAATGACAAGCGCACACTTCTATATCCACACACGTATATATATATATATATATAAAGAAATAATGCTATTACTACTACTAGTGCAGCTGTGTTCGTTGAGATGGCTGCCGGTTAAGCGTATTTTTTTTATTATTGGAGCCGCGTGTGATGTCGTTCACGAACAAAATGTCAAAAGAAAGGAAGAAAGAAAGAAAGAAAGAAGGAGAAAGAAACAGAATGGAGCAACAAGAAGACATTTCTGAATACCCTTGTCGGTAATAAACAGCCACTGAATCACATCGTGTTATCTGCTCCAATGATAAACACTCAGTTGACAAAGAGATAGACAACGATGGCTAAAAAATCATCCTAATCGAGTTCTTTCTTTCTCTATTAATCTCCGAACAAAAAGAAACAATACGACAGCACAAAAATAATGAATCACTTACCATTACGAATTCCAATTGTATGTAGACCATTAGATATCTCGTTAAAAATAATTAAGCGTTTATCATTGGAATCATTTGTCAGATTGAGATTCCGTTTATGACTGAGATCGAAGACATAAAATTCCAACAAATGATTGGGCTCATCTGTTGTTGCACGTGATGATGTATCTGTATTGTTATTATTATTATTATTGTTGTTGTTGTTATTGTTGTTGTTGTTGTTATTAATATTTCTTTGTTTCTTTCTTGACTGTACATTGCTACTTACACAACTTAAACTGTCACATGAAAACGAACCTAAACGAATGAAGAATGCACGAATATGATTCCAGAAGAAAAACAGATACCTAAAAATATCTTAGAAGAGAATCCTTGCTGCGACTGCTGCTGCTGCTGATGTTTACTCATTTGTTTCGATAGTATCGAAACGAGTGCGATTTTTTCATGTAAACGATGGTAACTATGTGATTGCTGTTCAGTTTGCTTCATTCCGATCATCTTTTCAATTACTGTCTATTCAATCAAATGTTATTGCTTTTTGTAGCCAAGTTAAAGTTCAAAACAATGACATGATACTAAGCTTCTCATTTTTCTTCTTTATGTACAATAGTGATCTTTACGAATCAGAAGAGAGAAGAAAATAATTATGACGATCGGGCGGGCAAGGTAAACGACAAAAAGAAGAAAAAGAAGACGATGATGATGATGATGATCAACCGATTTAATCGGAGCGGATCAGTTGTTTCTAGCTTTCGTCTGTAAATGAAGGGTAGTGTTGTTGTTATTATTGTTCTTGGCGACTAACGACTATACAAATAGATGTCTCGACAGAGAGAAGTGCACAATCAGCTTCCGGCTCGATGTAAATAATGAAGATCTAATCAGTTTGATGCGTATGCTTTATTTTATCAAACGTATATCAAAAACAAAACATCATATATATGAATCTATCAATTACGAGATGAGTGTATGCGATAGACAAAGAATTCATTATCAAAACAAGTTTCCTCTCTGATCGAAATCAATCAAATTGATCTCGAGAGTTCTTAATAAACTTCATCATCTAGATAGACATCAAGCACGAAAACACCCTGTTTTCTTTTCTTTCTAAATGCTCCGCATGAGCGTATGTGAAAGGCTCAAATAACGCATTTTCTTTCGATTACATCATTTTCCTCATACATTCCTTGGATATTAATTAATTTCATGTGTTCGAACAAAGACAAAAAAGAAAAGAAACACGTATCTGCTTACTTTTATCGTCGTTACTGTTCTGAATTTGTTTTTGAAGATAAAGTTGTTGAGCAGCACGTTTTCGTGATATCGGCCGTTTTTCTTTGGGATAAAGTTTGGACGAACGTAGACTTCCGCAACAACTCTGACATGATAGACAATCCACCATGGGTACAAAGTGACGTATAGGATAAATACAGAAAAGAAGACAAACAATCTGGAGAAAGTGTAAAAAGAACAATATAATGATTGACTAAATGATATTCTCTCTCTTTCTCTCTAATTTCTAACTTATGACGCAGCGAAAAGAAAAAGCGAAGAATGTTGATGTTCAGATTTCATCTTCATAGTTATGTGTGTCTGTCTCGTCAAGTAAAATAAAAAGACAAAAACTCACGAAAAGAACATGCGATAATATTAATAATTTCGCGCTCGTTTTGATCAAGACGAGACGCATACAATGGAGAGAAAAATTATCGAACGACTACGATCAGTGTTGTTATTTTTCAAGCGTAGACGGAGATGTCGCATCGAGTTAAATTGTTTGAATTAGCCCGTGAACAGTTTTGCATAATCAGACATGCATGTACATTTTAAAACATTGTCATCGCATTGTAATAGTTCTCCTTACATGATGATTTTATCGTTATTCGTCGCTGTTCGATCTTACAATCTGTTTATATGAATGAACATTTCTCGTCGGTATTTACTTAGAGTAAAGAAGAATAATAATAAGGAGGAAAAAATGAGATGAGGGCGGGTGTTCACTCATTGTCCAATTCTCATTTATCAACAGAAGATTACACATGTACAAAACGTATTGAATCAGGCCAACTCTTCCATTTCTCTCCCTACTTATGTCTTCTCTTTTGACACATTCGATCTTACCTATCCGTGGAAGAGAATTCAATTGAAAAAAAAGTATCTTTTCATTATTCGTCACAATTACATTCATATGATAATCAAATTTCTCGAACTGAAATTGTAACACTTATGCTAATTTCCATTGATGCGCGGGCTGGAAGGCGGTAGAAAAATAGCGAACAAAAAAGTGTACATTTACCTCATCACTCAATGATCTTTATAATAGTTATTCTGCCATTTCTCCTCTCAGTATTTATTACACTTCACACCAGAGTTAAAAACGTCGTTTGTCTTTTCTTCTTCTCTTTATTCACTCGCTTGTATGTTCTCTCTATCCCTTTCGCTGTGTCTCTCTCTCTCTCTCTACTTATATCGATCACTGTTCTGATGTCTGTAAAGCTATAGAAGAGAGGAGTTAAGAGAAAGAAATCATGCACACACATGCAACATACACATATTCACACAAAAGGATGAGCTTTGTACAATTGACCATCTGTCTCGCACACGCATTTTTGCTCGATTGCTAGAAAAGAGAGCAGGATAATTTACAGTTCATCCTCGTGCACTAATGATAACGAAATCTATGTCTATTGAAGAAGAAAAATGAAGAAGAATAAGAAGAAGTACATCAGGCACGTGCAATCTAAACAAATGAGAAGTTCTACCATAAAGAGAAATTATAACCCTAACATCATATTTGACACACTGATCGATCCCATTTTACCTACATGAATATGCATCGAAGTGAATTAGAACGGACGAAATGCATATTTGTTGTTTTTTTTTGAACTGACATCGATCTTCATTCGTCACAGTTACGCGTTCGAACATTGATCAATTACAAATGTTCAATGATTTAGTCATTCAACTCATTTGTTCCGTTCGATGGAACCATACAGATGCAAATGACATTGTAAGGATGCCCAGTCATAATATCAGTGATAATAACAAGCGAAAAACTGTAAATGACAAGTATAGATCGTTACATGTCTAATGAATTTGATCTTCTGATGCAAATATACGACTGACCGATATCGGACAAATGGCTTCCGTTGCTTTTCTTTCTTCTCTTCTTGTTCTTTTTTCTTTAGAAAGTAATCAAATCTTTCGGTATTCTCTAGATACAAAACTGTCCATTATAGAGCAGCGAAAAGATGGCATAATGAGTTGTGTCATCGGGCGTTGTTTAACGGTAGTGTCAGCAGCAGCAGCAGCAGCAGCTGGTTTATCGCACAGAATACAAAAAGCGGAAGAAAGGAAAACGAATGTAAAATCCTTGACATTACGTCTCAAATAGGTTCTCACAGGATGTACAATTCTGTCATCCCCAAGGGTGGAAAGTATTAGTTGATCACATACAAGACAAAAGATCTGAACGGATTAAGTCAGAATGAAGCAAGACTATATTAAACAACATCGAATGTATGGTTGTTTAAATACTTACAGAAACGTGAACCCAATGAACGTAGACGAAATGACTGGATTAATTTTTTCATTGTTCGCCAATCGGTATGGATTAGGTAAATAAATGAACGAGGAAAACTATTGTAATGTTTTCCTCAATGAGAAGAAAGAGAGAAGACACCGGTCTTCGCAAATGTATTGATTCGAATAAAAATAATAATGATGCAAAAAAGAAAAAAGAGAATATTAAAATTCTTTTTCTTCTTGCTAAGGATATCTTTCGTTAAAAGCAACAATGACGACCACAACTGTTATTAACATTTGATCCAAGGTTTTCTATCATGGTACTAAAATAAAAAAAAAAGCGCGATGTGACAAAGATCTACCAGACGGCAACAGTTGTCTAGTGATTAATATTCAAATCACTATTGATGTGCAAATCGATGTTTCCTTCTCTGCAAATTTTACTCCAAGCACTACCGAAATAACTTACTTAATTAATAACCCGATATACACGTCGTAATGAAGATCATGTGCAATAACGAAAGAAAACATTATGAATCGGTTGTTATTGATTTTATTTTGATTTCAAAATGTGGGTATGCATACGGCTCTTCTCCCTGTCTCGGGAGGTCATACGAAGACGGAAATTAGTTGACAGGTGAATGCTACTGGAGTCGTTTTGCTTAATCTAATCAATAATGCAACTATTCAGTCGTAATCAGTCCATTCTTTTCTACATGTATTTCTCGTTCTTTTTTTTTCATCTTCTCCGCATGCACAACATAATAGACAAATAATGAGTCAGTTTCGCTATTCAACGCGAAATGATTGATGATTATCAATTAACTAGAGTTTCATTAGAATCAACATGACTTGGGAATAGAAATAACGAGAAAGAAAACTTAATTAGATCCAGATGATTACTTTTTCTTGCTTAGGTTTCGATCAATATTTAATACATTCGAAATGAATTTATGATGAAATCTCGAGAATAACCGCTTGTCGGGTAAGCTGAATTTCATTGGAACATATGTTTGTAATTTTCACGTGAAGACAGGTACCAGATGTCGATCGAGCTGAATTTTCAGCGGATTATATATGACGACTTGATTTATCACACTTTCAAAGATAAGATTTCATACGATGTGAACAAAAACAAATTATTTATCGTATTGATCGTGATTTGAAAAGAATAACTTCAAATGATTGATGTGCTCGAAAATCGTTCCGGTGAAAAATGTAATTATTTTTCTTTCCTATTGATAAAAAGAAAACAAATTTCTGCCAGAAAGGTGATCGATAGTTACTATGTGATCTACTAGTATATTTTTACAGTAGGACTAATAAATCTCTTTCATAATTTGCGTCATCGTTCGTATTAGTTAAAGACTTATTTATGACTAAAGAAAGAAGAAGAAAAAAGAGAAGGACAAAAATTGATAACTACAAACACAGGAATAGACAATCATACAATGAAGACGAAGAAAAAGAAGAGATCCATCACCGAACAAATACACACGAATATGAAGAGATCGAAACTACTGTAGAATATGTTAATATTTAGAAGACAGTACACTTCGTCTGTGGATTCATTTTCGCATTTTCTTTACATTGAAATACTCGACTGAAATGATGGCTTGAATGCAATGAGCCGATCATTCTAAAAAGAGAATTAGCACACTTCACTGCATAAAACGAGAAAACAACTGATTCGATTTTACCGGTAGCGAAACGGCGTATGGATCATGTCTCGTATATCCTTTCGTAAACGTTCATTCAGATAATTTCCACACCAGATCTATATAAAATCGAAAGAATTGTTGATTTAAGTGATCAAACGTTATACTTGACTGAAAGCAATGAAGAACATTTGTTCATGTGTATAGTTATCCAATAAAGGTAGTCGACGTTCATCGCCATGAACTTTCAGCCATTGTTTATAAGCAAGAAAGGCCAATTCAGTTCCGGCTATGTCGGCAATATTCTCTGATCGTGTTGTGTTACCATTCAGTGTCATATTAACTTGCTCGTACGTATAGTTCGAGTATTGTTCAACAATACATCGTTCTGTTTCGCGATAAGTTGCGTCGGTTTCATTGTTCCACCATTGATTGAGATTACCATGCTCATCAAAATAACGTCCGTTCGTATCAAAGCCGTGAATAATTTCATGGGCTATGACCATACCGATACGACCATAGATTACAAAACTACAAGCACACAAAAGAGCATCTTTAGCATAAACTTGTAAATTGAATTTTACTGTGGAAATTTTGAACTGTAGAGAAAGGGTCGCGTCATGCCAACAGGTATAATGATAGCATTGCGATTGCTGTCATAGAGTGCATTGACTTGAGCTGAACTTGTCATCCATCTAATCGAGACAGAAGTCAGATCATAGACTAAAATGATTCGAGTCAAAAGAAGTTTCTTACTGGTTTTTGTCAACAGGTTTCCGAAAGAGCGCAATGTTTTTTCGTACTTCATTACCCAAAAGATTGATGACATTGTTTAAATGATTATCAAATGCAATGTTTAACTGAAACAAAAACAATAGTTGAGTTGATATTCCGTTGACACTTACGTGAGCATGACTTATATTCAAATAAGTTTCATTCAACGCTTCCAATGGATACGCAATGAACTCACTCATCAATTGCGCCTAAAATAACATTTCCAGATTTACTGAAGAGTTGAATTCAGTTCGTGTTTTACTTTGGCAAGTGCGACTTTTTTTGTATCGTTTGTCATCCATGTATTTCGTTTAATGGTTTCATAGAATGTACTTCGAATATTGAGAATTACTTCTTGTAACTAAACAAGAGATCAAATATTCTGATGAAATATGTACTTTGCGGATTCAGTACTTCTTCGCGAATATTGTCGTCGGATTGGGATTTTAGATAGAGATAGGTCATAGATTGGGCGAAAGTTTCATCGGCGCGATTCAATAAACAATGTGAACCAATTCCATTCAGAGCAGCACCCTAGACACGATGAGAATATATCAAACTAAAGCGATTGTTTTGTATATAAATCTCTACCTGCGTCAGACGTGCAAGTTCGTAATGAGCTTCTCGAAAAGTTTTACTTAAATCAGGCACAAGACTTGCGATAACGCGCCAGAGGGCATAACCTGTCATTGTTCTAAAGGTCAATATAGTTTCGACAAAATGCAATATCGCTCGTTATGACTACCGTATGTCAAAGCGACGAATAAGTCGCTCGAGATCTTCCATATATTGGCTAGCATAGAGAACGACTATTGATTGGTCAGGTGGAATATATTCTTTGAACACAATATGAAAGTAGACAGTCCAGTTGATTGATTTGACCATTTGTTGTAATTCGCCGACAGATATTTTCTTGTAAAAATCCATAACTGTATTCGATGGTTGATCATCACGAATCTAGAGATGAACGAGTAATTGAGAGAGTTTTCGGGTAGCTCGACGTTTGCTCTTGAAAATCATTGTTGGCTTCTCAGGAAAGTAGACTGTCTCATATAACTCTGGGATAAACATAAATTGTAATTCGTCCTCTCTCTCTCTCGCTCTCTCTCCGCTCAACTTGGTAAGGATGAACAAAAAAGAAACTCTCACCTACGTTGGCGATTGCCTTCTCAAAAGTGAGTATTCGTTGCATTTCACTTCGTGCTTGTGATCGATCAACACCCAGACTAGTCGCGACGCTGACCATAAAATTTAAATAAGCATCAATCTCTTCTCCGGATTCGTATGCAGCGGATGCTTGCAGAAATAATGATGGGTGGTTGATCTACAAAACAAATCGTAGCATTATTTGAAGAGAAGTTATTTTCTGTAATAAGAATTACAAGAATGATATGTTGGGAATTGTTCATGTCGTCTGCAGCTACTTTGAGCTCAAACAGAGGTTCAATGTTGAATTCTAAATGAAGCGTAGCTAGTAAGCGTTCGAGGGATGATTTCGATTGCCATTGTTCGCCATATAACGGAGGAAATCCACCAAATCGATCGAGATGTTGCATCAGTATATGATAAGTTGCGTTTTCTACTGCCGGTGAATCTCGCTCTATAGATATCAATTAGAAAATGAAGCGCTCTCTACGGAGCAAGTATGTTCATCATTACCTGTGCTGATGCACGTTTGATAGAACGTTTTAAGCTTGCGAACAGCATCTGGTTCAGTGCTAAGGACAGGCTTACGAAGTAATTCTAGAAGACATTTCTTGGAATAGCGATCAGAGAAGTGAATTTACAGAAATACCTCGATATAAATCAACCACATCATTGACAAATGATTCGAATGAAGAGCGAACACTTCGGCCTTCTGGGATTGGATGACTTTTATCCCAATTACCACAAGCAAATTGATAGAAATCCTTTAGGCGATACGGAAGAAGAAGTCGATCAACTTCTTTTCAAAATCCACTTACTTCACATGGATCAACAGTAACATCCATTGCATTGTATGTATCCGCTGCTAATGTGATACACTCCGGTGTTAAGCACAGTTTCTCTAAAATATACCGATTAAAAATCTATTTATTAAATGCTATAGTTTCAGGAAAGTCGTTTTACGTTGAGGTCGAAGTCGTGTATGCAATGCATATAAAAATAATAAAGACATAACAATAGTAATAGCTAGTAACAGTGAAAGACACAATCCGAATGTCATTTTATTTTGACATAGATAAGCTTTAAGCCAGTTGGTAGGCCTTTTATGTTTCATTGTTGTCGCCGCCGTCGTTGCTGCTGTTGCAGTTGAAGGTGATCGAACTTGCACTTCGGTCATAAGAGATTCGTGTTCACCTAACGACACTGGTACACTAGCCATTGGTCTATCCTTCATATATGATGTAGAGCTTTTGCTTTTCGTTATTTGTATTGCAATTAATTGTACGTGAGAACGGGAATTGTTTGTGTGTTGTATTTATTAAACAGCTTGTTGTGACAATTATCTACGATGTTTGTAACGTGTCATGTTTACAAGTCAGATCAGAGACGCTTGACTTTTTGATCTGATAATACAAAAGTAAATTAATAACAAGAAAATGAGAAAAATAAGAAAGAAAACGAGGAGAGAAAAGATCGACGTCTGTTTATCATCACTTACGTTCGACACACATCAACATCTTGATGTATTAAGTTCCATATAGCGTCGTATGTTTGTATATAATGTCTATATTTCTCTTGACTACTCGCTGTCGTGTATTGAAGATGCTCTTAGTATGAGTTGCGTCGATCGTCGTTCGAAGGTATATAATTAATTGATACCCGCTTTCTCTCCGAGAAAGAAACGATCGACGAACGAATCCCGGCGGAGAAGACAAGAAGCGCGTCAAAATATGAATGAATTGTATCATGCGGAAGTTGTCATCCACGCTATTTTCATTGCTCATTGAATCGATTCTCATCCTTTTCTCGCTGCCGTATTGAGTTCGTCTAATGCCAATAACAAAACGATTCGCATTCGATTTGCAATAACAATAGATATCGATCTGAATAGAAAAATTTCCTTTGTAGTCAGAGCGAAATTTTCCGGACATTAAGTATCTACCCGATATTTTCGATCTTCTCCCTTTCTCTCTCCTCGCTAAAGGAACTAGATTGTTATTACATTGTACAGAAAAACACACGATGCAAACGGAAAGGTTTCCCTTTGTAACATATAGATTGATAAGAGTGTCTCATTAATCAATCTATTATAAACAGTGTATATATCAGATAAATTAGTCTTTCTATCCAATAATCTACAATGTGTGTTACCGTTCAAGCAACTTGCTTTTATGAACACAAGATAAGTGATGGATTAGATGAGGATACGTCAATGCTCGTGAGCAGAGTTTGACATATCATTTCAGTTTCCCTTCTGTTCTGCTTGATTTGATTAAAAACAGTCTCGTTTCACATTTAATCTTTGTCAAAACTAATGGATCAGCAGACAACTAGAGCATCGATCTGATTGACTTGTACTGAAGAACATCGAGAAAATGATTTTAAGAATCTTTTGTCATTACTAATTATCATCGATGAGATGCCAGAAGAACATTGTATTGTTTATCATCGATGAGATCTTACGATTTCGTTGTTTATAAGGAAACATTTGATTATATCCATCCAGGACAAGAATTCTCACAACATCCAGATCGTACCTGATGAATCGACTATTCACAAATTCAATTTTCTTGAATACATATACATCAATACTTTATTAAATATAATGAAGATTCTGTTGTTTGAAACATCATTCTATGAAAGCGTTGACTTCTCCATTTAGATTTCTGAGAAGGCTAAGAAAAGATTACACGTACGACGAACAAAGGAAAAAAAGAATCTATTCAGCTGTTAGAATATTGAATACTACGTGCATGAATAAAAATAAATTCTGTCATTGCTGATGGCCTTCTTTTAACGTTGTTGCGCCGGATTTCCATCCGGTCCCATTCCGCAAGTAGCGCCAGTTGTTAGTTGGAAATGTTGTTGAATATTTTGGGGTGATGTGCCATAAGGTGGTGCTTGCATTGCAGCTGTCGTGTACTGCATTTGCATTGTAGATGTACCGGATTTCAATTGTCCATGTGTCGGTGCGTTGACACTTGACGGATCCACATTGGATGCGGATGAAGGTGTGGCTGCCGAGGCTGGTCCTTGAGAATGAATGGTGGATGAGACATCCGTCTTGGCACAAAGAAAGTGAAGGCGTGATCGAAGCTTTTCGCAATGAAGATTATTCACGACTGTTTCAATTCGGTCACGTATTGCGTCACCAACAACGATATATTTGATATGATAGAGAAAGTTAGCGATGGTATCCACATTCACAAACGCCTGTTGATGAACATCAACGCGTGCAATGAGGTCGTATGGAACGATAACAAACTAAAACAAAAATTAATGGCGAAGAAGAAGAAGAAGGTCAAATGAGACTTTTCGTTACCTCAAGTAATAATTTTGTCGATTCAGTTTGAATACGTTGGAGAAATGGTCCAATCAATTGAAATGCTAAGAGAAGTTGATTTTCAGTTTTGATTGTTTGCGAAAGTCGAACTTGAACTAGGCTGCAATATACAAGCAGATTTCAAACTAAGTTTAGTCATAAGAATATACCTTAGAAATGGTTGCAAATGACTGATGCTACCATGTAGCCAAATTGAATGAACGACAGCCACGAAACAGCATACCATATTTTCTGTATGTGTACAAAATCGTTCCCGAAAGTTAAGTAAATCCATAATGTCAGTTGGCGAACAACGTAATAGGAGTGGATGCTCAAATATTTGGCACATGCGTTCAAATAAATGCGACCAATAGTATTCCTAAGAGAAAATCATGTACATTCTTGGTAAATAACGAATCATCGTCTTGACATACTGGTAAGGCAGAAAAGAGAAGACCCATGGTGTTGAGATATTTCAGATAATGTGCCCGAGGTATCAAACTATCGCTAAAAAAGTGAAAGTAAATAAACGAAGACTTTCAAACGAATCAACTTGCGCAGATATAAATGGCTCTGCGAATAATTTCCACGGATTGAAATTTTCTTGACCAGTATAAAAAAAGATTTCAACTGCTAGGCAGTGAATCAATTGTAACGATGGATTTGCGAATTCATTATAACGCCAATCGATGTTGTACTCGTAGGAGCTTTTCTCATAGATAGGTGCACGGGAGTTAAGGAAAACAGAATAAACCTAAAAATGATCTTTCTCAAAGCAAAACAAAGAATAAGAAAAAGGATATCATCCACAAGTTTATGCAGAAGATCAATGGCATAACGTGAATTGAAAACAGGTGATGGTAGTTGACGTTTTTCGCCATCGACACGAAGATGATTTTCGATATAAGAAGTAAAATTATTGGAAAAACACCATTCCATCTTGCGCATATGGTAGATATTTCCTGTAGAACAAAATAGAAGTATTGACTTGTATCACGTGTCGATTCGAGTTTACCGAGTGTGCCGACGATTAATGATTGACGAAAGTTGAACTTTTCGCGCAGTTTTTTCTCATAAACAAACAAAGTATTATACAAAAATGTCACCGGTGCAGCTAAAATACGTAATAATCTCGGATCGATCAAAAAACAAAGACTGTCGCTATACAAACCATGCGCACGAAAGAGATTTTGAGCAATTGGTAAGACCGTATCCACAATACGTGCGTTGGGCATGTGTTCAAACATTCGACTGATGATTAATTCAAAGATCTAAATTGAATAATGTAACATGCTTGTTCAAGTATATCCATACATCGCTGAACACTGTCAAGTTTCTTTCTCTTCAAAACGTCAGTAATCAACTTACAGGTAGAAGACGAAGACACATATTGCTGTAATAAGTTGGTAAACAGCGTTCCATCGACTACAAACAACAAAATTAATGGTATGACTAATGCAAATGATATTTGAACGTACTGGTTGTAAATAATCCTTGATAAGGCCTTCCATAAAGAAACGCTCGATGTTTTTCTATAACAAAGCATCAGATCAGTTGGATACTTGAATAAGTTACGAAAAGAAGTACCTTGTGGTATTCACAATGGAATTTTTCATGGAAATTTTTCATACTCCAAATATCACCGGATATCTACCAACGAATGACAATCAATATAGGTATGATTTTGTAATCTGAATGCAATGAACTACATACACTTCTTGCAATGTTACCAAAATCTTTGATAATCTCTGATAAAGCACTTGAATTAATCATGAAATAGAACAGAATGTGCACATAGGGTGTTTTGGCTTCATCCAATGGTCGAAGAAACTACATGAAATCAGTGTTGAGACATATTATCATCAAATCAACACATCCAGCCTTACTAGAATCAACAAAAGTCGATCAAGTTGAATAATATTATAACGTGTTGCCATGTTTACAACTGCATCGGCGTACTAATGACGAATGAAAATCAAATACAGTTCGTTTTTTGCGTTTATGATGAGACTTACTTTCTGCATAAACGTTTGACTATGATTTTGTTGTAGAGTTATTTCACGTAGGATATATTCTGCTAATGTACGATAATGCGCATTCATTGAACGTGTCAAAAGGTTTTTGAATATTCTAATTCATTTCGAGTAGGTGATTATTCGAATTCGACAAATGTAATGAGAGACTTACTCATAGAACGTATTGATATATGAACGTAATGGACGATCTTCAATAGTTAGTTTAAGAAATACGCTAAAACGAAGATTGAAATTGGAATATCCTAGCTAATGAAACTCCGAAAATAAATCTTTTACTTACCAGAAGCAAGTTGTGTTATTCGGTTGGCTAAAATGTTTGACAATTTCTTGTTCGTTTGCCAGTGATGCTGAATCTAGAGAAGATCGAAACAACTCGTTCAAAACGAAATACATGATTATTCTTCTTTACTAGTGAGTTTTTTATAATCATCATCAACACGTGCTCGTATATCTCGATAGGCATCGCTGATTTGATGCGCTCGATACCATTCAGCCATGAAACTCGGCATAGCTTCTAATGTTGATGCTGACCAACCGTGTGGTGTGATTTGCATGATATGAGTTAAAAAGTCTGTACACCAAGGAACAGGCATAGATTCAGAACCTAGGGAGGATCGTTTTAGATTAGTTATTTCATTCAAGAGGGTGATTATCAGCAAACCTGTTATGATAAAGGATCGAGCGATGCATAAAATGAAAACTTTATTGATTTCTTCTGATTCTTTCGTAAAAACTGATTGTAACATTTTCGAATCGATTAGCTTTGGCACTTGATTAAAGAGATCCGTGCAATTGAATTGAAGAATAAGATTGAGTAGAAGATTTTGTATTCTTGAATAGAATCAGACGTTCTCTTCTACTCAAGACAACGGAAGAAAAAGTAATTCAACTCACGCGCAATACAACTGTGGATGGCCTGCATGCTGTGGTGATACCAATATTCCTGAGAATTGCTGTAAAAGCTGTGCGCGTATTGACGTTGGAATGCGATGAAGTCGAAATGTAAATAGTTCTGCCAGTAAATGTGCACCTAAATACCAATTCTTGCCAATAATAGCTTCGGTTAGGTTTAGTAATTCTTTCAATCGATCTTGTTCCACTTCTGGATAAGCTAACAAGCGTGCGAAAGATTCCACGCCACCCGGTGAAACTGCCGCCCATTGAGTTGCGTTGTACAAATTTTTTAAGATGATTTCTTGATAGTACTGCTTGGCGATTAGACATTTGACATGTGCACTCATCGCATCCAATGATCGATACGGAATACCTTCCGACGGTCCGAAAACATTGTGACTGATATGGCTTGATGGAATGGATTGCGAAGAGTTGAGAATATAAATTTTGAAAAGAGTATCTATGTAAGGTGAATTGGCTTTCGCATCATTACCAACAAGGTCTAAAATGAACAGATAAATATTTCAAGGAGAAATTCTGTATCTGAACATACTCCAAGCAATGTAAAATCGATAATCGTCAATAGATGATAATTTGCGATCTTCAAAGGACTTCAACGCTCTAAAATGAAGAAAAATTCACAGGTTAGATGCTTTGCTCATGTTGTTCTATTGGTATATACTCAATATGCATTTGCAGTGCAACAGGGGTTTGATGCTGTGGCAATGATACTGTTGGAGACGATGCAGCGATGGCTGGTATGACTCGTGTCGTGAGAAAATACCAATTTGATGCTGCTGCCATCGACACAACCGATAGGAATTCACGATAGTCAGGTTCGGGTAATGATTGAGCATCGGGATAGAGTATTCGTATGAGATCAAGTAATATTAAATAATCGGACCAAGTTGGCTGTAAGATAGAAAACGAAAAGATGCATTGTTATTTAAAGTGATAAACACTACACTTACTTTGCCTTGGCTTTTGTACAATATATGACAAAGCATTTGTCCAATCAACCACATAAGCCAATCTCGACCGACTCCAAAGACAGGTCCAGGGAACGATGCAACCTATAATGGTCATCTCAAAATGAGGCAACTTATTCCAATTGATTCATACCTTGATATTGATTGTATTAAGGATGCCACTTAAAGTTACGCAAACATTTTGGACATAAACGAGGACAATATGTGCTGTAACAGTCCATAAATGTAATTGACCTTTATATACGAAAACAAACGGGATAAGACGTCTTGTTTTAGAATGAAAGCGATTGGTGAGCGAAAACTTATGTTGCGAGATCTGTTTGCCTTTGAATTACCTTCAAAATCTTGACTTTTATTTGTTTCAAATATATTCCATATTAACAAGTCAGCTAGTGATTCTTCGATTGCTGTGATTCGTTGTTTTATCTACAAGTTAATTCATCAACAGACGTTTTCAAAGTCAAGAACGCCTCCAGCTTACATTTCGTGCAATGCCAACTAAACTAAATGCGAGATCACGAGAATTCAATTGTTTAATAACATAGCAGAATAACTCCGTTTGCGGTTGAACTTGTGCCTGTGAAAGGAACCAAAAAATAGTCAACTACGAGGAAGAAATATTATCAATCCTACTCTATCAAATGGTAATGGAGCTGTTTGATGAAATTTCAATTTCACGAAATGTAAACGCCATAAAATCGATGCATAATTCGAATAACCAACAATAGGATAGAGCATATCACGGCCTAGATGGCAAACAGAAGTAGAGCATATTTTCATTGATTGAAAAACTTTACCGGTAATAGACACTAGCTGAGCTGTTGGACGGAATGAGTCGATAAATTTCAATAATAAACTTGAAAAGCACTAAACAGTTTACAAGAACATTCGATATCCATGAAAAATTTCTTATCGAATATATCTACGGGTGGATATGGACTCTCAGGTTTACCCCAAGGCAACGTTTGTTTGATTTCGTTCTGTATGAAGTAACTCAGTTGCAGATTATTATCGGGATTCATAATAAGAGCAACAAGCTAAAAATAGAAACATTTGTCAATCATCCAGGACGATTATGTAAGTCATACTGTATAGAACTTAAAAACTTTTTCAATATCTTGTATTGGCGTATGTGACATGAGCATCTGCACTTTTTCTAGTAACAACTTGAAAATGTCACGAATACCCTATGTAGAAGAGATGAGTGCGCTGTTTTGTATAATAGTTCCGTGTTTGTTACTTTATAATCTGGAAAGCGCACGAGAAATTGTAGAAGATCCATAGCCGAATTCCATATCAAGGCTGGTAGAGCAAAATTCATTCGTGGATGTTGCAAAATACCCTCGGCAAATGGTCTGAATATCAAAATGACAATGAAATTCGTTTTTTTAAAAATTTTCATTCTAGTTTACTTGGCTAATGGCGGATGAAACTCCACCATTTTCTTCAATAGTTTATTAACTGTATACATTCGAGGTGCATTCGTCGAGTCCATAAATAATTCCACAAATGGACGCACAAATATAGCCACATCCTACTCAAGAAAATACACTTTCAGTACATCTACGCGTGCATTTAGTCGCTCATACTCTAATTGAATTTTGCTCACGCATTTTTGCTTGTACAACATTGATAACATGATCAGTTAACACTTCAATATCTTGAACATTCGATAGTAAACCGCTAATCTCACTTGAACCATCCAATCCCTGAATATAAAAGAAGACAAGAAAGAACATATTGAAATGCATCGCTTCCGTCGACCTACAAGTGCTCGTCGACATGCCACATAGATCGGTTCATCAATATTGGCCATATCTACAAAAATGTCGAGTTGGTTGTCATCATTTGGAAATTTCCTTAGTCGTCTTTTATTCTATGCATTTATTTACATGAAATGAAAAAGAAACGTGATAAGTGAATATCAGAGAGTGAGATAAACAGGAGGAAGGCGAGAGAAAAAACTGTTCGCATAAAGTTTTCTTTTAATTTCAAAACACACGGACCGGTGTGTTAAACAAAGACGAAGAAAAAATAATAATCATCATGATCATGAAATGTGAACAAGACAAAATTTTTGCGACTACATCATGTCTACAGAATCAAACTAGACAAGGACTTGAATCTTAGGATAAAACGGATCCTGTGGCAGTTAATGTACACCCTTGTGCTTGATGTTCTTGCAATTGTCGTTCCAATCTGTTAATATCCGTTTTCAATCGATCGGCAGTACTTGATAGATCTCGATTTTTCTCCTGTAATTCATTCACACGTTTCTGCAGTTCTGCTATGCGTGTTAATTTACGCGTTCGACATTTTTGTGCTGCCTAAGAAAGGAAAAAAAGCATCACATTAATTCAAGGTTCTATTTTGTTGATATGAAAAATATGGGTAAGCAAGCAAAACACTTACTTGACGGTTTCGTTCACGTTTTTTCTCTTTTTTCAATAATTCATTGTGTTCAAGACTAATACGTTCAATCGACGAATTCCCATTGTTGTTCCGTAGATTCGGAACATGTTGAGGTTCATCTTTCACTTTATTTAACATAATTGTATTATGCCGAATATGTGCAGTCATCGGACTTGGTTCTGAAGATGACAGAGCAGAATTGGACGATTCATTGCCATTCATTGATGTTTCCATTGATGAGGATATCGAGCGATTGCGGGTGTGAAGTTCTTGTCCTTGTTGATGTGGGATATGACTCGCGAGATACGTTAGAACATGTTCTTGATTTTGAGTTTGATTCTGGATCTCGGCACTAGTCGGTGTCGTTGCAGTAATCGCTTTTTGTAATGCTTGTGTCAGTTGACTTAATTGATCACCACCCACAGAAGACGATATTTGTTGTAATAGCTGATGAGTGTCCGATGGAAAAACGATATATTGACGACCATTGCTATCGGACTGAATTTGTTGTTGATGTGCATTGATTAATTCTTCAAGAACTTTAACACCTAAATGAATAGTTAAGAAAAGACACAAGTAGAAAGCTAGTTATTGCTTATTCTTACAGACCTGGTGATGGTTGTCCATCAGCAGCAAATGCTATATTACTTGCTGGCTGTGCTGTTATAGCATTGATAATATCTGGAGTTTGTAACTGAACGGTTGGCGTTGTATTCGAAACAATTGTATAGCCACGTAGTTTTTCATCTAATTCTGGTGTGCTCAGCGTAAGTTTGTTGTAGTCACTTGGTGTTAAGAGGATTGAACTACCCATGCGTAGACCACCGAGCTGCAGTGTACTTGGACGTGAGGAACTTGGCACTGCACGCGATGGCGGCGGAGACATGTTTGTCGTCGTACTAACTGTTTCATTTTGTGCGACAAATGACAGATTAGGTTCGACTTGTTGAGGATCCTGATCGTTCTTTATCGTATGATCATCCATACTACTATATAAACTGAAGCATAAAAACGTTTATCGTTAAAATTCGAAACAACGTGTGTTTACATACGTGAGTAACAATTCGAATACAAAATAATTTATATATTTCCTTGATAAGCGCAAGCTTACTCTTTTCTGATGAAACAAATAATAGAGCAAGGCAGAGAAAAAAGTGTGTTGTATAAAAAGCTGTTTCAATGATTGAAGGAAGAGAAAAAGTGCACGAGTGGGCGATATAAGCGCAACAAAAGTGCTGTATATATATAAGAGAAAGGCAAATAGAAGGAAAAAAAAACATGGTGACTCAGCAAAATTTGCAATGGTTCTTTTTTAATGACTCATTTGAAAACGGTGTTATTGGTGGAAAAATTTCAGAAAATGAAGAAGTTGATTTTCAATTTTTCTTTCTGTCAAAGGCAAAATCGATTTGAAAAAATGTTTTTAAAAAGTTTTTATGATAACGAACGACATCTACAGGATTTGTTTTAAATGCTATGTACGTTAAGTTTGCTACTACAACATTACGGCTGAAATGCAGGCTTGTTTCCTTGATTAGATCGTGGGCAGAGGTTTCACCGGCAGCTGGTGAGTCATATTCTCGAAAAATTTCCTCTCTCTCTCTTCTGTTATGATTCATGATGGGTAATTCTATTCAGTTCCATACCCTGCGAACAAATTGATAATAGGTTTCAGAAGAGAGAGAGGGAGAGAGATACGTGGTTACAAATAATTATTTTCGGTAACACATATATAAGAAAGCAGCAAAGTTTATGAATCATCGGATGCATTCAATCCGTTCGATAAATGCTATTTTCACGAGTTTCACAAATCAACGTTGTTGTTAATACCCCAAAACAATCTCACCACTGTTTATTTGTTTAATACGATAAAAATAAGTTCGATACATTGATATAATGAAGAATACATGGACAGAGTACCCAATAGATAGTACCAACGAAATCATATGAAACGGTACGATCAGAAATAAAATGTGCTCAAGAGACGAGAAAAGCGATTTAGTCTTCTTGCAATAACTCATGATTTCCATAACGAAACTTAATGAGATTCCATTGAACAATAAAATAAAAGTGAAATCATAGAAAAACACACAACTTTACTAGAATTCGTTTCGCATGCTATCGCTTGTTTGTTCTCATTTAAATGCGTTCCTGATTGGTGCTTGGATTGACTTTTACTTTCTTCTCCCATCCGTAGAGAAATGTGGCCGTGATAACTAGCATTGTTCCCATGAAGAAAAATCTAAAACGAACACATCCAAGAATGAGAATATTCATCTTTTGCATGTACGTACGCTGTCGGCGTGAAATCATTCAGAACGAAATACGAAACAACGGATGAAAGAATAATTGAAAGTGAAGTAGCAAAGCCTTTAATTATATTATCAGCGTATTTAATCACAGCAGCTATTATTAAACCACCAATTGCCTATGGAAAGACATCAAGAGAAGTTAGTCACTGACAAATGATATTCATTACTTGAAGAAACACAACAATCCATACAATCGTTGTATATCCTTGGAAAAATCCTTTTGCCATCACAGCATTATAGTCAAATACGTACACAATTACTAAACCAAAGAGTGTACCAAAGATAGCTAGAAATGAAGTAACAAGTAAGACGTGTTGACGAACGCGAGTGATTGCAAACCTAATTGAATATTTCGCATCCAAACTGATGTTGGTCCAGTTTTGAGAATTTTCTCAAAATAAACTCCAGCAAAGCCGGACGTGAGTGTTGCCATGAGAACAGCGCCAAAACCAATGAATTGTTGAAACCAAGATCGTTGAACGTGTGAAGCGGCGCGTTTAGCGACTTCATCGGACGATGGCCACTAGAGAATTTCAATGAATTCTTATCATGCTACTTATTTCGTTTTTCTTACGGTCACAAATGCCACACCGAGCGCTAACATGCACAGAGAAAACCATTGATGCTTTTCTATGCGTTTTCGAAGCATAAAAACAGAGCAGAGGGCCGTTGTTAAAATTTTTAATTGATAAGTAACTTGATATGTCGCAGCATTGAGATACGATAGAGCCACGAATAGAAGATTGTTTTGTATTGCGTATAAGCCACTGGGTATCGCTAACTTGAATGTTTCAGACGGTTTGCCATATATTTCCTCGTTTAATTTACGAAATAATCGTGGAAATGAGCAATCTAAAGAAACGTTCGAGCAAGATATTCGTCGAATCGATGCTCCCCATTCTCATACCATTTTCAAACCAAACAAGAACAACACATATCAATCCTTTGATGAACTCGGAAGCAACAATCGCTGTCGAGGAGATATACCTTTCACCTTTTCGCGTACGCGAGTACCGTAAAAGAAGAACGATGCCTGTTGTTTGCAGGATCAATGCAATAAGACTCATCCATTTTAGATTGTTTTGTTTTTGCATCTGAAATTGAGCAAGCAAGTTTTCACAGAGAAGTTGGAAAGTGTGGTCAATCAAGTCAAAGCATTCAGTAGCAAACAGTCGGATAAGAAATGCATCGAAATCAAAGTCAATCGTATATACTCACACGAGACATTTTATAAATGTTCATTGTTAAGAAAAGGAGAATTTTATATCTAGAGAGACATATATGAATAGCAAGATACTTGTCAAAGGCCCATCTTAAAACTACAGCGATCGTTTGTATGTAAGTTATATATAAGAGATGAGAAGCGCGAAAAGCAAAGTTATACTCATTTTTCTACCTCTGGTTGCAAGATTATCCGATCTGAAAAAGACATATAACATATTATTGCTGATTCAGGTAACAATAGAGTAGAGTTTATCAGTATCTTTCGTTCTTTTATTTTGTTCGGAAAACAGACCAAACAAATTTTAACAACATTCGGATTCAACAAGTTTCAACCCGTTACAATATTGGAAATCCGTACTGTTCACATAATCACTGATATCCAACGCAACTTCGCAACTTTCACGAACGACACGTTCTTCATCTTTTAAATATGATTCAAGAATACGTCGACATTCATCAGTACCGATGGAGCCGAGTGTTTCAGCACATTCATGTCGGACCATGTAGTTTTCATCGAGAATTGATAGTTGTTGGTGAAGAGCTGGAATAGAACAGACTGACTGAAGTTGACCAAGCACAAAAGCGATTTCGTGTCGAAACAAAGCACTTGATGCTCGGAAGCCTAACAACAAAAAAGTACTCTTTGAGTTTTTCATTTATGTAGTATATACCTTCACATATGGCTAAGACAGCTTCGTCGGTACCAATATTTCTGAGAGCGAACATTGCACGATAGCGTTCAAATAAAGATCGTTTTTCATCTAATAGAATTTCTTTTAATTCATCGATGGTTGTCGGCGCTAGTGGTGGTGCTGGATCAATGGTTGGAAATGATTTATCAGTTGAAGTTGATGATGTTCCATTCGATGCACTCTTTCGTAGCCACGCTAGACGATCAAGCGCAATTTGACAGGTTTCAGCAATCTAAAATGCATTACATTGAAATACCAATATGTCAATCAAACTACGTTCGTCATCTTACTTCTGCTCGAGAATTTTGACTCTGTTTTGTGAGTGCATCGATGACATTTTGATTATCGAAACAACCCAATGCACCCAATGCTTCACCTGTAATGACACATACGAACATCGAGGAAGGCGTACTCAACTAGTATTTCATACCGGCTTCGTGTCGTACCATGGAATCTTCATTCGAATCGTTTAACACATGAATCAATTTCTCAATAGCATATTTGTTGCCCATCTGTCCAAGACAATAAGCACATTCATGTTTTAACAATGCTGAAGTGTCTGCAAATGCACGAGAGATAGCATCGACAACATGAGATGTTTTTTCCGATTGTTGTTGACTTTGGCTATCGAGACTCTTGAGGGTGAATAGAATACGAAATCGAAGTTTGAGTGGTAATGATGTGTCCACTAACATCGATGAAAGTTTTTCGATAGTTGTTTCATTTGCTATTGATGACATTGTACGTGACTTCAACAGATTAATTTTTCGTGTGATGTACTATGATACGACGATACACTAATACTTCCACTATTGGTTGCTATCATTCGACCAATGAAATTTGTGTACGAATCCTCCGAAAGAACATCAAATGGATGAAAGAATGAGAATTTTGTAATTAAAACTGTTGATTTTCTTGAATTGTGTGAATTTATTTTCGAATGGATATTTATTTCGTGTTTGAAAAATAATTCTTTCGCGTCAATCTTCCTACATCACACGTTCAGCGATTGTATCTGTTTACGCTAATCAGATTTTTTTCTCTCGTCACTTTACTATCTGTGTGTGTAATTGTGTGTGTGCGAGTGCGCATTTTTTTGTTGGTACAAAAAAGCTTAAAAAAAAAGAAAAAATCCTTTGTTAAATTTCACAATTCCGTGAAGCCAAAAAAAGCGTAAAAAATCAACTTTTTTCCAAAAGAAAAAAACTTTTAACTACTCTATCTATCTCATAACAATACAAAAAAGCCAACGACAGCGCTCAAAAACAAAAAAGACACAAAAACATGTCAGCACCTACAGCAGCAGCAGCTCCAAATTATCCAATGGCATCATTATATGTTGGTAAGTGTCAAACTCTTGTCACGAGAACGTTCATATGAAAAGTAACTTTTCGTTTGTATTAGGTGATCTTCATCCCGATGTCACTGAAGCCATGCTATTCGATAAATTTGCAAGTGCCGGACCTGTACTTTCCATTCGCGTTTGTCGCGACATGATTACACGTCGATCACTCGGCTATGCTTATGTTAACTTTCAACAACCAGCTGATGCCGAACGTGCTCTAGATACAATGAACTTCGATTTGCTACGTGGTCGTCCATTACGTATCATGTGGTCTCAACGGGACCCTGCCTTACGTAAATCAGGTGTTGGCAATGTATTCATCAAAAATTTAGATAAGAACATCGATAACAAATCACTCTATGATACATTCTCAGCTTTTGGCAATATTCTTTCTTGCAAAGTACGTGAACTACTTCTTGTTTGAGTTTCAAAAGCACTTAACGCTTCTTCTTCACATAGATTATGACAGATGAAAATGGTCAGTCGAAAGGTTTCGGCTTTGTTCATTTCGAAACTCAAGAAGCAGCTGATAATGCTATTAATAAAGTTAATGGTATGTTATTGGCTGACAAGAAAGTATTTGTCGGACGATTTGTTTCAAGAAGTCAACGTAGTGGGGAGGGTCCAGAACGAAAATTCACGAATATATTTATCAAAAATTTTGGTGATCAACTAGACGAAGAGAAACTTCGTGAACTTTTTTCAAAATTTGGTAAAATTTCTAGTTGCAAGGTATAGAAATCGAGATTGAATTCAATGCTGACATTGCTAATTGCTTGCCTTTTTTCATTTGATTTAGGTTGAAATTGATGAAAATGGACAGCCAAGAGGTTTTGGTTTCTGCAGTTTTGAAAATCCGGAAGAAGCTGAAGAAGTAAATTTTATTCGAGCATTGTTTTTGTTAATATCGATTTTTCTTTCAAAAGGCAGTAAAAAATATGAATGGTTACACGTTAGGTGACAAACAACTCTTTGTTGGTCGTTTTCAAAAGAAAAATGAACGACAAGCGGAGATTAAGCGTAAGAAAGATCTACAACGTATAGAACGTATGAATAAATACCAAGGTGTTAACTTATATATTAAAAATTTGGATGATACTATTGATGACGAACGATTAAAGAAAGAGTTTTCGAAATTTGGTACAATCACAAGCGCTCGAGTGCGTAAATAACATTCGCTCTTGGACAATCAAGCTAGTCTTCTCGTTTACTTTAGATCATGTTTGAAAATGGTCGATCCAAAGGTTTTGGTTTCGTCTGTTTCAGTGCGCCTGATGAAGCAACAAAAGCCGTCACAGAAATGAACGGTTCTATCGTCGGATCGAAACCACTCTATGTCGCTTTAGCACAACGAAAAGAAGAACGTCGTATGCATTTAACGAATCAGCATATGCAACGAATTGCGACATCGCGTGTACCACCACAAATGCAATTACCATTTCCAAACAATATGGCCGGAATGATGCCTTACATGCCGGCAGCTATGGGCCCATCACAACCAAGAGCAGGCTTCTTTCCGACAGCTGCCGTACCAAATTATCGACCAACTCAACCACGATGGACACCAGCTGGTGCCGGTAACATGAGAGGACAAGCCGGCGGCCCTATGATGAACATGTCAATGGCACAATCCCTGGCTGGAGTTCAACATCGATCAAGTGGTATGGGTGGCTTCCAAGCACGAGGTGGTATGCAAATGGGAAATCGCTCAACACCAGGCCAAATGGTAGCCGGTAGTGGTGTTCGACCCCATGGTGGTGGTCCACTTCCAGCAGCTTATACACGTTCTGCACGAAATTTACCAGCCAATGTAGGTTTACGCTGATTTCATGACGACGGTTTCCTTGTGACTATCTTTTGTTTTCGTACCATGTAGAATGCCGGTGTTTTCCCAGGCTCGATCGTTGTTCCTGGCCAAGAGCCATTGACACCAGCCGCTCTTGCCAATGCAACACCACAGGAACAAAAACAAATGTTAGGCGAACGTCTCTTTCCAGTTATTCAGAATATGCACCCTGACTTAGCCGGTAAGATTACCGGTATGCTTCTCGAAATTGACAATACCGAATTACTCCATATGCTTGAATCGCGCGAATCACTCAAAGCTAAAGTAAGTGCTTTCAAAACACATTCCTCTTTTAACTCATTGTCCTTTCATTCAAGGTTGAAGAGGCCATCGCTGTTTTACAAGCTCATCAAGCCAAACAAATTCTTGCCGCTAAACAAGCTGCTACCAACTCAGCTAATTCGTAAAGAAAACATCCATGTTATATTTTCGTTCATCATCATATTCTTCTTGTCGTCAATCAAAACAGATTTAATCAAACACATCCATATTTATTCATACATAGCTTGTCTCTTAAGTTTGCTTTTTCATCTATTCGTGCGTTAAATTATTCAATGTAACGCATCTACTACCTTTCCTTTTCTGTTAACTACTATTCATATTCGTTTTCGTTTTTCGTTTATTTCCATTCCTTATTACTTGTTGTTGTTATTCGGCGTCAACTATGCCGCGTTATTCAAACAAGACCATTGCATTGTAAAACACGACAAAAAAATAGAAAAATCATTTGAAAACAAAAACAAAGAAAGAAATTTAATCAACTCTAATTTCGTTTCATCGCTAACTTATTGTTATTATTACTCTTTATAAATATTAGACAGTCGAATACGATTTATGTTTTGATAAGATTTTTTCATTGGTACGGAAAAATAGATCAAGCGTATCTATCTATTCGTGTTTGTGTCTGTATTTGAAAAAGCTTAATTAAATAAAAACCTCCTTTTTGAAAACTCTAGACTGATGTTTGAATTCAAACGATAGCAGTGCACGATTAGAGATGAAGGTAAATAATTCAAAGTAGAAAGGGGACTACTCGTCAAACCTTCGATCGTATCCTATACGAAACTCTTCACCATTATCAGGAGCTTTACAAGGATACTTATCGTTTAAACTGATAAGAAACAGTAGGTATCGATAATAATAAAAGGGCAAACGTCAGAAAACGAATACTGTGTGTCGAAGTCAGACATGAAACGTCTTATAGCTCTACTAGAAGTATATGCAATTCTGTTGAATTGCCGTGTGATTTGTGAGATCACAGTCATTGAAGTAAAATATCCATTGGAGGTAAGACAAATAGCAATATACTATCAGTTGTTCTTTGTAAAGAACATATTCATTAATCAGTGGATTCCCTGTTTTAATATACGTACAATAGCGAAAGATCAACTTTTCTCTCTCGTTTGACTTTTATCACGCGTTTCAATAAAATCAATCTGCACACTTTTATTTTCTTCTCTAACTATTTGAACAGGGTCAACGATCACCACCAAATGCAGTGTGGCCGCATCCACAACAAATCAATGCTTCTCTCGACCTACTCTATATTCGTCCACATGACATAACAATTTTTTCCAATATAGCAACTTGTGATATTATCGCGAAAGCGATTGAACGCTACGATCCGCTGCTCTTTCCACCTAAATTGACGATGCGTGAGCCGCCATCAAGTGCTGACAATATTCTACAGAGTGTGTCATTGAACATTCGCGACGATGGACAATGTGAAAAATATATTCAACAAACATCCAACGAATCATGTACACTCCTCTTCCACACATCTATCACATCTATATTCTCTCTTTCACTTCCTAGATACTCTCACCATCTCACAACAGATCGCCATTGTCGAATCCACCACCGTCTGGGGCCTTCTCCGAGGCCTCGAAACCTTCTCACAACTCGTCTACATCAACAAAGACAACTATGTATGTTCACTCTCACTCCTCTCACACTCTCCTCTTCCTCATTCTCACAGGTGGTGATCAACAGTACAGTGAGCATTGTTGACGGTCCACGATTTCATCATCGTGGTGTCATGCTCGATTCGTCACGACACTTTCTCCCAGTTTCAATCATCAAGAAAAATCTGGTAGGCGATAGACATGAAATTGCATTGAATGACACTGATCGAATAGGATGTGATGTCATACAATAAGCTGAATGTATTTCACTGGCATCTGGTTGATGATCAATCGTTTCCATTCGAAAGCGAAGCGTTCCCAGAGTTATCTGCAAAGGTAAGAAATAGAGTCTGAGTTGTTGTCGTTGTTGTCGTGTGTGTATGTTAGAAGATTGATTGTTGTAGGGCGCATTTTCAGCAGATCATGTATACACACCATCGGATGTTGCTGATGTGATCGAACACGCTCGACTGCGAGGAATTCGTGTTATACCCGAAGTATGTTATACGCATATGATTTGACTGGGCTGAGTCTTTTTTTACATCAAAGATTGACACACCTGGTCATACGTTTTCTTGGAGTAAATCAATGCCTCAGTTGATTACTGTGTGCTGGGCAAACGGGAAACCCTATCAAGCTATATATGGAGTACAAGGTGAAATGGAGATCTTCAACCCAAGTGTGCCGCGTGTTTATACAGTGATGAATACTATATTGCGAGAAGTAAAGGGGAGATTTCCATCAAATTATATTCATCTAGGTAGGTGGCAGCGTTATCAAATTAAACTTGCGCATATTTAGATGCATTTTTCGTTTGCGTCATTAGGTATGGACGAAGTCTACGATAAATGCTGGTAAGATGCTATCTAACTATAGAAGAATATCATATTAGTATAACGGATTTCATTGAAGGCTTTCAAATCCTAATATCAGTCAATGGATGCAAGCTATGAACATCACAAATGCCAAAGGACTTCACACGTATTATGCTGAACGTATTTTAAATATCATGCGGAACATCAGTGCTGTGCCCATCGTTTGGCAAGATGTTTGGGACGAAAAAGTCGAAGTGAGATGCAACATGTGAAGTCGACACTTAATTTTGAAATATCAATTTCTTTAGTTGCCACAAGATACAATAGTGCAAGTGTGGAAAGATACCAGTGATAACAGCGAATTTGATACGTGGGCATCTTACTTGAATCAAGTGGCAGGTCAAGGCTACAATGTAATTCTGTCAAGTCCATGGTATCTCAATTACATCAGCTATGGCAAATATAATACAAATACATCTGTGATGAACTTAGAGTTCTTCAAATATTATGAAGTTGAACCACTGCGTGAATTTAATGGTAAATTCATTTCCTTCTTTCTGCGTACGGTTCAGTTTTAAGCTTCACTGTACATGTGTATTTATAGGATCGGACGAAGCAAAAAATCGCATTCTTGGTGGCGAAGCGTGCATGTGGGGTGAATTTGTTGATGGCACGAATTTACTTTCCCGATTATGGCCGAAAGCCTCAGCTGTCGCTGAACGACTATGGAGTGCTGCGAGTGTGAACAAATCCGAAGATGCACAGTTTCGATTGGTAAGTAATCAGTCAGTATTCTTCAAAGCATTTCTGTCGAATTTTATAGGATGTGCATCGATGTCGTCTCTTACGGTCTGTAGGATATCTTTCAAATCATTCTCATATTTTGATTTTATTAGACGTGGCATACCTGCTCAACCACTTCTTAACGGCTACTGTGGAAACTATGAATTAGGTATGGGAAGATCGATGATCAACTATCCTGCATTCAACTACGAAAATTCTAACTCGAATGACTCTACGACAACAGCAGCCACAACAGCAACGCTGTCCCAGGGTTCGACCGATAGACCATCATCTGCATCCGAAGTATTTCATGACAGAATATACTATATGCTGTACCTATCCCTGTGTAGTATCTACGTATTCTTCGCACATTAAACCTCCAATGAGGAAAACATTTTTCGTTTTTACAAATGACTAGTATCGATGTATATCCTTTTAGAGAGTATGATTAATCTTTTGCGACAAGATGAATTCTTTCTAAGACATTCGATGATAATAAAAATGCATATCTCACTTTCTCTCTCACTCACAACAATCATACATCAAAACCATAAAAGAATCTGGATATTTTATGATCTGCAAGAATCTAATATAAAAGAGATTTTTATACAGATGAATTTCAAGTGTCTGAATTGTTCTACTCTATAAAAAATATGACACAGATCGATGATAAATGATCGTCAAGTTTTATCTGAAAATCAAACCTAGTGTAAAACTAACGCAAATACATAACACCTTTTCGGCTGTGTCTGTGCTAATCTCAAATGAAAGCAAAGATCATCTTATGTTAATTCAAGATTAATATGCGTACCTCTCGTTTTTCTTCTCAAGTTTTTGCATTCACTTTATTGAAAATACAAAAAAATATCATAAAATATGCATATCGGAATAGAAAAGGCTCGTTCTCAAGAGCTAGATCAATCCCTTGAAGATATAATTATTTTATAGACTGCTAATCGGCTATAAGTGGGTGAGAATAAAAAGATATGCCACTTCGTGTGATATCATTACCAACAGTTTGAAAATTCTTTTCACAAAAGTATATTGCCTTCATAGATGATGAGAACTGCCTTCTTCTCGAGTTCTCTGCTGTTCTACTTTTTAACCTATGTCTCAAGTGAAATCGAATTTATTGCTGTGCGATATCCATTGCAGGTAATCAAGTTTAGTTCATAGTTCAACCGCCACTTTTAAAAATCACCAGAGAAAGGTCCTTCGAATGATTTCATATCACCTTTAGGGACAACGATCACCGCCAAATGCAGTATGGCCACACCCACAACAAATCAATGCTTCTCTAAACCTACTCTATATTCGTCCAAATAATCTAACAATCAATTCCAATATTCGAAATTGTGACATAATTTCAAATGCAACTCAGCGTTACAACAAACTTTTCTTTCCACCTAAATTGACGATGCGTGAGCCGCCATCAGGTGCTGACAATATTTTACAGAGTGTATCATTGAACATTCGCGGCGATGGACAATGTGAAAAATATATTCAACAAACATCCAACGAATCATGTACACTCCTCTTCCACACATCTATCGTACCTATATTCTCTCTTTCACTTCCTAGATACTCTCACCATCTCACAACAGATCGCCATTGTCGAATCCACCACCGTCTGGGGCCTTCTCCGAGGCCTCGAAACCTTCTCACAACTCGTCTACATCAACAAAGACAACTATGTATGTTCACTCTCACTCCTCTCACACTCTCCTCTTCCTCATTCTCACAGGTGGTGATCAACAGTACAGTGAGCATTGTTGACGGTCCACGATTTCATCATCGTGGTGTCATGCTCGATTCGTCACGACACTTTCTCCCAGTTTCAATCATCAAGAAAAATCTGGTAGGCGATAGACATGAAATTGCATTGAATGACACTGATCGAATAGGATGTGATGTCATACAATAAGCTGAATGTATTTCACTGGCATCTGGTTGATGATCAATCGTTTCCATTCGAAAGCGAAGAGTTTCCAGAGTTATCTGCAAAGGTGAGAAATAGAGTCTGAGTTGTTGTTGTTGTTGTGTGCGTATGTTAGAAGATTGATTGTTGTAGGGCGCATTTTCAGCAGATCATGTGTACACACCATCGGATGTTGCTGATGTGATCGAACACGCTCGATTGCGAGGAATTCGTGTTATTCCAGAGGTTCGTTCATTAGAAAGCTTCAGCAATCAACGAATCATTTTCGAAAATGAATAGATTGATACGCCTGGTCATACGCATTCGTGGAGTAAATCAATGCCTCAGTTGCTGACAGTGTGTTGGGCAAACGGGAAACCCTATCAAGCTATATATGGAGTGCAAGGCGAGATGGAAGTTTTTAATCCTAGTGAACCGCACGTTTACACGGTAATGGAAACGTTATTGCGAGAAGTCAAACAAAAATTTCCATCAAATTATATTCATCTAGGTATAAGAGTAAATTTCTTTGGAAGAGCAGAGTCATTTCTTCTTGTGTGTCGTCTATTTCTAGGAATGGACGAAGTGTACGATAAATGCTGGTTAGTTTTCGTATTCTATGGGTTGAAGCGCAGTAAAACATGGAATTGTTTTGATATTTCAGGTTGTCGAACCCTAATGTTAGTGCATGGATGCAAGCTGTCAACATCACGAGCACCAAGGGTCTCCATGCTTACTATGCAGATCGTGTACTGAGCATAATGCGTAATATTGATTCCATACCGATTGTTTGGCAAGATGTCTGGGATGAACAAGTGGAAGTAGGATTGTTTTCGATCGAATTGTAACTGTATTGAGACATCATGGCTATTTGACTTAGTTACCAACTGGCACTATCATTCAAGTATGGAAAGGAGCTGACAATTCATGGGCGTCGTATTTGGATAATGCTGCCAAACAGGGATACAATGTTATTCTTTCAACTCCTTGGTATTTAAATTACATAAGTTACGGCAAATATAATACGAATACATCTGTGATGAATTTGGAATTTTTTAAATATTATGAAATCGAACCGTTGATGAAATTTACAGGTTCGATTGAAAAAAAGCAGAGAACTTGTTTTTTAATTGAACGCCTTGATTAACAGGTACTGAAGAAGAGAAAAAACGTATTCTTGGCGGTGAGGCATGTATATGGGGTGAATTCATCGATTCTACTAATATTTTAACAACCCTATGGCCTCGAGCATCAGCTGTTGCTGAACGACTGTGGAGTGCTGCGAGTGTGAACAATTCTGAAGATGCGCAATTCCGATTGGTAACGATAGCATATCTGACGAACGTCTTCATAAAATTCTATTTTATTTCGATTTTGAGGATGTGCATCGATGCCGCCTGTTGAGGTGCGTTTACTAGTTGCACTCTTATGTGATTTCTTTTATTTTGTAGGCGAGGAATACCAGCTCAACCGATTCTGAATGGTTATTGTGGAAATTATGAATTAGGCATGGCCAAATCGATGATCAATGATCCAGTATTCAATTATGATGAATCGGTTTGGGTCGACGTGATCATAACGACAGCACAATCAAGTTCAACCAAATCAACTGTACCCAACATTGCGTCACCAATACATACATTTACATCTGTCGGTTTATTTGTAACAACAGAACTACTTTTCTTAACTATCATCTTTTCATAACAATTCATATCTTGATTTTTAATGATAATGCTTTGAAAAGTTTCATTGAATAAAAACTTGGTACATGCTCTTCTTTTCTCTCCTCTCTCGTATATTTATAAAAACATTCATTTGTTATGATGTGAAGGACATTACGCTTGTTCGTAATCTGATATTTGCAATAAATAGATACCAGAGAAACAAAAAATTGTCTGTGAAACCAGTAAAACGAGTAGAGATACCGTGGAGTGGGTGTAGTGAGGACGACCCTCAACATCATCTGTTCGAAAATTAGTATTTTGTCTGTAGTGTAACGATGCAGGAAAGACGACAACAATTGAAAATTCCACCAGCTTGGCAGCCCGACGAATGGATTTGCAATCATTCAGGAAGTCGACAATCGACAAGAATGGACAATTATTTCGTCTATCAACAATCGAAAAATAGATCAGCAACTAGTTATAGAAGTTTAGAAAGATCACCAACTCCTAAACGCATCAGCACAGCCAAGCTGCGACGACGTAAGTATATTCAGTTCATGGATATGTTTGAAAGTGAACGCCGTTCTTCTTTGATTACACATAGAAATCGAGAATTTAAGTCTGAAAAGTGCCGAATATCGTCAGTCTGCTCGTCAATCAAAAGTCAAACGGTTACGTGATACTATTAGTCCAGTATCCTATAAAAGCTTTTATTCCTATGCTCTTCATCGTCACCTTCCCACCCCACCTATTCACATTCCAAAAATGTCAAAACAGTCTTTAAAACGATGGCTCGACGCTCGAGATGCATATCTTGGTCATAATTATCCGTACATTCAAGACGGTCTCCGTCGCCATCAACGATTACGACGTCGAAAGGCGCGCAAAGAAACGAACACGATGATCGATTATGACGAAACTGTAACAATCTTATCCATGGAATCGGATCGGTTTACTTTACCCGAACTAACATATACCAATAGTCAACGTCGATTGAGTCGAAAAGAGAGCTTTACGAGACGTCTCAGCAGATCTGAAACAAATCTGCGTCGCCCAGGCAGTCTGCTACAACGTATTAAATCATTTGTTCGATCACCAGTCGCTTCGTTAAATCGTCTTCCATGTCGGAAACGAGCAAGAAAGAAAACGGTGATCATCTGGGACAATTTTGATGATAAATGCATTGGAACAGAAACTAGCGAATCAACCACTTCTCGTACGAACATAAAACGTTCCGATCAAGGTGTACAAGCTAATCTACCTCGTCCTCGAATAGAATTACATCATGAAATTGATACTAGCATGGTTGTCGGCGAGAAAAGGCAACGAACACGACCTGTTCGAAAAGATGTTGAATATCATGATAAAGCAATAGAGACAGATTTCATTGAGAATTTTGTCACTGTCCAGAGAGAAAAAAAAGAAAAAGAAGTCAATGCTCACAAGAATGATAAGACCACTCGTAGTGACGCAGAAAAAGAAAACATAAACCCATCTACCAGCGAACAATACAACGTTGAACAATATCAAGCCAGCGACAACGACGACGACAAACATCATTTGCCATCGATGTCTACTTCTGATCGGCAACGAAACAAAAAAACAAACGAAGCAATCAAAGCATCACGATTTACGAATGCAGGTAACCGAATTGCTCCGTTAACAGATCTATTTCATTCATCGACAATCAATGAAAATGATAAACAAAACGAATCGAGATCGGCAATTGTTACACCAACAGAATCGAATACTTCCGTTCATGAACAATTGTACAAGTAAGTAAAGGAGAAATTACAAATTGCTTACATAATTAAAACTACCACCTTTTGTTTCGCCCGACGAGAAGATGTTATATACATTACTTAACTCAGTCAATATACACTTTTTTCTTCTCTTCAAAGATGAACTTATTTATGCCTAGTGTAGACATATATGAGATGAGAAGAGCAGAGAAGAGAAAGCGTTGTCTTGGTATCGAACTAAACAGTTATACAGAGACAACCGAAAGCGCGTACATGTATATAAGAGAAAGGGAAGAACGAACGCACGCACGAAACAACTCATTGCGTTAGTTGAACCGACAACTAAAGTGATATTTGAAGGGTATCCTTAAAATTTGTCATGCAGCTCGTCTAAATGACTGATCATGCTTTATCAATATCACCATCCGTACCAGCATTAGCGGAAACTAAATCCAATTATTATAGACTACGGACTCGTTTCAATCGGCTGTCCAAAGAACGACGATTGCTCACTTGTCTACTCATTCTATTCGCGATTGTCATGTGTGGTCTACTGATTGGAATTTTCATTCTATCCTGGATATATCAAGGTAGGTTGTCTTCGTCAGTTTCTATGCCGGTGAAGAAAGAATGGAATAATCAAAATAATATCATATCTGTACATACTAAATACTCATTCTTAGGACGAACTTCGATAATCTATCGAGAAGTTAATAATACTACTACTAATGTCGGTGTCAGCGTTGTTGAAGGTAAAATCTAGAACTGTTCAGTTGCCTTGTCTCATCACGTTTCATTGATCAAAACTTTACACACATACACTTTTCTTTTCTACCTATATTCCTCACTTGAATTATATAGCTTTACCGCGACATGAACGATACACATTGATCGCACTTAACAATAATAGCAGTCTAGCGACAAGTGTTATTCATACAATATCATCGACTACAACTACAGAAAAACAACGTATGAGCATTTTAGTCTAAAACACTTATGACGCTTCTTTTTATTGCATCATTTTGTGCTTTGCATCCGATAGAGTGTGTTATATTTCATATTTCACTGCGTGAATCTGCATAAAACCATAATAAAGACTAATTTTTTTTAAAAATTTTAGTAGCTCGTTATGGTGAATCGTGCGATAATGATAGCGATTGTGAGAATCCGTTTATTTGCTTCAAAAAAGGATCGTCAATACCGGGCATGTGTCGATGTCCTTTGAAGTATGATTTTATCAAGGGTCGGTGTGGTAAGTACGAACGACATATATGCAAATCAAGAACGATTTTAACCTTTAAATTTGTTTTACTCAAGTTGGTGATCTCAATGCATTGTGTACGAAGGATATCGATTGTCAACGATTTATGCTCTGTATGGGCATGAAGGATGGAACACGGCAATGTCAATGTCAAACACAATTCCAATATGATAACGAACGACGACGATGTCGTACGTAGATCCATCGATTACGAATGAAATATTATTAAAATAATGATTGTATTTCCTAGGTGGCGACTATGAAGCTCCATGTGAAAGCAGTGTGGATTGTCGAACAAATCTTATTTGTAATAAAACTGCAACATCGGCATTTTGTTCATGTGAATCTCATTATCACTACTATCCAAACGGAAAGAAATGTCGCGGTAATCCAGGTGCTGTATGCGATCGATTAACAGCTGAGTGTGTTGATAATGCTGAATGCCGTGATGGTGCATGCGAATGTTCGAATCAATTCGTACCGGATGAAAACAAAGTGTGCGGTAAGTAAATGCGTATGGAGCAGCCAATTCATATTTTTCTACTAAATCTAGTTGATCCATGTCCAACAAAACTCACAAGTCAACCGCGCATTCGTTATCCAGGCAATTGCCGACGTTTTATTGACTGTCAGCAAAAGTAAAATTCTCTCCAATTACTTGTGTGCATCTATAAAATATCACTTTTCGTTTAGATCCAAAACAGAATGTCCAGAAATGACCATATTCAATTTACGCACCCAACTCTGTGACTATCCGAAAAATGTCTTTGATTGTCGATAGAAATGTTCCGTATAAAAATCTAGTATTATTATTATTATTATTTGTGTTTTTTTGTATGACAAATGAATTTATCTATAGAGTGTCATTGTAATGTTCTTCTATCATCAAAATAAAAACCAAATTATTGTATAGTTTTTCACTGGAACATAACACAGACAATGTTTACAATCAAATTGTGCGCGAATGACGCCATCTATCTGGAGAAGTAAAGAATAAGTGTACTCATTAACCAATCATGAAATAACTTTTTCTATAGTACATTTTTTCGTCTGATCTTTTCATTTTTGCTTGAAATAACCGCTATTCAGCAGCTTTCAGATGGTCAATCAACCAGCTTCGACAGTTAGTGAGCAACGTAATGATGATCTGATATTTTCCCACCTGAGCAAAGTTGAAGATTTTATCATGTAAGAAACATTTTTCCATTTACTTTCGTATGTTCTATTTCGTTATTTTGTTCCAAAACCAAAGTGCCGATAAGCAACGTACAGAAACACTTTCAAACTATGTGAAACATTTCTCCGATCTCAAATGTTCGCTCCTTCCATCATCATTTGCTACTGTTGCGCCCTTGTCCGTTCATGTACGTGGCTTTGACTCTGAACAAATCTATCAACAATTAAAGTCAATCAATGAACCGCGATTGAAACCATTCATAGCTACCCTCGTTAAAAGCAAAACGAAACAAAAAACATTTGGAAATTTACTTAGACCGCCTTCGCCCGAAGAACCACTCGTTGAAAAAGATGAAGATGACAATGATGATGAAGAAGAAGAAGAAGAAACACCACCGCCACCGAAAAAAGCACAAAAAAAGAAAAAATCCGTCACGTAGGAGATCAATTCGTCGATTATTGTCAGTCTTTCGAAAATTTATATTTGTTTAGATTCTTTGATTCGCATGCATTGAATAAATTTCTCGATGAACAAGATCGTCAAGAAATGTCAAAGTAAGAATTTTTATCGAGAAATGTTTGAAAAATTTGTTGAATTAGTATGAATGGAAAAGGAACCAATGACGATGAAGATTTTGATGATTTGGAAGATGATGACGATGGCGATGATCTATTGCTCGATGAGGACGATGTAAACATAGACTTATATATTTCACTCAATAGATAAACGTGCGTCGTTGATTTAGGAAGGTGCACATTACGATAGTTTCTTTGATCCACCCACTGAAACTAAACAAAAGAAGAAGAAAATGAAAGGCAAACAAGAAGAGATTGAAATGTAAGTGACATGTGTTCATACGTCGAATCTGCCTTTTCACGTTTTGTTCTTCAGTGATGACAATCATGCGGACATGAATGGCGAAGCACAAGACGAAGACGATGAAGAAGAAGAAGATCTCAATCTCGATGATAAATCTGACTTTGAAAAACAACAAATCCTAGTAAATGCCTTTTCTCGACACTTCTCTCGTCCATTTCGAATTCTTTTCAGTTAAAACGTCAAATAAAGTCAATTGAAAAAGACATGCTAAGTGCTAAACCATGGCAACTAACTGGAGAAATCGAGGGCCAAAAACGGCCAGAAAGTAGTTTATTAGAAGAATATTTACAATACGAACGAACAACCCGATTACGTATGTCGACACGTCAACGCTAACCGATTTGATATTCTTGATTTCATAGCACCTACGATTACCACTGAGACAACGGATTCGCTTGAGGAATTAATCAAACAGCGCATTCGCGATCGGGCTTTCGATGATGTCGAACGAAAGAAGAAAACACCCCTGGGCGACGAAGCACAAGCATATAAGAAAGAGATTCTTCTCGAACATGAAAAGAGCAAAATGAGTTTAGCTGAAGTTTACGAACAAGAATATCTGAAGAAACAGACGGTAATGAGCTCACAAATAATACATGGCAATGTTCATTGTTGACCGATGTTTTATTTAGAACGATAAAACAGAAAAGAAGGATGAACGCCATGAAAGTATTCGACAAATGATGCAGGATCTATTTGTTGATCTTGATGCATTGTCCAACTTCAGATTCACTCCACGACCAGTAAGAACGACGTTCGTCTCTATTGAATATTCCTCACAAACAATGATCTATTTAGCCTGTACCGGAAGTGACTGTAGTGAACAATTTACCTGCAATCCTTGTAGAGGAAGTTGTACCAACAACAGTGAACGATTCAACGTTACTTGCACCTGAAGAAGTTCATGTAGGAAATTGTTTGTTGTTTGTAGTAAGAAAAGTAGAGCTTTTCTCATTCATTGTAGGTAAGATCCAAAGGTGATGTGAAAGCATCAAGTGAACGAACAGATACGGATAAGAAACATGCAAGACGTTTGCTCAAACATAAACTCAAATTAAAAGGAAAAGAGAAACCAAAGAAGACCAATCCAGAAGAAGAAACTAAGGGTAAATGAAAGATCGATTTGGAAAGAATATGTCCATCATCTTTGATGTTTTCAGAAGAAAAACGAAATCTTTTGAAAAAACTCGGTAAAATGAAGAATGTGCGCATTGAAAAGGTAAGACCATCGATGTTACAAATCTCATTTTGATTAACAGTGATTTCAATCTAGACGGATAAGAAACACTCCAAAGAAAAACCAACGCGAAGTTCTACAAAGTTCTTTGAGCAACTTCAACAATCGACATTAACAGCACCAACGAAGAAACAACGTCGCAATGATAATCCAGCAGCTACAGATTCGAAGCGATTGAAACTGTAGAACAGCTACTGTTTGTTTTCTCCGTGTTTGTTTTGTTATTATTCGCATTTTTGTCGAATAAAATGAAGGAAAAAAAGAGCATATTTAGATACAAAAGGGAGAGCTCGATTGTGTTTAAGAACTTCGCTTCGTTTCATTCTCGTTATGAATCGATTTGTTCGTTTCTTATCATTTGTTACTGAAGACAGGAATAGTGAAATTGTGTTTCTCATGAAAATGGTTTTATTTTTATCATCTTCCACCTATACGCTTCTTCCAGCAAACAATGGTTATCTTTTTTTTCGCTCTTTTCGTTGACGATACGAAGAATTCTTATCATTCGAATGTTGAGTCATCCTGTCTTGTGCTCTTTGAAATATCATTTTAATAATTTTTCGAACTGATTTCGTCGAAGCGCAATGTTCAGACAGTTCTTCGATACATCATTCAATGATTATCGACAGGTACGAGTTGTCGTTCAAAGATTACCACGCGATTCGCCAACAGGATCATCACTTGACTTCCAAAGGTAAATTTCGTCGTTGAGTTCAATTGCACAGAAACTTCGTACTTTGCGTGCATTTAGATTTTGCACCAGTCTATTTAATCATAAGAGTTATACACAAGAACAATTCAAGCTTGAGTACTGCTATGTAAAAGAAAAGTTAGCTGTTGACGAACTACCATTGAATGAAATCCAACTGTATCGTCGACCATTTGGTTTCATTTGTTTTGCTACTGTACAAACTAGTGAAGAATTACACAGCGTTCTCGGTCAATTTCGAGAAATGAAAGAGAAATACAAAGATGCGCATGTACATCTATTTGTTCGATGTAAATCGACAGATATTAAAGAAGATGATGGTGAGATTTCAACGGACGATAAACTGGACGAATCGTAAGCACTATTTGAAGAAGAAATGAACAATTTGTAAATCAAAATGTATCTCTAGTGATTACACACCTGTGTACCGTCAATCTGTTTCCAGTATGATGAGTACGGATTCATATAATTCATTACCACAAGCAGTTACATCACTTAAACTGCAAGAATCAATATCTATTGATGAAAGTGGTAGTACAGCATCTGATCCAGGATCTTTAACAAGTAGTTTGGATAATTCAATGGTATTTCAAGGTGCTGAAGCGGATACACTCGATGATGACGATGAAAGGGGCGCTTCGATCGAAATCACGACTATGAAAACAACAAAGAAACCCAGAAAACCTCTTTTAAAAAGTTTAACTCTATCGACAACGACAATTCGTGATCAATTTGATAATGACGTAACTCGTGTTTCACATGTTCTATTAACTAATCTAACCAAATTAGCAGCTGAATCAAGTAGTACGAATGGATTAATATATTCTCTCGATTCACAACTAGCTGATATACGTTTAATTGTGAAATCGGAAGCGAATTGTACACTTTTAGACAGCAAAGAGATATCTCGTCATGGATACAGTCAAGATCGCACGTATAAAGCTGCACTAAACGAATTCGACATGCGTATGATGCTGGCTTTATTTAATCAATATACAAAAGCCAATACAATTCTTGGCGCAGAAGTAGCCAAAGACAAGTAAAGAGCTTCATGATGATTTACCGACAAAACTGAAGTCGAACTTCTCGAATTTAGATTATCACGAAAGACAATTGAAGCACGGATATTAAAACGCAAAGGTGATTGCTATCTATTATTAGGAGCTATCGAAAGATCTCTACACACATATCGACGTGCTACAGAAGCATTGAAGACTCAAAATGATTCGATATGGCATGCAGGTTGAGTAACATACCAGATTTAAACAGATGAAATCTATCGTTTGCTTTGTTAGCTGCTCTCGAAGGACGCGTCGCAGCCACATGTTCTTCAGTACAAAAGCCTAAGACACGCTTTCCAAAAACGATGTCATACATATCACAACGTTCCTTTACGAGAAGTAATTTGCACAGTACTCTCAGCTAGTCAATTTATTCTTTTGAAATTTAGTGATGTCCTTCAAGAAAATCTTGAAACTATCATCCGACGCATTGCTAAACTCCCAACCAGACATTGAGTCATCTATACGCACTTATCATGCTGCCAGTAGTTCTCTGTATAATAGTCAGGTCTTTCGATTAGAATTGGATGCTTGTTTACGTTGGTGTACTTTACTCTTGGAACAGAATGACATTCGGGTAGAATTATTCATTGTTTCCCATCAAGTTTTTCTCGTTTTTTCGTAAATAGAAATACCGTAGTGATGTTGATGAGTATGTGAAACGAATCAATGTTTGTGGCCATGATCTACAAGAGCATATCGATAGTGTAAGTCAGATTATGTGATAATCAACGGATTGACTCAAAAGAAATTCATTTTAGATATATTTAAACGCCTATTTAGCAGAGACATATGCAACAATTGGCCTAAAACGTAAAAGCGCATTGTATTATCGGTCGGCAGCATATTCAGGTTTGGAATTATTAAATGAGCGTAAAGATCACGAAGATGATATTGGATTTTTCGATGAGCTCATCAGACGAGCGCGTACAGGATATGGAATTGATGGTAAGAAAAGGGATTTCTGTCGAGTGTTCCGTTATTCTAATACTCAAGTTGAAATTTAGATAATCAATTAATATTTCCATTGATACAGAAGACCATTATTAGCGAGTCAATACAAATTAGCTTAAAAAATAACGATTTTACAACGATTATTGAGTATGTCTTTTTGATTCACCATTCATCTAATTTTCGATATTTCGAATTAGAAATGTTCATTTTGCTATCGAAACACTCATTGACTACATGACAGATGAAGAATTAAAACAACTGCTTACATTTTTGAATGCCAGTGATCAATCAATTACTTGTTCGTATTGCAGCATACCGCGATTGAAGTAAATCTCATTTAATAATTCAATTTTATATATTTCTCAATTTCTTAAAGATCTCTCGATCTTCTTCCTCCATCGGATCGATTGAAAGCATGGAAAACAGAAGCTGATGGTGCATTATTTATCTATCGTCCGAAAGTCATTGTGTCTAGTCAACATCAACCTCTCCATCGGAAAGTCGGTATGTTATATTCCACTTGCTATCCATGAAAAGTTCTCTCTGTCTCATTTGAAATACGTCTGTGTTATAGATTTCTTCTGGGTTAAAAACGAGCAGGCACAAATCGCACTCGTCGTAGAGAATTATCTACCTTCGACTATGTATATCACTCAATTAGAATTTATTACTGATCATCAACTAACAACTAAACCTGATGGCAAATATCGTATTCCATCGCGCACTACCAAACGCTTAGTGATTGCTTGTATACCGAAAGAAACGGGTTCATACCGAATACAAGGTTTGTTAGTCGAAATTGCATGGAGGATAAACATTTCATTTCGATTAGGTCTTCGTTATCGAATATTGTCCACGAACCAAGAATATCTTTTCAAAGATGTGCCTGCTATTCGTCATTGTGCGTGTTCAGTTGATGTTGTGGATGAGCTACCCATTCTTGCAATTGAATGTGTGCATGTTAATGAGATGAAAATCGATTTGGTCGATCAAACGACTGCGTACACTGCACAAGTTCATCGAGAAGAAGAGTAGGTTGTGTAAGAGAAGAAAATTAGATGTTGTTTTTGTATTTAGTTTGTTTGTAACATTTGATTTGATGAATTCGTCACCAACATGTGACATCGATCAGTTGGAGATTCAAGTTTTAGCATCGGGCCTCAACATGACAGGTGTACATCGAAATTACGAACACTAAACTCATCTGTTTTTCTCTAGAGTATGTTAAAATTCCACAACTCAGTCTGCCGATATACACTGGTACAAAGATGAAAATAAAGCTGGATCTTTCCGAGATTTATGATCGTTATCTGGCACGCCAAGGTCGATTAGGAACGACTATTGAAGTGAATTGAAATCAACGTTTTCTAGCCGAGAGTTTCCTTCTTGTTTTTAGTGTTTGAATATTGAATTTCGATTGAAATACTTCAATCAATCTTCAACTACAAATAACTATTATCGCCAAAGTACAATCGAGCTTCGTCTCGATTACTTCTCATCGATTTTCTTCGAAATAAACGATATACAAAACGATGAAGAGTAATAATGAAAGTCTCTCTTTTTGTTTTCTCTTTTTGTACACCGATTTCAGTGATTTATCTTATGTGTTGTGCTGTACAATCGTCAATCATCTATCGGAAGATATAACATTGCAAAACAACATAATCAAACCATCGGAAACATCATTAACAATGATCAAACAAGATAAAATCAAATTAAACACATTTCCATCCGACTTAAATGAATTGATTACTGCAATCCGAAATCAACTACCCACACACGTTCATTACAAAACAACAAATTCTGTAAGGATTGACATAACAAATGTTATACATATGGCTTTTTTTCTTCATTGAACTAGAATAAACGTCTGCGTTTACCGATCAATTGGCAGAACTTTTCTAATGATAAAATCCAAAGTCATTTTCACGATCTTATTCAATCACCTTATACCTGCGACTGGCATTTCAAAAAATTAGCCAATACTCTGCATATTCATCTATGTGTTTCATCCAAATATTACAAAATCTGTCAATTAGAGTTTCGCTTCCCATCATTGAACGGTGTTCGATTTTTAAATTCCAACAGAATTCTCTTCAGCGATGTAACTATGCTCGAAATGTTTGTCTACACATGTCTCAATAAGTTTCGTTTGTTTTCTCGTTTTAGATCGAATCGGGAAAATACTGTACGGCCGAACGGGTTTTGATCTTTACTCAAGGAGATAGTTCCGATGTGCTCGTAATTGATGTTAGTGTGAATAACATTGCATGGAAAAGAATTACGTTAACTGTTTGAATAAACTTCTTTGGTTGATTTTGATAAAATAATAAACACATTCTAGTATATCGAGGCATTTTTGTTGTAAAGAACAGAGGTTGAGTGTATGGTTACACGGAAAAACAGAATAATTCTTATCTTTTGTTTGAAAATAGATGACAAATGAAATGATAAACAAGTTGTCGCCAACTTGCCTTTTTCAGTAGTCATAGAATGCATCTCCATATGACGCGTTTCATACGAGAGTCACCCGCCTAAGTTATCTCTGTCGGACGTGTTCGAAATTCTCTGCAAGACAAGTAAGTAGTTTGAAAATCATCTATGATGAGTTGATTTTTCGTGTTTCGATTGAAAACAGAAGTCTAACGCCATCTAGTTCGATCGAATTTCAACTGTTTTTCTTTTCTCTTTCGTCGCCAGTCTGAAATTCGTAGTGAGCAATAATGATTCACACTATCTTTTGTTTGACTCAGCCTTGATGGATCGAAAAATCATAGAGTTGGCCAAAATGCGAAAATCTCACTTCTTTCCCCTTCCATTCTATTCTTAGATCTACATATGCATGTTTTTTTTTATTTGTAACAGAATACATTGAAAAGTCATACTATTCGTACATTTATTTCCTTCTACGAACAATGACTTCTGTACAGACAATTCAAACCGTCTTCTCATTTGTTTTTCGAACTTACAATACAAACGTTAAGCTCTTCGATGACACACGCATCATTAGCAACTAAGCCTTACATTCCTTCGTTTTTTTAATTCTTGTCCATAGCTCTTACACACTCTTCATACCTTTTTAGGTACAATTCGAATCACAACCAATTCCATGAATATCGAGCTCAATAAATAAGGCACACATCATGAATAGGTCAAGTCGTGAGAATGCCGTATGGTTTAAAATAAAACACACTCGTAGAGATTCTATTTTCTTTGTCATAGAATTTACAAATGCGAACACCGTCCAACCGAACTAATGCGAAAAAGTATCGATTTAGTTCAGTAATTGTCAATCATCGATCGAAAGGTTTGAATGAATGAATAACATTGTTTACTGAGCGAAGAACAGTATGAATATGACAGGAGGTGGGAGAGTTATTAGTCATTGCATTTCTCACGTGTTTCGATTTTTCAGCGAATAGAAAAACTTAAATGTCTAGCAGTTCGATGCAGACTGATACATTTGAATTTATTCATTTAGTTTCTGATCATCAGCAAATTCCTCCTTCAAACTTCGAAATCAATGACACATGTAGTGAAGTGGAAATGAATCAATCCGTAAGTCTTTCGTTCGTTCTTTCTCTCGTTCAACATATACAGAGTTTGATCCACAAGCCTTTCGGCGTAATTCAAGGCAAATTTGATTTACTCTTTTCAAAACCAACGACAAATATTTCATTGAAGTAACGTTTCAAACATACATACATACATATCTAATGAGAATATTTTCGATCAACATATTTATGACTTATCATAAAAGCATTAAATAGTAATGTTGTTCTACTCTTTGTCTTTCACGCAGACATTCTCCCATCCAGCTACATTGGACGAATTATTCCATGAATTGACAGCGTGTCAGCGAAAACAAACGCTCTTAATCGAAAAAATTCATGAGCAACTGAAATCTTGTCGTTCGACAACGTTTTTCCTTCCATTTGATTGTTTATCTAATAGTAAATCAGTTCCTTCATTGCAAGATGCCTTTCAACAACACAAATCTTCTTTTATTCAACAATCAAAACAACGTATCAGTGAAATTCATCGCCATAGAACGAAATCACATCAGAGAATCATCCCACCAGTCAAACAAACGAGCAATACGTATTTACAAGAAAGACGACAGTATGAAAATGATCGTCTATGTGCAATGATAATCAAGCATCAAAATCGACAGAGTGCGAAAATCTATGGAGATTTAGTTCGACATCGATTGTATGACAATTGAACAAGCAATAACTTTCTCTTGTTTTTCAGATACGATCTTTTTTAAAGAATAACCAAAAGAATGAATGAGGATGGACATCCGGAACATGAGAAGAAAAAAGGCAAAGAGAAGAAGAAAGATACTGCGGTAAGAATCACCGAATTTCTAAGAGAATTCACCGATCATGTTGACAATTGCAGGTTGGAACGTTATCATCGAAATTTATGGTGAGCTATTCATGTTGACGAATTTGTTACTACGTTCGTTCGGTACGTCTCTTTAGAAAACAATGAGAATATCATCGGGAAAATCACGTAATCCATTGCCGTTTGATACCAATGTTGATCAGAGTGCATTGGGTTCCAGTAGAAGCAATCATTTGACTACTACACACGATAATACATTTACATCTTATACAGCATCATCAGAATTAGCGCCAGTTTCGTCGTCAGCTGCATCTAATGATCTCGATGTAACTGCACTGACCGATGATGAAGTTCGAGAACGTTTTAAATCTGTCATGGTTTGTAGAATTTGTGTCTGTGATCATGACTTTCTCTCTTTTCCTCTACTAGGATGATCTGTTCGAAGGAAACGAAACGAAAAAGAAAATGTTCGAGCAAACAACCACCGCACATATGAGAGAAATGCTTAGTTCGCATTACAAACTCGCCACGGTAAGATGTTTCCTGTGCCTTCTACAGTCTCGAAAATTCTCTTTGCTTCGATTTTAGAATGAGATGAGTGGTCCCAAGTCGCCTGAATATCAAATACAATGTTTAAATCATGTTACGATGGATAATATCTATTCGAAAAATAGTAAAGATACATTCGAACGTGTGGCATTTTCGCTGAAAAAGTACGGCCTCAAATGGAGTAAAGTGTTTGGTGAGAATTCCAACGGTCCCAACGCGATGCTGAAAGCAATGCGAGCTTGCATCACGAAAATTCAATTCACTCGAGAGTAAGTTTCGATAAACAAAAGCGTGATTCGCATTCTTGCGGTTTTCGATTCATTTCAACAGGAAAGTCAATCGTGATGGTGACGAACGTCGAGAAAAACAAAGTGCACTGCATGATATTTTGGGAGCTGGCATTGAAGCGTTTAAAAACTACCTCAATCTCGGATGGAATTTCAATTCAATGAAAGAATCCTTAGCTAAAGATATAGCAGAGATCACGATCGATGTCTTGAATATCTTAGCGTTCGAAGCTGATGAACGGTCAAATAAAATCAAACAAACATGTGCTATTCTTTTGTTCGCGTTGGCTATGCCAAATGAAAATAAGTACGTTTGAACTGAGAGGAAAAACAAAAACTCGACGAATGTATTTACTTCTAGCCCTTCGAATGGTCAAAATATTGTTCAACTTCTAGCACAGTCTGTGAAGAAATGGTGGCCAGGTCGTGAACGATTCGATTGTTTGGTTAACTCCTTTGAAGCAGGAATTGAAATAGCGGTATGAAACTCGAATGAACTTATTGAATATTGTTTGGTAGTTGCTCTATTTCTAATTTTTAGAGTAGTTTTCTAATGTGTATCAATGCTATATTTGTTACTCTATCAACGGAGCATCGCTATCATCTACGAAGTGAACTGTTTCGTTGTGGCTTCAAGACAGCTTTTGAAGTACGAATTGAAAGAACGATTGTCTTCCAATTTCACATCAATGATTTTGCTTGAATAGGGATTACAAAAGAAGGTTCAAGAATGCGAAGATCTAAAGCAAAAAGAAATGTTAGCAGCACAAATCAATCTATTTCTTCGTCATATTGACGATGATTATCAATCAATGAATATTAAACTTGAATCGATATCGAGCACTTGGGCGTAAGAAATTTTCCAGTTTCGATTTACCACAACTCGAAAAGCGATTTTCCTATTGATTTTAGTGATCTTCAAGCTTGTTTTGATTATTTACACGGTTTAGTTAAAAGCACACCTTCAGAACCAATACTTGCCAGTATTATTAATCGACTGATTTGTATTCGTGATGATCCAGCTATTCGGTTAGTTGACAGAATTGTTCTTACAAATATCTAGGAGGTTTCTCCGATTCTAGTTGTTCATATTTACGTTTAATTGATGAATGTATAACACGTATTGTGTTTTCAAAATCCGCCTGTGATCCTGATTTCGATACATATTCGATGGATAGTGAATCGATTGGCGAATCGGGTTTAGGTATAAGTGATCATACACCGTCAATACGTAATGGTTCATTACATGATCTTTCACAAATGGCCACTACGACAATGAATAATTTAACAGCAACGGAAAATGAAATACAAATAAACCTAATGAAAGGACGTGTTGAACATCTAGAACAAACCAGAGAAAAATTAACAAAGGCATTGGAAATTGTGCTAACAAAAGTAAAGAAGAAAGGAAAAGGAATTGCGGAACATTTTCTCTTTGTTAGGTTGACGCAGAAACAGTGAATAATTTAAAACAACAATATGGTGATATTATTGGAGATACTGCATCGACTACCAGTCCGCGAAACAACATTCCACCACCGCCTCCACTTTCATCATCAATGGGAAATATTCCACCGCCACCACCAATGGCCGCATCATTAGGCAGCATGCCACCACCACCACCTCCACTACCTGGAAGCTTAATGCCGCCACCTCCACCGCCACCACCAGGTAACACATCGATAAATGCTTTAAAAATTAGTAGGAGGTAAAATCACAAATATCTGTATAGGAAATATACCACCGCCACCACCTCCTATGCCAGGTCAGATCATATCACATCGCTTGTGTGTGTGTTTCTTTCACTCTTCTTGCTCTTCTCATTTCTGCTTGCTCATCTTTTCAAAAGTGAAAAAAACATATCAAACCAAAACCTTCTTCCAGGTCTCATACCGCCAGCACCTCCAATGCTGACAGAGGGTGGCATTCCACCACCTCCACCGTTTCCGGGTATGGCCGGTGGAGGAGTTCCACCTCCACCTCCACCGTTTCCGGGTATGACCGGTGGAGGAATTCCACCTCCGCCTCCACCATTTCCAGGTATGGCTGGTGTGGGAGGCGCGCCACCACCCCCACCAATGATGAATATGACTGCTCCCCCACTTGGTATCTATAATTTATCTCATAATTTCTAAAGCAAAATCTACTTTTGAAATCTTTTTCTTTTGAGGTCCACCACCGTTACCAGATTTCTTACCAACTAAACAGAAATATGTTGTCGGCGAAGCTGTGAAAAAAGTTGCATGGAACAAGATAAATCCACAATCAATTAAGAAAGATTCCATCTGGGCGAACCTTGACGAAAAACATTTTCAAAAGAAAGATCTATTCGCAGCAATAAAACAGAACTTTGCGACAAAATCCGCTCCTGGTATGTACGAACATTTCTACACCTTCATATCCTGAACACGCTTTGCGTTTGTCTTCCATCAGTGAAAAACCTAGCTGACAGTGATAATGAATCATCATCATCCACTACTGTGAAGAAAACAAAAGAATTCCGTGTACTTGATCCACGTGCTGGTCAAAATTTTGGTAAAATCATCACTTAACTACTTAGATATTCTTTCACTGATAGATTTTCTTCTTTCCAGCAATTATGTTCAGTCAATTAAAATCCACTCCACAGCAATTTCGTCAGTGGGTTCTTGCGTGCGATAGTCAACATCTCACGAGCGATTTACTTGCTCAATTGGATAAATCATTACCTACTCCTGAAGAATTGAAGAAGCTCTCTGACCTGAAGAATGAAATCAACGATCTACCTGATTCCGAACAGTATTTCTGCGCCGTAAGCGACATAAAACGTTTACACCAACGCATCAAATTACTTCTATTCAAAAGTCAATACAAAGAACTATTGGAAGAAACAGAAAAGGTAAAGAATATAATTGACAAATCAAAACACTTTGAAAACGCATCTAAAATTCTTCATTTCTTTCTATAGAACTTAGTTGCCGCACGACAAGCATGTGAAACCGTTCGAAAATCTAAACGCTTTCCAAAATTGATTGAATTTGTTTTAACCATTGGTAATTATATGAACTCAAGTGCAAAAACATATGAGCCCATCTACGGTTTCGACATTAGTTTCCTTCCAAGAGTAAAAGTTTTAAATATTCGCAAATAATTTCCTTATTTTTCGTCTCATCGAATAGTTACACTCGACTAAAGCCAATGATGGTAAACGAACATTGCTACATTTCATTTTACAAGAAATTGAAAAAGATCATTCGGATTTACTGAAATTTGGTGATGAATTTCAAGGCGTTGCTGAAGTTGCATCGAAAAGTAACACACTCGAGCTTATTTTCGTACACTAAACCGATCGATTTGTTCGTAGTTGATACTAACGAATTACAACGAACACTAAACGAAATCAAATCCCGTGTTTCTGGTGCTCAGACCGATTTAGATAATGCTAAGAATGCGACGGCAGATTCTCTTGCTGGAGATCGTTTTAGTGATGCAATGGAGGTAAATGAAACTCGGCCGTTTGTAAACATTCAGATTTCAATTTTTTTCTTAGGGTTTTGTCAAAGGTGCACGAGATGATGTTGAACGACTCGAAGGATTGAATACGAAATTAATCACTACCTATCAAGATCTATGTGATTATTTAACAGTTGATCCTAAAAAATGTCCTTTGAGTGATTTCTTCACGGATTTGAAAACATTCTGCACAGTGTTTTTGACATGCTTACAAGAAAATCGTCTATGGCGCGAACAAGAAGAGAAAGCTCAACGTGCTAAGCAATCTAAACAATTGGTTGATGAGATTCGTAAGACTCATCGTTCTGAAGCGAAAGCAGAACCCAAAGCATACTTTAAACCAAGTAACATACCGTCAAAATTCATATTCTCGATAAGAGAAATATTATTCACAAATTCTCTATAGGTGACGAAGATACTGATGTCGTATCTAACCTTATGTCCGTGCTGAAAGATACAAATATGGCCGCACAACCCAGACGCGTTCGTCGACCACCAGGTAAGCATGATTTCTCTTTGAAAGCAGAGATTATTCTTTTACTTTCCATTTCCCCTCTCGTCCTATATATTCACATATTTTTTGTTGTCCATGTACGTTCAGAAGTCGAAGCGTTTGCTGGAGTAATGAAAGAATTGAGTAGTACGCCTGTACATCGACCGACTGTGCCTCAACGTCTACCACCACCGCCACCACCACCATCATTGTCTCCACCTGGTGGTATTCGAGCGACACCACCTCGCCTATCTCCACCACCACCACCGATTCCAGCACGAACTCCACGAAAGACAACGGTAGAATAATCGCTCCGGTTTCGACAATGCCTCTCTAATTTTTGTTAATGCTTTCTTTACCTACTATTGATATTTGATTCTGTTTGTTTTTTTTTCATTGCCGACTTACTCATGCTTTTCCTTCACCATACATTATGATACTCCTCAGGGAAAGGTGTTTCAGGATATTTCATTTGTAACAGAATACCTCAATCTGTTGTTCATTGCTATAACTGATTTTGTCTTTTGTATTTCTGTTCAGCATCACTAAGCCGCGATGTACCCATCGTGTGCTAATACCCATTGGTAAGTGTTATTTTATTCATAGAACAGATGTTGCAAAAGTTTCGCGACATGTAGAGGAACGTATTTCTTCTATAAGCTTATTTAGTGGCAGAACATGTACAACAAACTTGTTATGAATGAACATAGTTAGCTCCAACTTTATTTTTACATGCCTTTTCGAGCTTTGTAGTGTCCCTTTCTCTTTGAAATAAACTGATTCTTTTGAAATGTCGGCAAACTTTTGCAACATTCGATAATCACATGCATAAACGTAGTTTACTTTCTTCTCTCTGGTACATGTTTAAATATCACAACACTAACCGCTTCATTCGCTTTGATTCGTATGCTTGTCACTAAATTGCACCACAATCATGATTGTTTTTCATCTCGTTTACGTTCTAGGACGATTGAAAGTCAACGATCTTCGAGCAAGAATAATCGATCGCGAAAATGCTCAATTACCATCGGATAATCACACAACACCACGTTTGTTAGCTTCGTCCATCCTCAAAGATCGCAATTATGTTTGAAAAACAATTTCATCCCACAAATTCTCTATCTCTCTTATTTATTAAGCATTATTCCAAGTTAATCTAGATGTAAATATCTTCGCTATTCGTGAAAAGTCAATGTTATGTAAATACAAGTTGATTTTGTGTTTGTTTGTGTCTAACTTTGATAGATTTTTCAGTTCGATTCTCTCTTTGTTCTACTATTTCACTTACAAAATATGTAGATAGTTGAATAATATTGTTTATTTCAATGTTCCTTTTTCTTTTTCGCTAACGGACGTGATCATATATGTTTGGAACGCCTCTCTATTTTCATTCATCTAGCAGCTGTGTAAAACAATTGAGATAGTATGTCTTTCAGATGTCGAAACGAAATGAATTAAAAGAAAATATATACATATCTCTCCTGTTTTTCGCCTCCTTTCCTTTATTTTTGTGTTTTTTTTTGCTATCAATGTATTTTTTGGTTCGTATTATTCTTGTTATATTGAATTCAATACATATTTTACATTCTGAAGTTGAATGCACACGTGTTCTAATAAATCATTGAATAAGAAAGTTTTGCTTTCACGTATGGCAAATTTACATGTATTAGGAATCGGAGAGACTAAACTGTTGTTGATAATGTGCACTGTAGACATTTTTTAGTCATCGTGATCATTCAGTTGGTGAGGGTTTTGACGGGGGAAGATATTTACATTGATAATGGCTTATGGATTCAAGATGGTGACACTCTTTTGATGTTTGTGCGTATAATTTACTTAGAGATACTTTGAAGTTCGAAGAAGTGACTCGAAGATCAACAAATTTCCTTTCTTCTTCTCGTAATTACCTATATTTGATTGTGCACAAAGCTCTTGCCTTAGCTAATTGCGGCTTACATAAAACTTTGTCCTCAGTAGTACGTTGTTATCACGAATATACATTGACATTTGCACGTGTTTTCGAAAAACATCGTCCTTTTTACGATTCGGGTAATGTATAACGTCCTTTCCCAATCACTTATTGCTTTTTATACCAAATAAGCGGGCATATAATACATGGCAAGTATTCGTATATGCATAATAAATGTCAGAGCGAGTTAATTCATATTCTCACAACATATACTCATAAATATCTCACTTTAATTTAAGAACCGCACACTATTTCGAGGTCGTAAAAACCACAGTTTTTATTGCCTTGTTAATATCTTGATATAATCTATGCGTGGCGGTATTTTTTTAAAGAAAACTTTTTGAACTATCGTTCTCGTCAAGTGAACTTTTACGTTTACACTTTTCGTCATAATAGCTCGCATGCAATACTATCGTACGCCTTTTCTTCTTTGACTGTTTATACGTGACATCTACGAAAGATGGAATTCACTGCAGAATATGATAAACAAGCGACAGCAGTTGTATTTTCTTCCTATGCCTTTCCGTTATATACTGTGAGCTCGGTTCTGTTTTGCCGCTTTTTCTCCCAATGAATCACGAGTTGATCACGCCCTCAACGTGTTCATGTGCGTAATAATAAAAGCATATCTCGCCAACTGTCTTCTTAATTAATCGTCTATCCACGGAGGACATTTTCTTGCTTATTCTTTCTTTTTATTGTATCTCCTACCCTTTTTCATTTCACCACAAATGGCAAGAACTATGTTATAGTTTCTTTTTTTCTCCACTGCTACTCATTTTGTCAGTGAACAATGAAAGACGACTATTGATTTGATCGTGCCTGGTAACATTTACTGCTTTATTATCCTGTCAACGAATCACATTAGATATGCGTTTATTTCATATATATAAACCTTTAGTTTTCCTCTTGGATTATTTACAATCAAGCAATTGAGAGAGAAAAAACAACGCGGCAACATCATGATTCGTCGAGTCGTTTACGATGTGGAATTCTGCGTACTCGTCAAAGAGAAGTTAAATCCATGTGATAGTGTACTAGTTACTGGTTCATGTGAACAATTAGGTGAATGGCTTCCAAGTCGATGTATACCATTGAATCGAACGGATAAGACTGACGAAGGGGAAACTTGGTCAACCAATATTAAAATCTACGGCCCACAAAAGATCTCCTATCGATATCTAATCGCACAAATCGTCCGCTTTGATGATGATTTAAACTTGATTGTGAAGAAATGTAAGTTTTTCATCGAGACCCACGATGTTGTTTACGGATTTCCTTTCAGGGGAAACGTTTAAGAATGCACGTCAATTATCACTGAATCATCTGACAAACTATTCCGATGACAGAGCACCGACGATAGCAGACGCGTCGATTGAGAACACGCCACCCGACGAGTTTCCAGCTATCTTCGGCTGTTACAAAGGAGAATGTCGCACTGACATTGGATGGTTGACTGGTCAAACAGAAATCCAGTTGCGTTTTCATTCCAATGCTTTACAAATCTGGTCAACAAAACTACGTAACAGTAACCTTTCGTTGAAAGTGTCACCGATTGGTACGTAACTTTCATCGAGAAGAGAACTTCAATATCTACGTTTACTCTTATAGATCTGAATTACCAACAAGAAAATGAAGAAATCTCTCCTGATCTATCTAGTCAAGTTTTTACACCCACGTCGAAAGTGTTCATTCAATCGGCTATCTTACGTTTGTCGGGCTGCGAAGCCAATTTTCAAAGGGATTATGGTGCTGTGCTGGAAAAAGATGATTATATGGTAGTGAAAATTCAAACATTTGAACCAGAAAATGTTGCCTATCACATCGATTTCTATCTTGTGGACGAAACAACACCATTAAGAAAACATATCGGTTTTGCATATGTTTTACCAATTCATTCGAATCTTGAACTAGCGGATAATAAACATCTCAATCGAATAGTACCGATCATTGGGCTCAAACACAATCCGTGAGTATTTTCTATTGATCTCAATGATCAAAACGGCACTTCTCGTTTTCCGTAGAATTGGACAAATAAAAATCGATGTTCTATTAATAACACCATTGAAAGGTATTCAACAAAAATTCGCTGTTTCGCCATCAAAGTATTGGCGTCAAGGCCGACGACCCGTCAATGTTGGCCATCGTGGCCTAGGTAAAACAAATACAGAACACATACCATCAAAACACCAAGCACAAGTATCATCATCATCGTCATCGTCAACATCACCACCTGATCTGAGCAAGCAACGTTCGTTGGATTCGTCAACCCCACCACCTTCGTCAGTGTCAAGACCAGTTCAAACAAAATTTGTTAGTGAAAATACACTTGCTTCGTTCAAAGGTGCTTTTCAGCTTGGTTTTGACTTTGTCGAGTTTGACGTACAATTATCCAAGGACAAAATTCCGGTGGTGTACCATGATTTTCAAGTCGCAATTACTCTCAAACGCAAGGGACACGAAGCCGAACTATTCGTTGTTCCAGTTAAGGATCTAAGTTTACCACAACTTCAATCATTGAAGATTTACCATGCCAGTAAAGAAGGTGAAGTACGCAAAGGTGATGAAGAGCTAGACGATGATGATTCGACGAATCTAACCCCGAACGCTTTATCAATGTCGACATTTACTCCATTAAGCAATGGAGAAGACGAGCAATTAGCAAGTTTAAAATTTGGACAGCAGCAAGATGAGAAAAAATTTCTTTCATTGTTTCCAACATTACAAGAACTATTCGAAAAACTCGATCCACATCTTGGTTTCAATGTAGAGATCAAATATGCTATGGAATATCGACAAGGCGGCAGCGAACAAAATCATTTCTTCGAACGAAATGAGTATATCGATTGTATACTCCGCTGTCTTCTTAATTACGGTAAATTTCAACCGCAAAAGGCATCCTAAGAATAATTTGAGATCGGATTTTTCTTTAGCGGGTAAACGCGTGATTGTTCTGTCGACTTTCGACCCTGATTGTGCTTCCATGCTCCGTCGAAAACAGACATCCTTCCCAGTTTTGTTTTTAACACAAGGTGAAAAAGGAGACTGGCCACAATATTTGGACGTTCGAACGTGGTCAATCGATATTGGCTTATGCTTCTGTGTCACAGAACAATTGTCCGGTTTAGCAGCACCCGCATTAGATATTCTTTTGAATAAAGAATTTGTTAAGAATGTTAAGGACAATGGTAAACTACTATTCATTTGGGGTGATGAAGCAAGTAAGATCTCATTGATCGAATGAGAACAAAAACGACAGTTTTGTATTGTTTGTTCTAGGTGATAAGGAAGTATCCAAATGTTTATTGGATTTACGAGTTGATGGTTTAATCTTTGATCATGTCGCTGAATTGAAAGATGAATATTCGAAAGCGGAAAATCTCTTCATTTGTAAGTCATAGTTCTCTTCACTTCACGATCATTTTCACTGAAATATTTAGCCGAAGAACGTGAAGAACTAGAAGTATTGAATAGCTTCCGACAGAAACAGCTTGAACTTCAACATCAACAGTTATTACAAGAACTCGAACGATTGAAAACTGCACGAGAAAGCAATACCATCGTTCCTTCTCTAACATCACCATCCTTACCCAGTCAAAACTCGAAATTCGCTATTAATTCCGTACAAGATCAAGCCGTAGTACTTGATTCTAATTTTAAACATTTAATGTAGTTCGATTACAATTCAAATATTTTCTATTTTTCTGCTCGTGATAATCTCATGTTTAACCGTTCTTTTCCATTTTTGCTCATCCCTTCGCTTTCTGTATCCTTTTTTCGATGTTCGCAAGATAACCCGCTACCTTACATTCTCTATTTTGTTAGTCAAATTGAAGTCAGCAGGTGAAATTTTGAAACAGAATAAAATACCGGTGATCATTTCCTCATTTCGTCTATCTCGTATTTTCCAGATAAACAAGTACCCATGATCTTGAGTCTTCTCAATAGTTTATTGACGCTTTTCATTCGACCATGTATTTATGCACAAAAACATCTGCTACTTACTATTCGACCGTATATGCCAAACCATTTCGATGAAAAAACATGTTATTTAGCTTTTGCTTTCATCGTCGCCTCAACTTGTTCTGTTGTCTGTTTGGCGAGTCGATGTGTTACATTGAAAGATGCTGATGATGATCCTGTTTATCAACGCGCGAAAATTCACGCAATGCATAGAAAACATCATAAATTCACATGATTGTCAATGAATTTATGTATTTTATCTCGTTTTTTTTTGTACTATACTGGAAAAATACTGACAATAACATAATGGTAAGATACACAACTAGGTGAATCTCATCACTTGTCATCATTTGAATATTTTCTCTTTTGTTTTTGCTTTCGTGTTTTATTTATAAATTCTGAAAAATAAATAAATCTGATTGTATTTATATGTCTCGGGTGGACGTTTCGACCATGATTTTTGGATGCTAAATGATTAAAACTTTTTTGTGTGTATCTATTTGTCAGTCGATCCTCGTGCATTGATCTTCCACAGCCAAAACTAACCGGCAGTTAAAATTATATTACATACCGTAAAGAATCGCCTTACAATACTCATTTGACATATTTTTCTTGCTACAGTCCGATAAGATTATCAACTCATTCCAATTCCATGAAAAGCAATGCTTTTCCCAAGCTCTCTCGCTCATATTATATGAATAGAGTTGAACTAGGTGAGCACCATGCAAAAGAAATTGTTGTTCATCCCTCACGTGATATGTAGAGTTCTTGACGAACTAAATTAACTACAATCCTATTCCTTTAATTTGAACTGATCAAGAACTAATCCAAAAGATCGGCAATTCCCCAGTTAAAGGACACGGACTCTTCACTATAATAACAGTGTGTGCGCTCAGACATCACAGACTACTGAGATCAAAAGAATAGAAAATGTTTTCCACATCATGCATTACTATGGTTAATGTTACAGTAATATCATGAAACCGAAATGCATTGTCATTCCATTCCGTTCAACAAAAACAGATTAGTCGTGAATATTTTTCTAATAGCTCAAACGCAGGAAATGCTAGACTAACACCCAGTGCATTTTCTATGCTATTTTATCTATCTCATTGTGTATTAAAACGCAACACTCTACTTAACCATTGTTATAACTTCTGTTTCTCTTTCGATCATGCATCGGTATGAATAGTTGCTTATCGCTAACCCAAGTGAGACCAATAATAGGACGAACATGAACAATATCACATATTCACATGAGATTATCTCGAAACCGTAGGAAAAATCATAGCTGCGTTGAAATCGGAGTTTACATTGTCAGCATCTGTTCAATTCCCCATAGTATTGCATTGAAGTTTTTTGATTAATTATCATGTTTATATTATCATGATTAGAAAAAGAAAAATAACTTTTAGACAAATATTAGTTTACAAAAGCATTCTCCCTCGTTATTCATTTGTCGATCTACAAAAATAATTCACATGTCTTCAAGGGAACAAATCTCATTTTCAGCGCATCGATACAATGCTTCGTGTTCAGTTATCCATCCATACACTTAATAATAGTGTTTAAATATTAGAAAGAAACTAGACATAAGAATAATTGATAATGACGAACAATAGTTTCTTGCTTGATTACATCCATCGTATATACAAAGGGACATCGTACCTTGAAGACGAATTGTACCGGGCATATTTTGAAAATTTTTCAATCGGAAATTGCCGGATGATTCCAAGGATTTGGTGGATTCCATGATGTTATCAACAACGCATGTTCGATAATAGATAAATGTGTTTAACAAGGAACTATTCCCACCGCTATCGATGCTTAACACCCGACCGCTAATTTTAACACAGAATCGAGCCGGAAATGTTCCATTTTTGCCCACCGATGTCGCCTAAAGAATATTGAAGACTCTTATGTGATTCAGTTGCTAACTAGATGAAGCTTTTCTCTCCATCTGAAGTGCCCTATGCCCCATCGTTCATAACTAACTTTCCTATTACTAATTCAATTATTCAATTTCGTCTTTCAAGGAAAAACACGACATACAAAACATAATTATTAGTAATAAGACATTTTCCGTTTAAAAAGAGATAAGAACTTATTATTTTTTTCTCTTCTGGGAAGAAATTGTGAAGTGAAAGCACGATCATCGGTAAATCTACCTGACAATTAATCTGCACTGGATTAATCACTGAAGAAAATGGATCGCGACACCCGTCGTCGGATGGATTTGTGGTCATGCATTTGAAACACGCTAAGCCTTGATTTGACACGGGTTTGATCAATAGGAAATAGTATAACACAAAAATAGTTAAGTAATTCCAGTATTGATTATTGGATAGCATTGAATGTGTCAGGTTTTTGACAAGAACTTCTGAACTGGAAAGATATTTTCGGTTGTTGAAAAGCTAAGTAAAAAGTTCACTTACCTAAGTGCTTTAGAATACTTGTTCAATGATTGCGAGTAATATTTTTTGAAAACATGAGGTAACAATGAACATTTTTTTTGAAAAAATAAGAGCAGCTGCGTTTTCTCTCGCTCAACAAGTCATCAACAACATCTTTTTCTTTTCTTCGGTTTTTCTCCTTCTTCTTCTTCTTCTCTGTTTCACGATACCGAGAAGTTCTTCCTCGACGTCGCTCTATTTCTTCATTTCCTTCTTATTCTGCAAGTTTCTGCTTGATGAAAGCTTCATTTTTTCCACTCTCAGCATCTTCTCTCTTATCAACTGCAACCATGTAGAAAAATTCAGTCATTGATTAGTCACTCTAGTCTAGTGCTATATGACAAAGGGTGAGCGAGACAGAGACACGCATACTTCATCCTACCAACGTTTTTCTCTCTATTTGCATTTTCTCTCTATTTTTTCATTAGAAACCGACGCAGAACCACTAACACGATTCTTTTCGGCTTAGTTTGCTTTTCTCTGTCCTATTCTCATCTCAACTTTCCCTTCTCGATTACACCCTACCGATTCCATTATTGACATAAAGAGACTGAACGATACCGAAGTGAGATGAAGAACTCGTTCTTTCTTTATGTGAATGACATCGACTGTAAAGGCACTTTTGCATTCTTGAGATCGTGTGAAACAGGTTCTGTTTAATGATGGAGAAAAATGAAATCACCGGTTATTGACTTGTGGATGGAGCTTCATCATAGCGTGCATCTGTAAAGGTTGTCGAGTAGATCTACTTTAAGTTTTATCGGACTTTTTTAGGTAAAGAAAATGTCTCATGATCGATCTTTTAGTTGACAGTTTCCATTCCGGAGTCAGGGAAAACTGTTTCCGGTTCCGATTTTCTTCTATTCTATTCTATTCTTATTGGTATGCAAACAAATGATAGACATGTTTTTCTCTTGGGAATCAATATTAGCGATCATCTAGATTCAAAAATGAACCATGTTCCTATCAAATACTCTATTTCAGTACAAAAAAATCATGTAACTACATTGAGCCGCTCTTCTCCTTCTAATGTAAGCCAACAAAATTAAGTACATATCAATTACGAACATTCATAGACGTGCAATATTGGATATAGATGCTGTTAATCATTTTCAGACAAGAGTTTGGCAATTGACCTTTTCTTTATCGTAGAGGAGAAGTCAAATACACTTGCCCAATAATATATTCCATATGTTATCTGTAGCATTACGAGACACTTTGTCATGGAACGCTTTGACATTTTACGACCGTTGCGATCGATCCATACAGAAAAAAAGTAAATCATGAACTAGTATATTCATTGTATATTTATATACAGATTCTCTACAATATCGATTGTAAAACAGATATCGGACATGATAAAAACAAGCGAAAATGAATGTCACTGTCTATATTTACTTGAACAGGGAGATATTTGACGAAATAGTAAGGCAATATCTAAAGCTGTTTGATAGATACCACGTGCACTTTGAAGATTCGCTAATATGACAACACATATACCACAACGAGGATTTGAACATTTCTTTGTACATGGAATAATTAAGAGAACTGATGTCGCACCAACAGCACCACCCGTATGATAAACGTGAAATGGAATCGCATCTTCATGCACAGCAGATGTTCGTTCTTTGGAAATCATCCATCCTAAACCATAGAAAGTATTCTTATCATTTGTAACGGCTATTGGCGACCACATTTCAGCAATCGTTTCTGCTTTTAAAAATGACTGAGTTGATTCTGAACGAGTCGATTTCGTTTGGTAACATTGTAAAAGAGTATTGGCGTAAACAAGTAAATCGTTCACATTCGAAAGCATTCCACCACCAGCCCATTTATATGATAAATCAACGTAGGCGACGTTACGTAAACCTTCTTTGACTGTACGACGACAGTAATATCGGCTACGATTTGGTACGATTTCATCTGGATATTCTAGTTTGGTATGTCGTAAATCAAGTGGCTTGATAATCAAATCTTGTAAAAGGGCAGGGAATGCTCGTTTACCATCCGATATACATTCCAATACAGCACTCAGCAATGTATATCCATGTGTCGTGTAACGCCAAGATGAACCAGGTTGATGCAGCAATTCATCGTGAAGAAATATCGAAAGGGCTTCGCTGACGGTGGGGTATGAACGTGTTAGATAATATTCAGGTAGAACGAATTCATCATCAGTTTCAACTTCACCTTTCTTCCAATAATGACGTATACCACTGGTATGTGTTGCTAACTGACGTATGGTAATCGAGACAAGTACATTATCGTACAAAAACTTTGGTAGTTCACGATGGTGTTTGTCAATTGTGTCATCCCAATTGAGTTTACCTTTTTCCACGAATTGTGCAGCGATAGCAGTTGTAAATGTTTTACTGATGCTTGCGATACGCATAACTGTGCTCGATGTACATGGAACACGTTGTTCAATATCGGCCAAACCGAAGCCTTTTTTCCAAACAGCTGATCCGTGCATTGTAACACCGATGCTCACACCTGATGGCGACAAACGAGAAAGAAAAGGAGAGAAAGCTAATCAAACAAGAATATATCATTCATACCAGGAATGCCTTGTTTTTCTTTATACGCTTGACAGAGAAGATCGACGTTGTCAATAGTCTTCTTCAATTCTTCTTTATATACATCGCTCTCCTGATTGAATCTTGCCCACAGCAGACCAGTTGTTGCACAGATTAGAACAGGCTTACTTAAAAAGTAGTATCGAGTGAAAACTCCCATTTCACATTCGTCTACAATAAATTCATTGCATACATTTTTCTTTTCTTGAAAAGCTATACTATACAATATTCAAGATACAGGATCTGATTTTATTCAATACATGTTTACATATAGATGTGGTATTTACACAATAAAATACACAAAAAACTCACAAAATATTCTTAAATGTATCGCTCGATTTAGCTGCGAGTTGCATTGTTGATGGATTAGTATCATTCATACTACCTGTTAATTTGGCTTTTGCTGCGATAAGATCATCGATTTGTTCTAATAGGCGAAGGCGTTCTGCTTTACCGGATGGATTCTGAAAGAAACGAAGAAAAACTTTGTATCGAGAAAGACTCGGATAGATTTCCTTTCTTACCATTGTTGTTAGCTCATTTAAGATTTGTTCGAAAAGATCATTCTGCTTTAATTCGTATTCATGAACGGCTTTTAATCGTTCGAGAAACGCATCGATCGTCGCTTCGCACGATTTCAAAGTATCCAAGGAGGCTTGTTGTTCAGTTATGTAATTAACGAAATTCATTTGTTCACTCAAACACCGTTGATATTCTGCAAAATAGTATTCGGATGCTGTAGATTTATCTTTTGCTGATGATAATGACAATAAACGTATATTTAATTCCGATTTCAAATAGCCATGGCATTCCGCATTGAATTTGTCAATAAATGTATCGGACATTTTGAGCAATGGAAGAGTTTTCTATCTGACAATCTCAAATATAAAAAATGAACCGTTGATTCACTCTACTCTACTCTACTGATCGTCTATTTGTCATGAAACAAAAGTCTTTCTTTTCGGCCTATCAGTGACCATGGATCGATAGACTGATTATCGACATCTACATATGTGGAGAAAAGAGAAGGTGGACGTAGTGTACGTATCTATGTTTTGAACTGAGAACAACGAATTGTTTCTTTTCCAAAACGAAAGATTCTTTTGCCAATCATGAATAACAAAAAACGAGAAATTTCTAATAATGTTTATGATTTCTTTCGTTTGAGTTCATTGAGAATTGTGTAGGAAAGCATATGAAAAGTTTCATTCAATGTGTATGCATTTTGGTCTTGACTAAAATCCATTTCGTTCAATGCACCAAGTACGAGAACATACGAGCAAGCAATGCGTAATATCGACAGTCGGCTTAATTTCTCTTGATCACCGTACATTGGTAGAACTCTTCGTAAAGCTTCAAACGCTGCGGTTAGATTATGAACACGTTCACGTTCACGTGCATTAGCTACCAAACGCTTATTGTAAGTCAATCGAGGCCGTTTCGAAGACGAGAGACGAGGTAGATTTTGCATTGCTTTGTCTTGATGATCAAGTCGAGATAAATCATCATTGATGGAAGTCAACGATTCTTCCATAGGTGAATGAATAATTTGATTTGGAAGTAACAGTTGTGTTGGTTTGATAGTTTTCATTGGATATGAGGCTTTTCGTAGTCTCTTATTCGAATGAGGAGATGATATGGCCGTTGAAATCATCGTTCGACTACCTGTAGCATAGTCAGCGTTCTGTTCGATCGGTTCTAACTTTATCATTGATAAACTGTAAGAATAACGATGAAAAAGACAGAGTATTAAGGGATTTTTTGTTTCCTTTTTTCAATTTAATATAGATTACATGACTTACTTCATTGCTGTTTTCTTTTTATTTCGATATGATAGATGGAGAAAGACAAATCAATGTTCTATTGGTGGTTGCTATACATTGACAATGTGCGCATGTGTATATGTATACATAGATCGCATTTCATTTGTCGCTTTTATAGTATTCATATATACATGCGCAAGCGGCTGTTTCTCCTAAATGCATGTTTTTCCTTGAGTCCTTCCGGGGATACATAAATAAATGTATAATAATTATCTTCACTAACTAGTCCACAACACGCTGTTTAGCAACGACAGATGTTCAGAAGAGAAAACAATTGTGGTTGGGATAGATAGGGTATTCATTTCGAAGGTCTTTGCGCTCATCATTTAATACCGTATGATATATTCTAGTGATGAAATTTTGATCTGCTACGAAGAGAAAAATGATCAGAATAGACTTCGTTGAGAAGAAATCTCTTCTCAAAACAGTTTCTTTCTTCTCGTATCAAGTACAATACATCTGTTTGGTTAGCTCATATTTTTGAAAAAAAACTAAAAGTTATGTTTATCAACATAGCTGTGTACTGGAAAAACAAGGACTTGGTACACAACCACTATTGGGCATAGGAGAGCAAGGTTGTTGTGACGCTAAAATAGTTTGTAAAGCACCTCCGCCTCCTACACATAGGGGTCGTTGAACGACCTGTCCACAAGGTAATTGTTGTATTAACTGTTGATGTGGCTGTACGTAGGGTGCAGGCGGTAAAATAACTCCTGGTTGGCAATTGAGTATTTCTTGATTTTGAATGACACCAGGCTGCTGAACTACGGAATTACGTGCAACATAACCCTGAAGATATATACATAAGAGCATTTGCTTCGTACTGTGAATGGGTCAAAAGTGTTTAACTAACCACAGGAACCTGATCGGTATACACTTGTGCTGGTGGATAAATATCTTGAACATATTCCGTCACTTGAAGTGGCTGCTCGACGATAGCGGGTGGTTCTGGAACTGGAACCTGTACAATTATTGGTTGTGCAGGCGGTGCACACGATCTTCGTCGTGGGTGACGATGACGATGACGATGACGATGACGATGACGTTTGATATATACTGGTTCTTCATATTCTTCTTCGTAACATGGCTCAGGATAGTAATATTCCTAGACACAGGATCAGATCAATTCAGTAACAATACTGTACATTCCTACTTCTTGTGAATAAATTGGCATTGGTACTGGCACTTGAACAGGTACGCATACTGGTTCGCGTACTACAACAGGTTGAGGTACAGGATATGGTTGAGGAACTGGCACTTGAACAGGAACAGGAACAGGTACTGGACAAGGTTGTTCTATCGGCACCGGTACAGGTTGAGGAACGGGCACAGCACATGGTCGATCAACTGGCACTGGTTGAGGCACAGGTACACAGACCGGTGTTGGTACAATGACCGGTTGAATTGTATTTTGAATTGGTACATCGACCGGTTGGCAGATGTTTTGAATATATGGCTGTGGTACAGGATACGGACAAGGGCAAGGTTGTGGAACCGGCACATCATATGGACACATCATCGATGGTGAACACATTGGTAATGAACATGGATATCCGCAGCCGAACATCTTGGTATTTCTTTATAAGACAGTAGATTATGTTTATTGATTATTATTCAAAACTCTTTCTCTCTAATATGTGCAAATACAAAAAACAATTCATTGTTATACACTAAAGACTTGTCAGTCCAATAGAATACTTACAAGTGCTACAACAACAAATCCTTTAATCGGCTGAGCGATTGATAAATGAAGAAAACGTTTATCTAGTAGTTAGTACGCCCATTTGAACGTCATACAGTCATCGGCAAGAAATATATTTGTATAACAAGAGTCACGAAAAAAGAAAGAAGGAATTGATTTGCTTCACTGATTTGTCCCATATCGATACCCAAAAAAAATGCACGGAAAGTTGAAGGCGAGACAATATACATTATCGTTCAATAAAAACCATAACCATTCTTCTAAACGTCGAACTATTCATCCTTCTCATATAAAATCCCTTTGCTCCTTCACTATCGTTGCAGCAGTTTGCGCGTCTCACTTTCGCGCACGGTATGCCTACGCTGCTGACCAGTGCAGTCTATGAGACAGCTCTTTATTGTCGTCGAGAAGTTACAAAAAATGCCTTGTGCAAAAGGTCATGCTCAGTTAGTATGTGCTATCGTAACTCATACCTGTTGATTGAAGGTTTTTCTACTGCTTTTTCAAGTACATATTCACATGCACATTATCCTTGTTCGTCACCCGTGACGATCCAATTGTCAAAAGAAAGATGAAAAGCGCAACAAGAACAACGACGATAAAAATCACACAAACATGCGAATTTCTTTTATTTGTAATATTTAGCAATGAGAAATGACAAAAGAAAAGAAAGAAAAGAAAAAACGGATATTAAGGCTGATGTAAAGTAATTGTAATCCATTAGAGATAAGCTTACACCTGAGAAGTCAACATACGAAAAAAAAAGAAGGTGAAGAAGAAGAAGAGAAACTAAACTGTTAACACTGTTCTTTTTCCGTTATCGCTATTGTCGTCGTCGTCATCATCATTATCATCACCGGACAGGACAGGACAGGACAGAATAACTCCCTGCTTGTTTTTAACACTTGAATGTTTTGTCACGTTGGACATTATAAACATAATAGAGTAAATGTTTGTTGTCCCATGCAAAGATTTTTCCTTCGTATGGATTATAAGTTAATTGTACTAAGAATTGAAATGGTACAGCGAATTGAATCTTCATTGTAGTAAATGCTAAATTCGAATAAATATCATAGACAGTATCAATATACGATTGTAGTTTATTATAATGCTGAACACCATAGAAAACTCCATAGGCAATAAAGCCTTGACTCAAACTTGAGGGATTATATGGTAGCACCCACATTTTTTGTGTATCTAATGTATCAGGATTGATTTTAGCAGCAATGAAATTTCGTGTTTGTAGATCGCGATATAACAGCCAAAGACCATTTTCGTCGATCGAGAAATCATACCAGCTTGATTGTGGGGTATTATAGAGTGGCTCACGACTAGCTGAGATGTCGACATGTTGAGCTTCGGTTTCGGATACGAGATCAATTCGTACAATCGTACTCTTATGTTGAATATTATAAATGAAACTACCTTGATAAACAACGTGATTAACACCTGAATAAGGGTATGGAAGAGTTATGATACGATTGGGTGTATCATTGATGAGATCAGCTTCACTATTGTATTCATATAATTGTGTGCCTGTGACATGCCGTGTGACATAGACTTTTTGTGCCCCATTAGCGGTTTTTGGCATTGGATCCTTAAACCAAGCGCCAAATGTGAAATTGTCTTGTTTGAGAAGAACGGGTGTACCAATAAAGGAAAATACGCATCCTAAATGAGACCAGAAAGGAAGTTGAAAAAGAAGAACAGTGAACTGAGCTCTAACATACGTTGTGCACGGCTGAGAACAGCTGATTTGGTTTGAGAATAGGAGTAGAGTAAATGTCAGTTTATTGAAAATTATATGAAGTAACTTACCGTCACGTCGAGAAGAATCTGCAATAACAAAATGAGACAAGAATGTAGACGATAGTGTCAAGTCATTAAATAGAGATATACCTTGTTTTTGATCGACACTTGATACAATGCTACTTGGTGGAAATGACATAGCAGATGATATTGGCGGTTGAAAGGGTACAGCTATTCGAGGGCATGTGCAAACACCCTAATTAGACGAAAATTCGCATTAAAGTTAATGTATTTTATGTAGGTTAAATTATAGTACATACAGGTGGACCCCTTGGACCTATTTCACCACGAGGACCTGGAAAGCCGGGTGGTCCCATCGGGCCTGTAAGACCTTTAAAAAATGAATCATACTCTTATTTTTACTTCCAAAATTCTTCAACGATCTACCTTGTTCACCTCGGACAGATTCGCCACGATCTCCCTTTGGCCCTTGAAGACCTGTCGCTCCCGTATAACCAACAGGACCCTGCGGACCTTTAAAAGAAATACATCGTTGCACATCGATTCACTGTCCTATTGGATACATACCAGGCGGCCCGGTAGGTCCAATCAGACCTGGCATACCCGGCAAACCTGGATAGCCACGTTCACCACGATCACCTTTTGGACCACGTAATTCTAAATGACACAGAGACAAAATAGGCAGATATAATTTTTTAATTGAAATGACTCATTATCATTTACCTTCATTTTCAGCCACTAATTTCTTACAATGATCTACCGATTTAACGCAGAAAGTTGTCATTGCCAATGGCTATAATTTCATTGGGAAAAGGTTATATTTCGATGACAATGATGCATATCGCTTTACCGGTACTTTGAAATGAATTGAACCGAAAAGTAGATCAGGATTTACTTGTTGCGGCTCTGAATTCAATTTCTCTTGTTTCGGTTTTTGTTGCGGTTGCTTGTTATTTGGTTTTGCTTTGACGCGTGCATACCTTGATTGACGACGTAGTGTTTCGTATCCATTAGTATTGGTCGAAATAGTTATTTGAGTGGATTCAAGTGCTTCTAAGCGTTCTTTCATTGAATTTAATTCCGTGTACGTAGTTTCCAATTGTGTTTGTATATTTCGAGAAGAATGAACGAAATAGATTCCCCAGGCTATGGTAAGACTAGCAAGAAGGATGTATAAAACTATGATATGAAGACGCGATGATGTATCATAGCGCGTCATTCGCATCGACTTGTCTTTACTAATCATCTGATTCAGACAATCTGCGACAAAAAATCTAGAATAGGACATTTATCGTAGATTACTTGTGATAATTGCAACAATCTTGATAAGAGATTTGAATGGTTTCGATACTAAATGATAACTTGGGTCGAACTAACTACTTTGTCCTGTGTCTGTTGCACCCTAGGCTTTCTCTCTGTCTCCCTTAAAAACACGCACTTTTTTGACACATCAGATAAATCAGTTTAATTAACAAATCAAGACTATGTCTTCTAGATTGATTTATTAACTAGCCGTCGTTTTTCGCAATTAGACCGTAAAATGAAAAAAACCGAACACAAGTATAGACTCCTCCAAGTATGAAACTGATAGATATACACACACTCTCTTCCTCTCTCTCTCTCTCGATGTGCATTAATATGGTACATAACTCATTTGTATACATATATATATAGTCTATATCATGCAACACTATCAAAAAAGAAGTCAAGAGCAAAAGATGTGGATATTTTCCGTTCTTACCCACATACTTCTCCTTCTTCGTCCTTCTTTTCTTAAACTACCAGCAAACATCTCCAGTAAGTGCCTCTTCATCTGTCTATTTATGTACGTGTACGATTTTGTTTGACTACAAAAAAAAAAAGAAAGAAAATCGAGTAAGATGCAAGCGAAACTCAATCAAGTATATACCACGAAAAACAAAGAAGGAGAGAAAGAAAGAAAAAAGGCGAGAAGATAATGAACGAAAGAAATAAATAGTCCCTGTAGTGAATGATGCAAAAGAAAATAATTATCATCAATAAACATAACATTAACAAAAGGGAGATAAACAATAAGGAGAAGAAGAAGAAAGCGAAGGATGATTGAAATATATGTAATGAAATGATTTGATATTATTCTTGGTGTTTTGCACCTGTAAACTTGCGAAACAAATTATATTTATTTGCTTTCGAAAACCGTGCGTATACGATCAATTAATTCACTGATCAAACCGCGATCAGTGTGATTTCACGGTAACTTTCAAGGTGTGATGCAGCAGTTTCTCTTCCGATCGTCACTTTCCACGCCTGGCGGAATGATAAATAAGCAAGATCTCTCATTACAATGTTGATTTTTTGCCATCTCAATCCTATTTTGTTACCGATGAGCACAAATCAATGTCGAAATCCGAACCTCGTTTCTTTTTTTTCTTCTTGTTGTCATAATACATCTATGAAATAAATGTATGCATACGTATAAATGGACGCATGTCTGCACTCTTCTCGATGACAATTAGCGTATATGTAATGTTAAAACGGATGACAACGAAGCGTGTCACATCATCACTATCGATAGCAGCGGTTAGTGAGAAAAAGAGGCCCGTGGAGATCTTAATCTATCTCTCATTTATCAGCATCATATGACAAATGTTCGAAGAAAAATACCGTCAAGATAAGCTAAAAACAGGCAAAGTCCATCAATTTGGACAACAAGTTTACGTATATCTCGAGATATTCATCATCGATATTTTTCGATTGATATGCTGCTGTCGTTAAAACACATCCATATAGAGACAAAGTGATAACAAAGCTAATCTGGATAACCCTACGTGCTGTTTGTTATATTGGTATGGTAAGCAATCAGAATTTGTCAACGTCTAGATTAGAAATGTCACACTCTGTAGACAGAAAGCAGCAAGCAACTGTGTGTGAGAGAGAGAGACTTACGAAATAGAGAAGTTATTCGAGTTGCCTTTCTTTCTGCATGAAAGAAAAGGCAAATTCTACAAAATAGAAAATAGAAACTTACTATCATTTGTCTTTCTTAACAAAGATTATCCTTCGAAACAATTAGTTCATTGACATTGAACAAGTGTGATGATCATTAAAACAAACTAACAGGTGTCTTCGAGGTTATTCCTTTACACTCCTCATTAGATTACAAGATTATCAAGCATCTGTTATACATAGCGATGAATCAAGCAAGAAAAATATATCAAAACCGGATGTCTGTCTATAAATTTTCATCTAAACAAGTCGTATTAACATTCTTTGATTAATTTGCACAGGTAAATGGAAGACAAAAAGGAAAAAAACCTTTTTCTTCGTGATCGATGATGATGATTGTATTTGACTATTGAGAAAGCATATGTGCATTTATATATAGAGACATATCCACATACAGTTATATCGAGAGCAAAACGGATCAGATGTGTTTATGTATAAGCAGTTTTGAAGGCAAAAAGGAGAGCAATGGTTTTTTTAGGAAGGAATGGTATGATAAAAGAGGGAGAGAGTATATAAAAGCTAAATAGGTACTTACTACAAAAACAATGCATTATAATATGAAAAATGGGTGATATAGAGAACAGATTACTTTTTTTTATTATATCATGTCAGAATATCTACTTGATGTATCTTACTAGAGCATAAAATCAATGTTTTCATTCGATATTGTATACATGTATAGAGTACAAAGAAACTCGTATTGATTTCTTTGCGGATAAACTTCCGCAAATATTGTGTAGATCCAAGCAATATTGTTACTTTATACTGCTTGTCGAAGAAAAAAAAATTCAATATTTATTATTATTATTTAATAGAAAAAAAACTTCTGGAGAATACAAAAAGTGGCTTAAGAAGCATTATAAATGTCGTATCGGATGCCAATTGAGAGGATTAGAAGAAGGACAAATGTATACTATTTGTAAAGTAACTCGTTTCACGATCAAACAAAACTCATAATCCATTTAATACAGACAGAAAACGATTCTCATCAACGAATCGTAGAGAATCACCAACAACAGATCCTCATGATTGCTTGTGCATGTGTGTATTTACGAAAATTACATTTAAAATAGAAATCAGTTGAAGACATTGCTAATAACATACTTGTCTTGTTAATAACTTTCACATAACAAACGAAACTCAGCCGATCGTTTCCACGCAAAGTCGATCGTTTGATGAGTACGTTTTTGTGATGACTACTACCTGCGGTTTCGGCTTTACAATCGGTTTTTTCATTTCAGGTCGTGCCGCTGTGCCTTCTACATTTAGTAATCGATTTGCATTTGTCAAATTCGATTTTGGTTTGTCGATTCTTTTGTTAATTGTTGCATGTCCACGCTCTATCCATGCCATACCCACTTTTCTCATTTGTTCATTCGCTTTCAGCCAGACGATTATATAAAGTATTGCGTCAATGACATAAATAATATCCCCGCCAATTTGTATAGGACGAATAATAATAAAAATGATGTCAGTCAGTTTATTTAAGTATTGCGTCGTGTGACTCGCTAGAAAAGAAATGATTGGTTGAACAACATGTGCACACAGATAAGTCAGATTGCCGAGAAAGTTGAGTAGATGAGCAAAGAATTCCACGGAACATTTCGATGGCTTTTTGGTAACGCGGGGCGCGAAAAACGAAAGAATGGATTCACCTAGGAATGCTAACATACCGACGATATTGAATACGAACGCTGGTATATCAGTTGCATTTGTGAAGTTATTAGTCGAACCTGTCTTGTTTTTGAACACGGTCGCTCCGACTAGATATAAAACACTTCCGACGATATTAAGTGTGCAAGCAAATAATTCTCGACATTTTTTTGTTGCACGCTGCTCGAACCAGTCTGCTGTGTAGAGTAACGCGTCAATCACAAAAAGAATGGCTAGAAGAACTAAAACAATGTACGTAGCGGATGATTCAACAGTTGTTCGATCGATGAGATTGACAATGTTAACAGCAAGATAACCTAAAGAGCCGATTGCATAAAGGATATTTGCTGCTGAGCACCACCATAATTTCATAGAAACGTTTCTTTAATACGGGACAGAAATATGCAACACTGACTGTGAAAAGAGTTTTGTTTTTCTTGAGAAAAGGAAATAAGCGAACTTGCCAGCGCGTCAACGGGCAGAACGAGTAGATACGTTCAAAGGAAAACTATGGCGTATGATACGCCGAGAAAAAAAAAGAAGAAATATCTAAATTGAAAGTTCAACCTTTCTGCTATGTAGTAGGTAAAGTAAAAGAATGTGAATTGCTTTCAAAGCTTACTTCATATAATATATATGTTAATTCAATAAATAAAACAATACAGTTTAGAGGTTTTGTTTCGTTATAGTTGTCAAAACTTCAATAAATACAAAACATGACGGATGAAAAGGAGCGGCTGTCGTTGGCATAAAAGTGCGAGCGAGTTTATAAAGTTGTATATTTTACTAAGTAGCAGAAAAATTCATTTACAGCATATGAAAAAAATGCGTGTCGAAATATTTTCACGTGACTTTTTCAGATTTGTCGTTAGTATGGGTATTCGTTGTCGATAGAGGTTGTGTTTCGGTAGGATTTGAGGTCGACGGAAGTTTATCTGCCAAACCGACAACACGTTTAACCATTGCTTGTAAGGACCATCGTTGCTCGTCGAACATAAAGAGTGTTTTTGATTTCTTGGCAGAACTGACGACGGTCGAAGCAGTTTTCGGTCGAATTACCGGTTGAGAAACTGTTGGCCGATGAAAATCTTTTGTATCATCATTGGTTGATATGGAAATAAGTCGCGTTCTCGTTGGTAACGGTGTCGGATTTCCATCGGTTGCACTGGATATTGGAAGAGTAAAGGAATTCGTCGAGATGAATGAGGCTTCGTCAATGAGATTACTACTAAAATGAGTACGTGATTGATTATTTTGTTGTTCGATGTTTTCTTCTGTTTTGGTATCTTTCGATTCATTCGGTTGAGTTGTTGTTGTTGTTGAGGTTGGACGATCAATATCAGTATTCCCTGCATTTTCAGATCGTTCCTTCTGTTCTCGCTGTACTGCTTGTATGTACAAAGTTTTAAGAAAATGTAATTGATAATTCTGTTTCGCCCATTCAGCGTGCGATAAATTTCCTTGTTTATATGTATGCAGTAAGTCGCTTAATCGATGGCTATAGTAATCCGACGAATAAATATTTCGAGATAACCGTTCTTGCAAACGTTTCTTTTCGAGCATCTCTCGAAAAGTTTGCTCATGTTGTGGCAACGTTTCTTTTGTGTAGACATCGGTTGACAGCCAGTTCTGTGAAGAGTAGTATTGAACTTCGAAACCATGACGGGTATTTACATAACGAATCGTGCGATCAGGAACAGGCTTAGGAATATTGGCAGTTTCGGCAATTAATTCAGCTTGAATAGCTTCAAGAGGTAAGTCAGCGGGATTTGGACGAGCACGTTGACGTGCACGAACAGCTAAAGCACGAGATCGTGTCGTAGATGCACGAGAACGAGCGGTAGGCGCACGAGATTGGGAGCCGGGAGTGACACTTCGTGGTGGTTTCGGATTAGGTAATAAGGCTGTTCGAAGATGTATTGGTAGTAAGGATTGAATTTTCGGCGTCGATTTTGACCGTGCTCGAAAGACGTCCGAATCCGATGGGTGTGACAGAGGCTAATAAAGGAAAGGAAATCTCTTCATATCTCACCAAACAACTGATTTTAGTTAGTTGTCGTTCTCTATCAGAATGATATTCTCATTAGATCTATACCGTTGTTGTGATCTCCTCTGTATCGTTGGGTTGGAACGATGGATATTCGCTTGTTTCTTTTTCCCTATTTAATTGTGGTTCTTGTTGACCAGTATTCGTTGCATTATATCTACGAACATTTGCCGCACGTGATAATGTTAATCGATCGTATACCGGATTTGCTAGAGAATGAAAGAAAAGATTTTGTGTTCTTAACAAGTATTGAAAAATCAATCAATCTACCAATAAGTCGCATCATCTTCGATGAGTTATCCAAAATCGGGTGTGGAATCGCTTCAACAAAACGGCTAATGAAAATCATCAACAATCGATTAACAAACAACAAACTGAAAATTTAGGAAACCTGTTCGGTAGTACGACGCTCATAATGTAGATCGTTCGTGCAGACGTCGATAAATATGTACGAGTAGTGTTTCAATCGTTGAATGTAGCGAGAACAAAAAAAGAAAAAAAAACGATTGTTTAAAATGTTGACAATGTCTCTCGTACAACACTTACAAGTAGTGTCACATACACCCATGCACGTGCGTGTATGTGCATTTGCACGTAGCTAAGAGAAACAAATTAAAGATTTTGTTTGCTGATCTTTTCTGCGATTTTTCTTTCTATCTCATGAAAAATAAATCATTGCTCATAAGAGAACAAACAGAGCTGATGTTCTATCTGCCGCAGTATTTTCGAGCTGCTTCGTTCTTTTCTTCTCCAAGTGAGATAAGTTGAACAGATCGTTGTCTTGTCTTTATAGTATATGAAATCAAAAACAAAAAGCAAGGAAACTTGTTGGGTCAGTTTTTCGCGCAAAGAGACAGAGAAGCACGCAGACACGCAAACGATCGAAGAATATATGTATAGATGAGGTACAATATGTATAAATATAGAAAACAAAAAAAAACAGAAAAACGACAGATTCAAACAACAACTTCATAAACAAGCTTCTTTCCATGATGAGGCTTCGTTGGTGTAGAAAATCCACTTTCTTCTTCAGATGATATCCGCAACGTTGAATGATTTTCGCCCACTGTGTACGGTGGAATATCTGTCACCCCGTTGTATTTTCCCAGAAACAGATGGTGAATATCAGGTAGAAGAACCTTCTTGGACGATAGTCTTCCATTGACGAGATGTTCTCCATCCGAACGATCGTAGAAGCCGTTCGCTATATGTCCGTCAATGTCGGATGACGATAATACTTGTGAACAAGCCGAGTCGGAATTGTCCGAAGTTGTTGATGGCATACCGGAATCAAAACACATTGAATTTTTCTTTTCTACAGAGAAACAAAAAGAAAAGAACAACACATTAGATCTTTGTGTTCGATGTATTTGCTTTTGCAAGAAATTAGTAAAGAAAAAAAAACAATTTTTAATGTCAAGAAAAGACTCATTTTGCATTGGAAATGTGAGGAAGAATAAAGAGAGTTGATGTGTTTTGTGATCAAATCAAACAAGCACACATACTGACAGAAGATGAAGAGTGACACTAGCAGGCTACTTTTAAGCCTCGTTTAACTCGTGCGAAACCTGTTCTTATGGCCATTTTGTTTGTACCTGACATGAATTAGAGAGACGGGATCATTGAATAGACATAAAAATATATGCATTCGAGCAGTTTGTTGTACTCACCTTGAATTGTATAGATGCTGTTTGGGAGTTCTGGATTGTAAAACAAGCCACTGTTGTGCGCTCGAACTAAAATACAACAAAAGCTATTCGGTGGAGTTCGTCTTCTTGCAACTACATACCTTCATTCATCGTTGGTGTTTGTGCCGGATAATATAGACATGAATTGGTGTCAACGACTCGAACAGGTGTTGCATGAAAGTTGTCGATATGGTTTCCGGTCGAATTTGGCTTTAATGTATCTGTTGATCCGCTTTTCGATTTCGTTTGTCGCCTTCGTTGTTGAATACAAACGAACAAGCCAATCAGAGCGGCGACAAAACATAAACCCAAAATAGCACCTAGATAATTCGAATCGTAGAGACAATAGACATGAAATTCTGTTTCTTTTCTACTTACCAATCAATATCAAAATTAACTCAGATGAATCATTCGATAAACCCACACCGGTTGGAATTGACACAGACTTTGAGCAAACGTCCGTTTGATTAATCAAACACAGTTTCAAACGTACGTTGTTCTCCTCAGTTGTTATCTCAAGTTCATCGTTCGACGGTTGAAGAGAATTCAATGGTATACATGATGGATACTCATCAGTTGTTTCCACGGTCGATGATGGAATATGATAATGTTGAATACATAATTGATCTTTAGTGATCAACGGCGAACGAATCTCACTCAAATGAAAACGTATTCGACGGCCATCAACGGTATAATAAGCTCGTTGAATCGTTGGAAACTCATCCGGTGCAAATGGATATTCGGTTGTTAAGACAACTATACTCGTCGAATAATCACTGAATCCCAAACTGTTTTGCGAACGAATTTTAACAAAATAGCGCGAATTTTCGTTTAAATCTAAAGACAAACGTCTTGCATGAGTAAAATTAGCGATGCAAGACATACCAGTGAATCTAATAGAACTCAAATTTGTTTGTCTTTCCTCTGAACGATTTCCACTTAAACTAATATGATATATTAAATTCGAGCCACCGTCGTAAGCCGCTTGCCAAGTAAGAATAAATGAAGCATGCGTAATATTTATTGCTTGTAGTTGAGTGGGTGCATCTGGCAGACCAGGTCGTTGAAAATGCATCGAGAACTCATGTTGCCCGTATTGATTCTTCGCTACACATCGATACGTGCCGAGCATTGTTGAATAAGATGGCGGTACTGATATAAAAACAAAATCAGTGAGGAAAGAAGTTCAATATGAACTTACAATGTAATTTTGATGAAATTACTGTTGAATTGAGCATTTTTTCGTCGGTGAATGAACTTAAACGCTGTGCAGATGGCCCGAACCAAGTTATATCTGCCTTCGGATATGCATCAACCACACATGCTGTGATGATATCTTTATTTTCGATAACCGCTAGTTTCTTTATCGAATTCAATATAAATGGAGCATCTAAATCAAAATCCAATTGAGAAAATCCTTTTGAAATAGAATACTTGCAACTTACATTGTATTCGTACATCCGTGGACACTGCTGTCGTTGCTTCGTATCGATTATTACTTCCCGTATTCAACCAATTTTTCACTTCGCATGTGTACTTTCCTGAATGTATTCGATAAACGCTCGGTATGACATATTCGGATACCGTTTGTGTTCGGTTCATTAATGAGCACGGTTGAGTGAGAACTTCTCTTTGGTTGTGCAACCAACGAATCTGATGACAAAATGGATTCGAATCAATCAGACATCTCAAAACAAGTTTCTCTCCTTGATTTAATGTAATATGTTCAATCATGGATAATTTCGGTTTATCTAATACGAAAACAAAGCATTGGATTTCAAGTTCATATCTCTTTCCTTACAGAGTATGTCGACATTGACGCTTGCTTCCGATTGTCCAATGGTATTTCGTGTTTTACAAGTTAATCTCTGTATGTTTTCTAATCGTGTAAAATTCAACTTCAATTGTTCTTGATTTTCGCCTAAAAGAATTTCGATATAATTGAATTGTCTTCGTTGACACGTCGACTGTTTCCTCATTTAAGAAAGTGACAAGAGAGAAGAAAAGAAAATTCTAATGTGTTGAATCTGAGCACAGGTGTAGAACGCGTGTGAATATGTTTCGCTTGAATTCTTACCTGTAATTAATTGATCATTTTTATACCATTCAATATTTGATAATGCCGGCGGATTGGCTGATATTACACAATGAATCGTTTCAAATGTGTTTTCAATGACAGTTAACATCGTAGGCAACTCTTTTTGATTCCATGAAATATTGATAATGGGTTTAACTATTGAAGAATAAACGAAATATATGTCAGTTGAATGATCAAAGAGAAAAGAAACGAATGGTCAAGTAGCTTTTAATAAATGTTCTTTAGATCTCTTACTCACATAAAACATCAAGTTTGAGTTCGACATTTGTATCATGAACACTCGCTTCATTGGTTACTTGACAACGGAGTATTTGATCGTGATCAACAGGTGAAAGTANATATTGATAATGGGTTTAACTATTGAAGAATAAACGAAATATATGTCAGTTGAATGATCAAAGAGAAAAGAAACGAATGGTCAAGTAGCTTTTAATAAATGTTCTTTAGATCTCTTACTCACATAAAACATCAAGTTTGAGTTCGACATTTGTATCATGAACACTCGCTTCATTGGTTACTTGACAACGGAGTATTTGATCGTGATCAACAGGTGAAAGTAAAAGTGTTAAAATGGATGAACTTGAAAAGCTTGGTGAACTTGTTTGATTGTTATTATTAATACCGATTGAGCTAAGAAAAATAATAACATTTTCGTTGAGAAGAAAGAAAGAATAACATGTGAAGAGTTGTATTCATACCGTTGAATTAATTGATCGTTTTTATACCATTCAAATGTCGGAATGGGATAAGCGCGTTCGCTTGTACAATTGAATTGCACTGATGTACCATCCGCTACCGGCATTTGTGGTGATGGACTCAAACGCAGACGAGACGGTGGAACTAGAGAAAAGAGCTTTACTTCATTTATTTATTCACCACATGTCCATCTGATTTACTTTAGTCGTCTAGGTGTCAAGAGATTGTTTCTACATAGACACAACACCTCTTTCTCGGATTCTCTTTCTATTCGTTAGTGATTGACAAATATTTTCGTGTATATACACGGATTGAAGGCGGGGGTGTGACATATCTTATGTTAAATGCCTGTGGGCTAAAGCGGCTATCCGACGTGTGAAACACGTCCTGTTCAATCGTGTGTAATTATTTCAAGGTGTGTTCTTTCTCTTTTCTATTGTCTTGCGAGTAACTAATGAATGTCCATCTTCCTGTCGGATGACAGATAAATAATAGAGAATGAAAGGATGAAGACTAATTGTTCCTTATTTATTTGTCAAATTTCGACATATTCACATCAATTAATGTGAAAAAAAGCAAAAAATCGTATCTGAGATAAATCTATCTTGAAATATCTGATTTACAGATGATGAAGAAGAAGAAAGAAAAGAAACAAACCAAATTGATTGTTTCCCTATTCATCTTTCATTTTCTCTACATTGAACAGACATGCTTTTGTGTCTATTATAATTGATTGTACGACTGTTCTTGTTTTCCTCGGAGAATTTTCTTTCATATTAACCTTTTGTGTATCTTCGAATGAAGGAAAGCGAAGTACTATCTTCCATCCGACATTCCTACGCGTATAGATATTCACTAAATTAACGAGACTTTGCTTCTCACACTGAACAATGATTGATGATTAACTTCATTGACATCCTTATTCCCAACGTCCTAGTCAGAGTCAGAAGCAGATGCTTGCCTTGATCTCTCGATTGACTCTTGAATGGAATACATGCAGTTCAAGGCACATGAACTTTGACTAGTGAGAAAAAAAAAGATCCTGTCGAGCGGGTGAAATAATGGCTGGTAATTAGATTCTTCATTCACGCACGACTCGTTCATCTTTAACTGGTATATCGTCGTTTTCTTTTTTTTTCTCTCTTTCTATGCAGTTTGTTACGTCATTCATCAGAATAATTACAGAGTCAAAAAATGTCAACGGACGTTTCAAGCTGAGAAAAAGGATTCTTCGCGATTTGTCTATCATTGATAGTAAAAGAAAAGATTGATTTTCCGGAACTTAGCACAGCTGCTTGATGTATATGTTATAATAGATGCGTGAAAACAGTA